TGCAAGGCGTTATTTAGACACCCCTGATGCGGGTTTGCTAGAGAGATACCACAGATACGTCGCGCATGCCATAACATGGATAAACTGGGTGATCGCGGCAATCTGATCCCCTTCGGCATCATCTTGAGCAACAGGAGGCATGCCGTATGGTAGAGCTGGTTTGAAGAGATGGCGGCCCAGTGAACAAACAAAATATGTGGGAAGGGCTTACGGTTGACAGTTTGGACTGGCAGCAATTCGCTCGGCCGTTCCGACAGCCATCGTTGTAGGTCGTCCCATAACCGAACCCAACGCAAGCAGAATGTTTCCAGGTTACAGCCGTTCTGTTCATGCAACTCAACAAATTTCGTGCGATCCGAGACGAGTTGGGTTGCTCTCATACAGAGATACACAGCATAATTGGCATGCATGTCAGGCGATTTAGCATCCTGGAACAATTGATATGCATCCTCCTCTTGGTAGCCTGGGGGAAGCCACTTGGAAGGGTGCAGTAGTGTAGTTTGGGTACCATCTGAGATGAGTGCACCACAAAGATCTGAGTATATGATTAGATTTGTATATAATGAGAACCGAATGTACTTTTGAGATAAAGGGGAGCAAAGCGTACCCATCCGTGCATAGCACCAGAACACAGCTTGAAGTAACCCGTTGCTAAACCCATGGATCTCGAACGCATCAAATAAAGCAGCACATCCTTCGAGATGACGGCGCCAGTCCTGCGCTCGAGCGGACATCATCTCCAAACAACAAAGCAGTACACAAGCGGCTACGATCTTCGGATCGCGTACTTGCAGTACCGGGCTTAGGAGCCTTATTGCTTCCTGATATAGCTCAAGGCTATCGAACAAGTCCTGAACGCCCTCTTTACGCTCCATATGCCGCGCGGAGAAGGCGAGAATGGCGTAAGACAAAGCAGGAAATGTTCGCGCTAGTGCCGGCAGCTGCTGGCGGAACGTGCATTGCGAGTCGAACATGTCGAGCTACCAGGTGTCAATAGACGAAATGGATCAAGGATGGTGCACAGGGTGCGCTTACCCACGGAGCCACCTCGGTCACATAATTCTTCAAGTATTTGATACGTTTGCTATTTGAAAAAGGCGACCGATGGGACTCTTCCCGCTGTCCTTCCCGGTGGGATTGGGGCATTGTGTTAATGCTAAGTCGATCCGTCCCTCTGTCACCGAGCCTGTCTAGTATCCCGGCATCGGGGCTAGGGGCCCGCGTGGGAGCAGCAGAATAAGCTAGCGAGAAAAGGATACATCGGAGTTCTTCCTGAGAGGCGAGGAAACCTGGATCTTGAGAGAAGCCATCCTGATACCAGCTTCCGGGAGACTGGAATGGTCCTCCCGACGCGGGAGAACTGTGGCTGATGCCATTGTAGCTCTGCGGAGGAAGTGGTTGAGACTCATGATACTCAATTGGATTTGGGTGAGTTATCTCATTCGCACCCGGTGACGGCTCCTCGGCGGGCAGTGGATGTTGCGAGGCGGTGCTCGAGACTCGCCGGCGCTTCAGAGGCGGCTCAGCGGAAAACATTGCTCAATTTGGTCGTTGTCTTTCACTATGAGGGGACCTGTTTTTTTTCTTTTTCTTTTCTTTTGTTTGGTATTGAACAAAGACAAGCCAAGACCCCGATAGCAATTAGGTAGGCTTTTTGGGGAGAGGTTGATGTTGGGATCTTCGGGAAGAAGAATTGATTGGGTAAAAGGTTCCTGAGCCGAAGACCGCCTATCAAATGAACTAAGGGCACTCGGCCGGCTAAAGACACTTGCTCTTTGCCTTCCTTCCCCTTAATCGGTAGTTAAGACGACGCCAAGATTGATGCTTTATCTTGATCTCTTTGATTCGGCTAAACAGGCGAACTCTGTCCGTGGATTGTATGGTACGATGGCGAGGTTACCTTCGTTGGCCTTGATTCTTTCCACCAATGGCTCCACCGCGATCTGAAAAGCTGGGGAAAGTGACCGTGTTGGGGGGGGAATGGCCAAGGTGATGACGTCTAAAAAGGCGAGCAGAGACAATTTTGAGGGCGAAGATCCCCCGTTTTGAGGTTAGACTCTTGCGGGGTAGGGCCAATTTCTGGGGTAACGGGTGGCTCGGCCTGCCTCTTTGGGCACCGTCGGCTCTTCTGCATCCGGGGCAGTTTTTTTTGCCGACTGGTCAAGTTACACTTGCAGGTGACATGATGACTCGTATACCAGACATTGGGCCATGTTTGGCTCATGCATTGCGATCATGTATAAATCTTATCGACCCCGTGCTGTGCGCTATGTCTCCATCTGGTCCACTTCCCCAGATTTTCTATCTTAGACTATCCCCATACAGACCCACGCGATATTGCGAGGCACCATGGTGAAGGTCAACGTGTTCGGCACAGGGTTCACTCTCCAAGCTGCCATTTGGGCGGCATGTGGAATGGCATTTATTCTCTTCGGTAACCGACTCAATCGCAGATGGACCTACATGGATGGAATGGCTGACCCGCGCAGGATACGACCAAGGTGTTTTCTCCGGAATCGTCGAGAATGAGGACTTTCTCGGCACCATGGGTAACCCAGGAGACAGCTTGATGGGGATCATTGTTTCCATATACAACCTAGGATGCTTTGCCGGTTGCATTGTGAATTTCCTAATCGGCGATTGGCTCGGACGGAGAAAGGCAATGTGGCTTGCGATGATCTGGGTGATTGTAAGTTTTTGGTGAGATTAGACAGTGATAGACCAATTGCTGACTTGTGGGCTTTGCTTTTAGATCGGCGCCACCTTGCAAGCATCTGCATTCTCCGTTCCACACATGATGGTTGGTCGCTTCGTGACGGGTATCGGCACTGGGATTGAAACCTCTACTGTGCCCATGTATCAAGCAGAACTCTGTGAGGCATCCAAGCGCGGTAAACTCGTCTGCAGCGAGCCTTTACTGGTGGGCGTGGGCATTGTCATCAGGTATCACCATTCTTCACCATGTTGTACGACCTATTCTTACGATTTGCAGTTACTTTTTCGACTATGGAATGAGCTTTGTCGGGGGCCAAATTGCTTGGAGATTGCCGATCGCGTGTCAGATGCTCTTTGGATTTGTTAGTACTTTTGTTCCAATCACGGCAGAATTATTCTAACCGCTTCAAGGTCGTCATCATACTTGTTTTCGGCCTCCCCGAGTCTCCGAGGTATTGCTACAAGGAAGGACGTGACGATGAGGCGCTGCAGATTCTAAGTGATGTGTACGGTCGACCAAAAGACGACGCGAAGATTCTCGCCGAGCAGGCCGAGATCCTCGAGGCTCTTGCTATTGAGACGAAGCATGGAGAGTACAAGTGGAGGTATATTCCCCTGTTTCACCCCACTTCGAGAATTAGAAGCTCACTGTCAATAGAAATATCCTGAAGCGCGACGAAGTTTGCACAGGCCAACGAGTGTACGTATATTCTCCAATTTCACGCCAACATCAAACTAATAAAGCATACAGTCTCCTCGGCTATGGAATGCAATTCATGAACCAGCTCGGTGGCATCAACCTTCTAGTGTACGCCTCCCACGCCTCCCCATCAAGCTTCCGACTAACAACTGTAGATACTTCATTCCGACGGTCCTCAGCACCAACGTTGGCCTTAGCAAGAACCTTTCCATGATCATCGGAGGCTGCGCCCAGATCATGTTTGTCGTTGGCAGCTTCTTCCCTACCTTCTTCGTCGATAGAGTCGGTCGCAGAACGCCCATGATGTGGGGCTCCTTCGGCCTCGGGATCTGCATGATGATGGTTTCAATCCTGCTCAGCTTCAAGGGCAAGGAAAATGGCCACGCTACCTCATCGGCTTCAGTTGCTTTCTTTTTCCTCTTCATGCTTATCTTCGGAGCATCAGTTAACTGCATTCCATGGGTTTATGTACCGGAAATCCTGCCACTGCACGCTAGAGCTAAGGGGACGGCTGTGGGGATTTCTTCCAACTGGATCTGGGTAAGTTCATATGGGTTCTCTACCTACTCGATTGAAAGAGAAGCAAGATACTAATCAGCCACAGAACTTCTTCGTCGTCATGATTACCCCCGTGATTATCAACCGTCTCCAATGGAAGGCATATCTGATTTTCATGTGCACCAACTTTGCATTTGTGCCCCTTGTGTACTTCTGCTACCCCGAAACCGCCAAGCTGAGTCTCGAGGAGATTGACTACCTTTTCACGAATCCGGACAAGAGCGCCGTGAAGGTTTCCTTGGAGCTCCAGAAGGAGCGGAAGAGGCATGGCCATGGTCCCAGTTTGGTCACGGATACTGGGGCCCTGAGACGTACGAGTGCAGTGGCTGATGAGGGCTCAGAGAAACATGGTGGTGTTGATGAACATGTTGAGAGGGTTTAGATCCTGGAATTTTCTATATATTATGATTTTACGATGGCCGAGGGAATGTCTCAGCTTTTGCTAACTCGATGTCTGTATTTGTATTTGAGGGACGCTAAGTGAAGATTCTATCTTTATATTCTAGTACAAAGTGCATGAATTCTTTTAGACATGTATGAAATTCGTTGGATAAGTCATTAACTAAGTCTAGGGGCGATCTGCCCTGTTCTTAGCCGTCATAAAATAGTAGGAGAAACATAGTAGAAGAATTTTGTCGCACCATAATCAATGTCCACTACCAGCATTGAAGCTTTATTGGTCTCCATGCTCTTTAGCAACCATTGCATCTTGTAGTGTGGGATATCGCAAACCACGTCAGATGGATCTTAAATTGGTATAGCACGACAACGACACATTAGGCGGCCCAACATCATGCAAAGCTGAAATGCATTTGACCAGAACATCAAATGAAGTCCTAGGAGAGGGACGTGGTGACAGGGAGCTCTACCCCGATGTGGAAAGCTCCTTGTATGATCCAGCTACCATGCAGCATCACTCACTTAGCACACCTCAATCAGCCAGGAACAGATATAACATCCAGAAAATGTGGCCTGGAAAGAAGTAACAGGTCGAAGAATGGTGAATAGTCGGTACTAAATGGAGCAATCAAGAGTATGGCGGAGGAGAGACATCGGAATCCAACCGATTTGTCTCGGATGTTCCTTTACTATCATTACTCTCCTTGATGAGCTTCTCGTCAACCATAGCAGCAGGAATGGCCACCATGCTTTTCATCTCGTCGCAGATCGAACCACTCTCCACGTCACTATCCCTCTGCAGGGTCTGTTCTTTACCAGCATCAACTTGATCCGTCCGCCGCGTGACCTTGCGTGTCCGGCAGCACCACGCAATGCCCAAAACAGTCGTCGCAAACCATAGCAGCATACTGACCAGACTGATCCAGACCGCAGCGCGCATGCGGGGAATCGACGACGTCTCCTTTTTATACTCATCCAGTACGTTGTTGGAGATATATATCGACCCGAAAGTGCCTACCTGGCTAGCCAGAGCACGAAGAGCACGAAGTCCCACGCTGACCATGCGACGTGGGTGACGGTGATGAAGCAGTGCACGATGCAGGTCAGTGCAGTGACTACCGCGACGAACTCGGCGTACACCCATTGTGAGGGGGCACGGGCGTTGATCTCTGTTGCATGGGCTAGGTCAACGCCATAGAGACCGGCAATCACGATGGCAAAGACGAATTGGAGGGTGCGGAGGGCGGCGCGGGAGATGACGCCGCAGAGGCCACCTTTGTGCCAGTATTGTTCGATCATTGGGGTTGTAGATTTTGTCATGTTGGGGATAGGTTGGGATAGAGAAGGTATAGTAACCAAAACCACGAGATATGTCCTATGGAATCGGGAAATGAAGGAAGGACCCAGTCTGCTCTATCTAGGGGGCCTAGTGTGCTTTATAGTAGATCGGTGGAGTGGCAGACAGGTTCTAAAGGGCTACGACTGTACTACTGAGGCGACGGCTATAAAATTGGAAGTGTGGACCGGTGAGGGTGTTTGAGATGCATATCCTTTTCCTCCTGGCAGTGTTTTTGGTTCCACTTGGAATCATTTTTAAGCTCTCCCATGGTACGTTCTGATTTAAGAGATGGTCTATTTTAGGGCTAACTTCCTGGATAGGCGATTCTCACGTATTCGTATGATTTCCGCCACCCTGGCGCATTGGAAGCTAACCGTGTTGGGAATTTCCATCGTGTTCGTATGTAGCAAGAGAACGCCCACTCCGAAGGATATCCATTTTCAGGTATGAAACTTTCTCTGCCTCCGGAATGTGGCCGACTGCATCGAACAGTTTGTTGTCTTGTCCATGGCTTCGAAATCATGGGTAGATCGTGCTTTCTCCTGTTTGTTCCCTTTCTTCCCCTTTATAATTAAAGTTTTCTCTCATCCCGTTTCTGCTCTTATACTTGACAACGGCACCCTAAATGCAGTTAAATTTAGAACACGTTAGATCTGTGAAGACTGGCGCCGGTGTTTTCCTAGTCAATCATCATGCCTGACATGAGATGTTTCGCTGCTGAAGATGGAAGCTGGGAACTGCCTCCACCGTACGAGTCTATCTCGTCCTCAGGAGGCGCAGAAAGCGACCCGACAAGGAACAATGGGGCCTTCCCACTACCCGGCGCTTCTTTCCCAGAGCTGTCGCCGACAAATGATGGCCGTGTAAATGTTCATATTGGATCGCGGTTCAGTCGGAATCTGGAATGGCTTATGGGAAACCAAGCCGCCGAGACGCCCCAGACTGCAGGAGAAGCAGCCCCATCCGTACCATGCCCTGTCTGGGATCTGCATCTCAATATCGTGATCCAAGTTGTAGGTAGCCGTGGTGATGTCCAGCCCTTTGTCGCCTTGGGTAAGGAATTGCAGAAGTACGGCCACCGTGTGCGGCTGGCCACGCATGCCAAATTCGAGCAATTCGTCCGAACCGCCGACCTTGAGTTCTATCCCATTGGAGGGGACCCTGTCGAGCTGATGTCCTATATGGTGCGCAACCCGGGACTATTCCAAGCATAAAAAGCCTACGCGCGGGTGATATCCAGCGGAAACGGGCTTCAATGGCGGAGATTCTAGACGGCTGCTGGCGGTCGTGTATAGAACCAGACCCGTATGACAAGACCCCATTCGTGGCGGATGCCATAATTGCAAATCCCCCAAGTTTTGCCCATATCCACTGTGCGCAGGCGCTTGGCATTCCTGTTCATCTCATGTTCACGATGCCCTGGACAAGCACTAGGGCCTTTCATCATCCGCTCGCGAACTTGAAGTATTCCGGTAGCGACCCGTCGCTGGGGAATTTGGTTTCTTTTCATTTTGTGGAGTGGTTGACATGGCAAGGGTTTGTCTTCCCCTTTTATATTTTTCACTTTCGCTTTGCTTTTTGACTTTATGGTTTCTTCTTTTCTCCACTGATGGAGACGAGCTTCGGCTGATAGATCTTAGTCTAGGGGATCTGATCAATGCCTGGCGCAGGAATGTACTGGGCCTAGACCCCATCCCCACTACAGAGGGTCCAAACCTCGTAGAAGCGCTCAACGTGCCCTTCACATACTGCTGGTCTCCCGCATTGATCCCGAAGCCCAAGGACTGGGCATCTCATATAGGTGAAGATGACACCCCCCACCCCTACGTAATTTTGGCTAATTTTGCAGACGTCTGCGGGTTCTTCTTTCGTGACCCACCGGCTTACGAACCCCCAGCGGAACTTGATGCCTTCCTGTGTGCAGGCCCACCACCAATCTATATCGGCTTCGGTAGCATCGTCCTTGAGGATGTGGAAAAGATGCTGTCTATCTTACTCGACGCTATTCAAGAGACCGGAGTACGGGCCATAATCTCCTGTGGCTGGAGCAATCTTGAACACCGAGAGACCCCTAACGTCCACTACATTGGCGACTGTCCACACGAGTGGCTCTTCCAGCATGTAGCTGCAGTTGTTCATCACGGCGGTGCGGGGACAACAGCCTGTGGCTTGCGCAATGGAAAGCCGACTACGATCGTCCCCTTCTTTGGAGAGTAAGTCTTGTGTTTCTCCTTCCTGTAAAGCCCTGGGTCGTATAGTAACCAACCGTGTGCTACAGCCAACCATTTTGGGGCAATATGATCGCCGCCGCAGGAGCCGGCCCCGAGCCAATACCCCACAAGAACCTCACCGCACAGAAGCTGGCTGACGCCATCACCTATTGCTTAACCCCGCAGGCTGTTGCTGTAGCGCGAGACATAGCAGACAGAATACGCCAGGAGTGCGGTGTTCGTGCGGCAGTTAACTCGTTCCACGCGCATCTACCGCGGCGTAAGATGCAGTGTGATCTCATACCGAGCGAGCCTGCAGTCTGGTATTTTAAGACGGGAAGACGAACAGTTAAGCTGTCCAAAGTGGCTGCGTGGACCTTGAAGCACCAGGGACGTATCCAGGGAAAGCATCTCAAACGGTGAGTCAGGCCCTAAGCATACAAATCCGGGTTCGAACATAGGAAGAAATTTTTGTGGCTAACTCATTCATGATGGAATCAACCAGATACCAAACAAAGCCATTTACCATCGATATTCGTCGATGGGACCCATTTACGGCCGTTTCGTCGGCCTCATTGTCCACACTCACTGGCATGGCCGATGCCACAGCCGGGATCTTTATCGATCCATATAAGGAATACAAACGTCTCCGAAAATCTGACCGTAATCGTGACGCCTCCAACCCTGCCACCAGTTCATACTCCTCACTTGCTGCATCTGAGACATCATCTACGACAGAACCAGCATTAATATCACGGACGCATGCCTCTCCGGGCATATCGGACACTGAACTTAGCTCCGATGACCCAGACTACGCGCGGCAGATGGCTATTGCATCAGCTACAAGCCTAGGAATCTTTCTCGGCCGATCCTCTCGCGGCGCGCTGGTAGATCTACCTCTTGCTGCCGTTGAAGGTATGCGGGCCGTGCCCCGGCTGTACGGCGAAAAAGTACGTGTGCACGACCCGGTGAGGGACTGGAAGAGTGGTGCGGGCGTGGCATGGTCCACCTTCTCTCATGGCTTGTACGAGGGTGTCACCGATATCTTCGTGCACACGTACCAGGGGAAGAAGAAACAAGGCGCCCTCGGGGTGGCTAAGGGCCTGAGCAAGGGCCTAGTCAGCTTGACAGTTAAGACGGGGGCGGCAACGGTTGGTCTCATCGCGTATCCGAATCAAGGTATCTATCGCTCTCTGATGAGCACTGTACGGAAGCGACCTGTAAAGCAGATTGTGGAAGCAAGATGGGCGGAGGCAGAGTGGATTACTAGGGTCGAGGGGGGTGTGCAGATGGATGCAGTGGAGCTGTGTTCGTTGTACGATGAGTTGTTGTCTACCAGGGAGGAAGCCCGGCAGGGGCGGTAATATCTAACCTTGTATTTGGTAGCGTAATGTACATAGAATAGTTTATAAGGAACTACACAACCTACTAGGCAGTGTTAATCTACCTACCCTGCTACAAGAGCTACAGACTATAGAGGCGGGATATACCCCTTTTCTACATCTTCCTAACAATCCTGGAACACTAATTGATCAAGGTACGCTCGGCGAGTCTTGGTCTCGCTGTTCAGCCAAACATGAGCTTGCGTTGAGCCGATATGTAGCTTTACTATCCTGTGGGTTCAAATTAGGCAACGTTGATCGGCGTCTCTTTATATCGGCATCGCCTCCCTTGACCCACCGGTGGATCTCGATGGGACAAAACGAAAAATTCCCTCTTTGGGCAAGGGGATTTTGAATCTACTTATAAATTACCTCTACTTGATTCTACAGGTTGTGGGCCGAGTACAGTCGTCAGTAATGGCGCGGACTATCTGAGTCTGCGCTCGATTCCTTTTTTGGTGTATAATATTGGGCTCATTGCATTTTGCGGCCGGTAGCCGGACTGCGAAAATATATCGTGTCTATTGCCTGAGGTAAACCGTAACTGTACGCACTTTTATTTATATCAAGGAGGAACGATGAACGTTAGAGGCGGATTACATTAGAAAACTACCCCAGAATTCAACTGGTGGGACTCCACATTGCCTTTCCTATTTGGGTTATTCTGGCGTATTCGTATATTCTACACTGGTAGAGTCCTGTTACAGGTCGTCAGATTGCAATTTCTTTTCTCTCTTCCCCTCCATCTTTAGAAAGTAGACGAGAAACTTTATTTTAACAATTGACGCGACCTCAGAGGTTATGTATGACGTTGAGGGAAGGCTTATGCTGCCTGCTATCTACCTCCTGGGTCCCTCATAGATACCTCGCTGCTGTGAAACTCCACTGCCCTACTACACTTTGTATCAATAGGCAATTCTATATTGTCTAATAGATTTTAGGCTACTGTACATGACTCCATGGAAACCCAGAAGAAGGAAGAGTGGTGGACTCACGAAACGCTCCACCCTACCATGGTCCTAAGGTGGGTGCTATGAGATCGTCAGTGAAACGAAGATGCCTATTCCATGTGGTAGGAATACCACTGCCCATACGAACCTTTCTCATTTGTAATCTGACACTGACGGGTTGAACTCCGTTATGGTAGAGTATACAGTCACACTCACCGGCCCACCAACGTCCTTGGTACCCCTTAACAGCGGCTCGTAGTCGTCTATCATACAGGTATATATATGGCTTCCCTGCGCCGCTCATAGGATTTTATAATTCGACTCAACCAAAGTCTTTCTTGATTTATCATGCTACCTACCATTGCTCTAGCGCTAGCCCTGGCGGGCCCAGCATTTGCATCACCATCTTGCAAGGTGACTCCGTTAGACTCAGCGTGGCCGTCTACCTCAGACTGGGCATCTCTAAATGCCTCCATTGATGGCAGGCTTCTCCGTACCGTGCCCGTCGCCTCCTCGTGCTGGCCAGGTAACCCGTTTGGATCATCCGTGTCTTGCGGCAACGTTCAGTCAAACTGGACGAACGGAATGTGGCTGTCTACATTTCCCGAATCAATCGACTACCCAATCTATGCGAACAATTCTTGCTTGCCTCCGAACGCCGCGGGTTACGTCAAAGGAAGAGGCTGTACGACTGGAGGTCTGCCTGAATACATCGTGAATGCGACTACTGAAGAGCAGATCGCAACGGCAATGCACTGGGCCTCAGAGAGGAACCTTCGGATTGTGGTCAAGGGAACAGGTCATGATTTAAACGGAAGGTACGTTACTTTGGTGCTGCATAGTGGGTTTTGCTGACATGATCTTTCATCTCCATTCAGATCTAGCGGTGCATTTGCCCTATCTATCTGGACTCATAACTTGCGCAAGCTCGAGCGCAATAAATCCTGGATGCACCCGAGTAAAAACACCTCGGAGGACGTGTTCATTGTGGGAAGTGGCCAGCAATGGGGAAATGTACTCAACAAAGCCCTTGAGAACGGAAGAGTGGTAACCACCGGCCAGGATCCTAGTGTTGGACTGGGTGGTTACATTCAGGGTGGTGGTCACGGTCCCCTCTCCCGCACGTATGGCCTTGCTTCTAGTCATGTTCTCCAGATGAGGGTTGTCACGACCGAAGGCAAGATTCTGATAGCCAACGACGCCGAAAACCAGGACCTGTTCTGGGCCCTTCGTGGAGGCGGTCCTGGTTTGTATGGCGTCGTCACAGAGTACGTCATCAGACACCACCCGGCGCCCAGCAGTGTGACGATGGGCAACCTTTTGATTGCGCCCAAGGGTGGCAGCAACCAAAGCGCAGAATTGTCCTGGGATGCAGCTGTGACCCATTTCTCAGCTCTTCCGGACCTCATGGATGCCGGCTTGGCAGGAGCTTGTATGCTCGCAACAGGCAAGAGTGCGATGAACTTTGCATCACTTTCAGAACCCACCACTGGTGCTGTTATTCAGCAGGTCTTTTGGTCGTTCAACTCGACACCTTCGGCCATGGAGGCACTTGTCAACCCTATTCTGTCAAACATCACTCATGCGGCTGGTGGAAACAACAGTCTCTCCATCTCATTCAGTGCTTCTTCCCAGAGTAATTACTCGTCTTTTTTCAGCGCCATTTCCGGTAGCGATGCGGCCGGTGGGCAGAGTGTGGTTTCTAGCCGTTTGCTAGGACGGGCCGAGCTGCTTGACACGCCTCGACACAAAAGACGTGCTTACCTCAAGATAGCGATGCGTGCTCAGAACGAAACCGCCGGAACGTACGCGACAATCGGTCTACAAGGCGGTCCTGGGGTGCGCAATACCCCGCAGGGAGAATGGGGTGCATTACTTCCAGCCTGGCGCTCCGGGTATCTGCATTTCATTTCCAACGGTGCTACTGTTGACCCTATCGCCGCGGGATCGCCAAAGAAAGCGCTGGAAAATGCGGCTCGCTTCAACGAGGTTAAGGAGAAGATGTGGAGAGAGTGGTCGCCTAACTCGGGTGCCTACATGAACGAGGCCAACCCGTTCACAAGCAATTTCAAGCAAGACTTCTACGGCTCGAACTATGACCGTCTGGCGGAGGTTAAAGCTAAATACGACCCCAGTGAAAGTCTGTTCGTGATATCTGGTGTGGGAAGCGACAAATGGCAGTATGACTTGGATACTGGCAAGTTGTGCAAAGACAAATAAGTCTTGTCGACTGGTTTAAATATGGCTATCTGCATTAAATTGCTGGTGGTAGACGGAGGCCTGGGAGCTTCACTTTTGAATTGTAAATTAACATCTGTGTTGTAAGAACTGTGCAAGCAGGTGTTCGCCTTACTATTTGGCTTTTAATATTGTCTCTTTTTTCTCTTCTCAATTTTTTCTTTTCCTTTTTGCACCTATTTGAGTAGTTATCCTGTTAACTTGCGGAAAATGGATGTACGTTTGAGAGCCCAAGAAGAGTAAACGAAATGAATCCTGGTTGATGCAAAGACCCATCGAATAAAGCATATATAAGAAGTTGATCCCTCACGTTACATATTAAATTATTGCATCGTTGTATCTACTGAGATGCTTCTACATGACCTGGTTGGCAATGAAATAGGGCTTCTGATATCAGCAGGCAGGCTAACCCAAAGTGTAGAGCACGATTATCTAACCCGGACCGAGGGATAATCCGGAGTGGGATGTTTTCTGGAGCTTCCGAAACCAAAGCATTTGCGATAATCGTTCCGCAGCGGAGAAATTCCCTGTAACTTTATCTGCTCTCTAAAATATTTCTTCCCTGCACCATGGGTAAGCGCGGAAAGAAGGTGAGAGACCCAATTCAGTCCAATTGATCTGTTGCTTGAGACTTTGCATTCTCAATTTTACAGTAACTTACACTATACGATGCAGGGTCAGGGCGGCCGTGGTGGCGGGCAGCGCCAAAACTGGAACGACATTCCCAAAACGAACGAGAAGTTCGAACGCTTCTATAACGAGCAAGGGTTTATTCCAGAGGAAGAAAAGGAGGTATTCTGGGAGTACCTGCGGAGAGATCTCCCCAACAGTTTCCGATTCACAGGATCACGAGGGTACGTTATCGGTAGATTTTCTCCGCGCATGATGCGCAAATTACCAAAACGGCAAAGATACTAATATGTGGCCTAAAGACATGCTCTCGCAGTCCAGGAGCGCCTCAAGGAATTCTATATCCCCGAAATCACGTCGATTCAGTATGAGGGCAACTTCGTCGAGCCACCGCGCCCGGTCTCCTGGTACCCTGACCAGCTCGCGTGGTCGATGACCACCCCGAAGCAGGTCGTTCGCCGTTTCGCTCCGTTCGCCAATTTCCAGAAGTTCCTCGTCGCTGAGACTGCGGTTGGAAGCATTAGCCGACAAGAGGTTGTTAGCATGATTCCTCCGCTCTTGCTTGATGTGAGACCTGGTATGACTGTGTTGGACATGTGCGCCGCTCCGGGTAGCAAGTCTGCACAGCTTATGGAGATGATCCACGCTGGAGAGGAAGACTCGATGCTCCAGGCTTCCAAACAAGTGAAGGAGGGAACCGCTGGCCCCGAGCCTCTGGGACCTGAGGGCCTCAACGACGATGGTAGAACCACCGGTCTTCTCATCGCTAACGACACCGACTACAAGCGCGCGCACATGCTTATCCATCAGATGAAGCGACTCAGCTCCCCGAACTTGATCGTCACAAATCACGATGCTACCATGTACCCCTCGATCAAACTTCCCTCTCCTCCTGGACCCAACGGAAAGGTTCAGAATAAATACCTGAAGTTCGACCGTATCCTCGCGGACGTTCCGTGTACTGGCGATGGAACTCCCCGGAAGAATATCGGTGTTTGGAAGGAGTGGACCCCCGGCAATGCTTTGGGACTCTACGCTACACAGGTTCGCATCCTTGTGCGCGCCTTGCAAATGCTGAAGGTCGGTGGACGTGTTGTGTACTCAACTTGCAGTATGAACCCTGTTGAGAACGAGGCTGTCGTTGCTAGCGCTATCGAGCGCTGCGGTGGTGCCGCCAATGTGCAGATTGTCGATTGCAGCAACGAGTTGCCGGGCTTGAAGAGAGTCCCCGGCTTAAAGTCATGGAAGGTTATGGATCGCGATACAAGGATGTGGAACACCTGGGAGGAAGTTGAGGAGCACCGGGCAAGCCAAGGCATCAGTGGTCTTGGTAGAGTCGCGGCAGGCATGTTCCCTCCCACTGGCGAGAACGCAGACCTACCTCTCGACAGGTGTATTCGTATCTACCCCCACCTTCAGGACACTGGTGGATTCTTCATCACTGTTCTGGAGAAGAAGTCGGAGATTCGCGCCAAGCCAGAAGACTCTTCAAAGGTCATTCCCAAGGGAACTGTTGCCGCACTCACCGAAGAGCTTGAATTCAAGCAGAAGAATGGCAATGGCCAACCATTGGAGAAGATTGATGCGTTGGATGATATGGTAACCCCCAATGAGAATGCTGCAGAGGAGGCCCAGAAGAACGCTACTGTTGCAGAGGCTACCCACCAGCCCCCTTACTCTGCCACCAACCAGATGTCCCCTGCGAAGAGGGATGCAGAGAGCATGGAAGATGAAGTCCCTTCCAAGAGGACCAAACTCGATGATGGCTCTGAAGTAGTTGTGGGTGATCGGCCAGTTCACCAGCCGGCTCCTGTGATTGAGCCTGATAGTATGGATACATCCGATGCTACTTCCACGCCTGTAGCTCCTGAAGCGACCAAACCAGCAACGAGTGGAACTCAGGCCCCACCCCCTCAGAAACGGAAACCAGGCCAGCCGATTGAAGAACCTTTCAAGTACCTGGACCCTAAGCATGAGGAGCTCCCACCCATTTTCGAATTTTATGAAGGATCAGACCGGTTCCCCAGAGATCGATTCATGGTCCGTAACGCACAGGCCATTCCTACCAGAACTATTTACTACACTACCGCTCTGGCGCGCGACATCTTGACTGCAAATGAGGGACAGGGCATGAAGATTGTCCACTGTGGTGTTAAGATGTTTGTGAAGCAGGACGTGCAGCGCCCGGGTGTTTGCCCGTGGCGTATCCAGACCGATGGCTTGAGAGTCCTTGAGCCATGGCTGGGCCCCGGTAGAGCGGTTACCCTCAAGCGGAAGGAGACTTTGCGGAGACTTCTCGTAGAGATGTTCCCCAAGGTCGATGATGAGGGCTGGAAGGAGCTTGGAGAAATTGGCGAGCGTGTGAGGGATATCCCCATGGGCTGTAGTGTGCTGCACATTGAGCCTGATACTTCTGAGACTGGCTTCAGGTATGTTTGACTGAGTCTACTGTGCTGCATTGAACCAAAATCCGCTAACTGTGTACTAGCGAGCGAATGGTCCTTCCCCTGTGGCGCTCCCTGCATTCCGTTAACCTCATGCTTCCCAAGGAGGAGCGTCGCGCTATGCTTCTTCGTATCTTCAACGATGATACCCCGCTTGTTAACATCACTCAGAAGCGCGCAAATGCGGAAACGCCCGCTTCAGCGACTCCCGTGGTTGAGACAACAGACGCCGATAACACTCCGGCTGCAGCCCCCGCCGAGGCGGAGGAAGAAGCAATCAAGCATGAAAACGAGGTTCTGGGGCAAGATGAACAGGAACAGGTCGAAAGCCGTGAGACCTGGCAGAAGGTCGGTGACGAAGAAGATCGGTCCAACACGACTGTATAGTTTGTAATATGACTTGGGATCTACCGGGATCTACATATATTTAGCAAAAGCATTGATTGTACTATGAAAAGACACAGTATTATTTCGTATACTTGCTTGGGTGGTTTGGCTGTTACTAGGGCTCGGTTACATAGATACGGGCTTCTTACGTGCGTTCCCTGTATGGCCAGTCCCGTAGAAAACCCAGCTGCTCCTGGTTCGCTTTCCCCGGAGTCATCCAATGAAGGAATCGTCTGGTTCCTACAACACTGAGCAAATTGCCAACACGATAAGAAATCCTATGGAGCGCACAGAAGACTAGGTCTCTCGCATGGAGATCCACTCAGTATGGATAGATCTCATGCAATCAGTACAGGAGCTTGTTAAAGCCACCGTTAACCGGAACCAAGCACGAAAAACATCCCGACTAACATCATCTAGATGTCCCAACGTATATATCCCGCATCGGACGGAGCAGAAATACACCGACTACCGACTGCCGGTCGGATGAAGCCGACTCCGACGTGGTTAATGTTCAACGGTTAAATTTCGGCGAAATGGGGGTTAATGTTTGGAACTCCAGAATAACCTGTTCTGAACTAAATGCTTATTATTGACCGTCTCGGATAATAACCGTCTTGTCCCGCTCGATGATGTGCTGAGTAGCTTCACTGGTGGCCTGATGCTTTCTTGGCTTCTGCTCATCAACTTCCTGCCCAGAAGGTTAGGGTTGGCAGATGCTTAATCTGTCTATCTTATCTGATATTCAGGCACTCGACATGGGTATACCTTCCCCATGCTTGTCGATATCCTTGAACCATGTATGTATGGACGGCGATCAAACGAAATAACACAGCACAGCACCTCTCCGGGTGGTGAAGTTGGTTATGAAGGGCTCAGAGAGAGTAAATGCTTTTGATATGCGGAGAAATACTCCCGGATCGTCGTCCGATGGGGTCCTTTCCTCCGTGTGGGGGATCGTCACCAATACTTTCCCTCTACGTTTCGTTGCATTGGTCCGGTCTCACAGCATTCCAGCTCGCAGGAAGTACCTTCGGGCGTTCTGGCTCTCCTCTGATTTGGTCGCTAACGGTGCTTTGACCAGCAGGGGGCCATCGTGTCCCGGTTGGTTTTGTATACAGCTCCACGATTCTACATGATGTTTAGATGAAATCGCATGCACTCCACTTTTGACTAAGGACTCTATTGGTCCATTTCCTACCCTATACATCATTGACGCAAGGTGTTCGACATTTTAATTAATGAAGCCGGTTATTTATACTATTTATCCTTTCAACCCTACTTATAATCGTGCAATTGCCCCCGAAACGTGCGAAGTCTGCTGTAAGCGCTCACTGGGGTTCTTCTGCAGCACGACACCATGAAGCTCCTCTCTGTGGCTGCTGTTGCCTTGCTGGCGACACAAGCAGCCGGTGCTTCCATCAAGCATCGTCTCAATGGCTTGACGATCCTGGAACATCCGGATCCGGCGAAACGAGACCTGTTGCAGGACATTGTATGTCGTCATCAATTCTCGATCACTCACGATGCTCCAGAGTGATTATGTAAACATACTGACCGTTCTGCAGGTTACATGGGATGACAAATCTCTGTTCATCAATGGAGAAAGGATTATGTTATTCAGCGGAGAAGTGCATCCATTCAGGTACACCGGCCTTGCGTAGTGCTATGGCTCTATTCTGACAGAAACAGATTGCCAGTACCTTCGCTGTGGCTCGATATTTTCCAGAAGATCAGGGCTCTTGGTTTCAATTGTGTATCTTTCTATATTGACTGGGCCCTCCTGGAGGGAAAGCCTGGCGACTACAGAGCAGAGGGCATCTTTGCTCTGGAGCCCTTCTTTGATGCAGCCAAGGAAGCCGGCATTTATCTGATCGCCCGCCCCGGTCCGTATATCAATGCGGAGTCCTCAGGCGGTGGTTTTCCTGGATGGTTGCAGAGGGTCAATGGCACTCTTCGCTCGTCTGACAAGCCATTCCTTGAAGCCACGGATAAGTATGGGTTCGTTGATAGTTCCTGTGGCACACTTGCTTACAGTTTGGCTTTAGCTATATCGCCAATGTCGCTGCTACCGTGGCAAAGGCTCAAATCACGAATGGAGGGCCGGTGATTCTCTACCAGCCCGAAAACGAATACAGCGGTGGCTGCTGCGGTGTCACTTACCCCGATGGAGACTACATGCAATATGTCATCGATCAGGCTCTGAACGCTGGCATTGTTGTGCCCCTCATCAGCAACGATGCCTCGCCTTCTGGGCACAATGCTCCTGGGACTGGAGCGGGCGCTGTTGATATTTATGGCCACGATAGCTATCCGTAAGTCACTCTGCAATTGCCTTCTCCTTTTTCATAGGGTTGTCGTCTGACTGACACTGACATCTTCCTTAGGCTCGGCTTTGATTGTGTACGTTCTATTCTGCGAACGAGGTTGAATACTTCTGACGTATATAGGCAAACCCATCTGTCTGGCCCGAGGGTAAACTGCCCGACAATTTCCGCCAGCTCCATCTCGAACAGAGCCCATCAACTCCGTACTCACTTCTTGAGGTAAGTTACTCAACTTGGAGGACCAGTAATATGTCTCACTGTTTCCTAGTTCCAAGCGGGTGCTTTCGACCCATGGGGTGGACCCGGTTTTGAAAATTGCTATGCTCTCGTTAACCACGAATTCTCGAGAGTGTTTTACAGGAATGATTTGAGTTTCGGGGTTTCTACCTTTAACTTATACATGGTATGGCCTATTTATATCTTTGGAACATACCTTGCGCTGATACAGATAGACGTTCGGTGGAACTAACTGGGGTAACCTCGGACACCCCGGAGGATACACATCCTACGACTACGGCTCACCCATAACTGAAACGCGAAATGTGACACGGGAGAAGTACAGCGACATAAAGCTCCTCAGCAACTTTGTCAAAGTATCCCCAGCCTATCTCACCGCTACTCCCGGAAACCTGAGTACCGGTGTCTACACGGACACCTCCGACCTGGCTGTCACCCCTTTGATTGGTGATCGTCCAGGCTCGTTCTTCGTGGTCAGACATACGGACTATTCCAGCCAAGAGTCAACCTCGTACAAGCTTAGGCTGCCTACCAGTGCTGGTAACCTGACTATTCCCCAGTTGGAGGGTACGTTAAGTCTGAACGGACGTGACTCTAAGATTCATGTTGTTGATTATAATGTGTCTGGAACGAACATTATCTATTCGACAGCTGAAGTCTTCACCTGGAAGAAGTTTGACGATAACAAGGTCCTGGTCTTATACGGCGGACCGAAGGAACACCATGAACTGGCCATTGCCTCCAAGTCTAATGCGACTGTTATTGAGGGTTCGGACTCTGGAATCGTCTCAAAGAGGAAGGGCAGCACTGTTATCATTAGCTGGGATGTCTCCTCTACTCGTCGCATTGTTCAAGTCGGTGACTTGAGAGTGGTCCTGCTTGGTAAGGAAATCCACACGAAACTGGCGTACACCACTAATAAAATCCACAGATAGGAACTCTGCTTACAACTACTGGGTCCCCGAGCTTCCAACGGAAGGTACTTCTCCCGGTTTCAACACTGCGGAGACGACTGCCTCGTCCATTATTGTGAAGGCCGGTTATCTTCTGCGAGGCGCTAACCTGGATGGCGCCGACCTCCATCTTACTGCTGATTTCAATGCCACCACCCCGATTGAAGTGATCGGTGCCCCGGCAAGCGCTAAGAACCTGTTTGTGAATGGCGAAAAGGCTAGCCACACAGTCGACAAGAACGGTATCTGGAGCAGTGAGGTCAAATACGCGGCTCCGGAGATCACGCTTCCCAGTTTGAAGGATCTGGACTGGAAATACCTGGACACACTTCCCGAGATCAAGTCTTCCTATGACGACTCTGCTTGGGTTTCTGCGGATCTTCCAACAACCAAGAACACCCACCGTTCTCTTGACACACCAACATCGCTATACTCTTCTGACTATGGCTTCCACACTGGCTACCTGATCTACCGGGGCCACTTCGTTGCCAACGGCAAAGAAAGCGAATTTGCCATCCGCACACAGGGCGGTAGCGCATTTGGCAGCTCCGTATGGCTGAATGAAGTGTATCTGGGCTCTTGGGCTGGTGCCGATTATGCTATGGACGGTAACTCTACCTTCAAGCTGTCTCAGCTGGAGTCGGGCAAGAACTACGTTATCACCGTGGTTATTGACAACCTGGGCCTCGACGAGAACTGGACCGTCGGCGAGGAAACCATGAAGAACCCTCGTGGTATTCTTAGCTACAACCTGAGCGGGCAAGATGCCAGCGCAATCACCTGGAAGCTCACTGGTAACCTCGGAGGAGAAGATTACCAGGATAAAGTTAGAGGACCTCTCAACGAAGGTGGACTGTACGCAGAGCGTCAGGGCTTCCATCAGCCTCAGCCGCCAAGCGACTCCTGGGAGTCGGGCAGTCCCCTTGAAGGTCTGTCGAAGCCAGGGATCGGATTCTACACTGCCCAACTCGACCTCGATATCCCGAAGCTGGGATGTGCCGCTGTACTTCAACTTTGGCAACAACACCCAGGCGGTCCGGGCACAGCTGTATGTGAACGGTTACCAGTATGGCAAGTACACTGGCAACGTTGGGCCACAGACTAGCTTCCCTGTTCCCGAAGGTATCCTGAACTACCGCGGAACCAACTATTTGGCACTGAGTCTGTGGGCCTTGGAGTCGGATGGTGCTAAGCTGGGTAGCTTCGAATTGTCCTACACCACCCCTGTGCTGACTGGATACGGGGATGTTGAGTCACCCGAGCAGCCCAAGTATGAGCAGCGGAAGGGAGCATACTAATCTTAATTCCAAGATAGTGGGCTATGAGTGACGGACGAACAGAACTTTAGTGATGCAGAGCGCCTATTTGGCTGCAATTGCAATGGGATACCATGCTCTTTAAGTCTTTTGAGGTTCGAATCTACGTAGTAATCGCTTTGTAAACTTCCTTGGGCAGAGGGGTCTATTCCTGGTGTAATCATAGTAGCCGCGGAAATCAGAACAGATACCGGCGTAGGACCTACCATAGCTTGAGGCAACCAAAATCTGTAAGCTAGTAGGGCTAAGCTAGTAAGTAAGCCCAACTCTACAATTATACTTGCAATTCGCGCAGGGCACTGTTCAGCTGTTTAAGGCCCACAGGGGAAGTAAATATCGCCCTAGTCCCTTAAGTATTTATCCAGTATAACCTCTTCCTTAATAATACCCTTTGTCGCCTCTGGGTCCCCGGCCGAGTCGGTGTATACATTTATATTGGCTATATAATTATAGATTCGCCGTTTACATAAGATTTGCCCCCCAAGGGCATTGAAATATATATTGCAGTCACCGCTTTTCGTACCTGTGTTATGCAAGTCCAAGGGATATATTCTCTTACAGTAGATTCACAGCTGAAGAACGATCCAAGGCTTTCCCTGTAACCGACATCACTCACTTTGTTGTTCAGTGAGTATTATGCAGATCTTAAAAATCTAGTTACAGTGTTAACGAATATAGGCAAGACTCCCGGCCAGCAGCTGCCGACACCAGCACAAGTCCGGGCCCTGTCAACAGATATAGACATACACCCTCAACCAAAACCTATTATCTTCAGAAACCCAAATATCTTCGTCAAGTTTGGTCGCTACGTTACGGTTGCAGAAGCTCAGTGCCTTTGGATGGTTCAGCGGACCTTTCAAGGCGCTGTGCCGGTTCCTGAGCTTTTCGGATGGCGTGTAGACGACAAGGGCTACGCATACATTTATATGCAGCTCATCGAAGGACAAACACTACTTGATGGGTGGTAATGATCTTCACAGCACAGACAAAGAAGTGATGTGCAACCAGTTATACGAAATCATTAGATCTCTACGTCAACTTAGCCAACCGTCTGGCAAGTACATTGGTACGCCCTGACCTAATCTAGGCGCAAATGTGTTGCCGATATTGATTTATCTTTTCAGGATCTATTAACCGCCAAAAAAACCCCTGATTACGTCTTGCAGTCACTGACAGAAGCCGGGCCCTTCCCAAACATAAAGGAATTCAACGATTGCTTCTCCACCTTGCTCCAGTCGCGGCTTCTGGAGTCCCTGAAATATAAAGATCCCTATAGAGACCTCTTGCCGGATGGCGGAGACATCAAATTCACACACGCTGACCTTCACCGAGGTAATATTATGATATCGTCGACTGGGGTCAGGCAGGCTGGTATCCGGATTACTGGGAGTACTGCAAAGCTCTCTACACCTGCTGGTACGAGGATGAATGGCGTCGGGACTGGATTGACAAGTTTCTATATCCACAACTGCAGGAATTTCTAGTCTTCTCGGAATATACCATGGCGATCGGTGCTGTCTAAATTGGCCTTATCCCGGACAACAAAGGCCTTGGAATATAATTTAACGAACCTACTACCAGGTAAACAACCATAAAAACCAAAAATACCAATTCCATCTCATCATAAATAATTCCATATAAATTAATAAACCCATTATCCTACGGTAAAGCCCACAAAACAAAAAACCCACCCAAATAGAGTGAATGGTACTTAGACATTGGATGCGTGGACCCCAGCCAGCCCTAACCCAGCCCGTCCGTCTCCTGCATAAATGAATCTTCCCAGCCACCAATAATTCCAGTCCAGACCCTCGCAATCCCTCCACGTCGATTTTTGTCCTTTCCCTTCTGTCACACCATAACATTACTTCATTCATTCATTCATTCTCTCTTCCATTCCATGACCCCCCATTACGCAAATATCCAAAGACACAAGTCCATGTCGCGCATACAAGCATACTAGATCTCCACCTCCACCTCCACATTAATCAATCTTATCGCAATCTCCGAGATAATCCCGGGCCAGTACATTATTACTCCAAACATTGAAACCACAACCATAACTACAACCACAACCACGATCACGACCAACCAAACACCCAAAGATAACGGGCCAAAAGAAATAAAAAGAAAGAGAAATGCCCCCCCTCCCCCCCCAACACCACCGGCGAGACCTCAGCAACAACAGCGACAACAACCTCACAAAACGGCTCTCCCCCATCCCCCTCGGCCCAACCTACAGCACGATCTCCATCCCAGCCTCCTATGGCCGCCTCACCAGCTCCCCGGCACCGGGCACAGTCGCCGGGATCATCCTCGGCAGCGTCTTCGGCTTCATCTTCCTCCTCTACCTGCTCTGGCTGGGGCTGAGCTCGGGCCGCCGCTTCGGCAGCGAGACGCAGACGGAGATGGCGTCGGCGAGTAGTGCGGGCGGGATGCGGCGGAGACGGGGAAGGCGGATTGTGGTGGAGGAGGAGAGGCCGGCAAGTAGTGCGCATGGACATGGCCATGCGGATCACATTGTGGTGGAGGAGAGTGTGACGAGTGCGCCGAGTCGGTCGGAGGGCGATGTCATTGAGGTGTTTGAGGAGAATAGTAGTGTTGATCGGCCGCCGAGACGGGGGAGGAATGGTGGAGGGTGGAGGAGGGGCGATTTGGAGGGGAGTGAGTTTAGTTCGAGGGTTTGATTTGGATTTGGTCGATTCTTCTTTCTTGGGGGGGTTAGGTTGGGGTAAGTGGTATGGAGGGGAGGAATGGGGGTGCGTGTTTTTATATATTGATGATTGATACCCTTTTTTACTTTTTTCTTTTTTGTGTTTTTTGTTTTTCCCCCCCTTTTGTTGTGCTTCCGTGACTAGGTTATGACTGACGTGATTAAGTTGGACGCGATGATGATGGGTGTACGAGCGTGAATGACCATGATATAATATAGCAGAGGCATAAGTAATATATCACGATAACGATACCAACACGTTGATTAACCGAGCATCAAATGCAACAGACGACTATTCGCAGCGGAACAAGCAAGAAAGATACCCCGTACACCATGAACGAAACCAACTCCATTCCGGCGCCAAAAGACGAAACGAAACCTAGTCAAAGCCGCAGCAGCGTAGAAAACCGAAGGCGAGGCGCCAATCTAAAACAGAATGTCCAGACAACAACAGCAGGCTAGCGCAGCCATGATACCGGCGCAAATACCACCGCCCGAGGATCCGCCGCCACCGCCGCGGTCATCGGCGTAGTACCCCTGCTGCGGGTAGGGCCCTTGCTGCGGCGGGTAGTACATGGGTTGTTGACCCTGCGGCGGCGGAGAGCCGTAGTATCCCTGCTGCGGGGGCGGACCGTAGTTCTGCGGAGGGTATCCGCCTTGGTTGTAGTAGTCGCCCTGGGCGCCTTGGGGAGGGTAGTAGGGCCTGCGTCGTGGACGGGGGCGGGATAGGAGGGAGGCGGTCCGTCCTGTTACGCATTTGTCAGTGCTCTGTGTCCGTGGTGGCCATGGAGAGGGGAGAGGCTGCGTACCGGTTTGTTGTAGGACATGTTGGCGGGTTGTCCGGAGGTGGTTGAGGCGTTGGAGAAGGTTGTTGAGGTGAACTTGCAGAGTGGATGCGCTGGTGGTGGTTTTAGGCCGGGTGGCTTACTCCGGTATTGCGGGTGGCTGGTTGCCCTAGATATCTAGTTCGAGGAGGAATGAGAGGAGGCCAACAGAAGGAACAGAAAGAGGGGATCGGAGGAAGGGCCGAGAAAAAGGGATTGAATGAAGCGAGCGGATTTAAATTGAAATTGAAGCCCCAAGACCCTTGGCGCTGGCTGTCCTGTTTAGGCAACTTCAAATCTAGGCTGGGCCACATTCTGGACGTGACTTGACGCTGGACGTCTGCACCGCCACACGGACCTCGGGCCACCAGCGGCATGGCGTGCCGATGGCAGGTGATGGCGATGCTTCCCCCCCCCCCCCCCAATCATTGGCCGACCGCGTCCTGGCTACGCACACCTTGACGTGGCTAAACTTAACTATGGCTTGCTTGCTTACTACTCGGGAAGTCAATTGAATACGGTAGATTCGGTTCATATAGCAAAAACCAGCAACGGCGTCCCCAATCGCTCAGATCGTTCCTCACAAGCTCTGAAATCAACGCTAAATCTCATCATCCTGCTCTGCAGACTTTTGGGGAGGGAATCGGAGAGGGTAAATGGATAAGAGGGGAGAAAGAGGGAGTCCTGCCATAGCATGATGGAACAAGACAAGACGAGAAATCAAAAAAAGAGTAGTAAATATGGATTACAAGAAAGGAATAATAGCCAGACGGTGGCCGTGCAAAGGAGAATTAAACCCCCTCGGACCGGTGCAAGATTCCCACACAGAGAAAAAGAATAAGGGAGGATCTGCAAAAGCAAAGAGTTATCGATAAGATGCACAGAACTAACCAAAAACAAATGAAATGTAAATGCTAAATCTCCGCTTGGGGTCTAAAGCGTCAATTCGCTGATGCAAGAACATGCAAAGTTGCATAAATCTATCCGAGGCGCATCGCTTAGGCCGTCTCCTCGAGGGAGGCCTTCTGCAGCTCGTCAGACACATCGGCGGCAGCGTCCTTCTCCTGCTTCAGCTCGGCCTCGGCCGAGACCTTGCCGTTAACACCGCTGTTGATGATAGCGGGCTTCTTGGCGGCGTCAGTCGCACGGTCGTCCGCCTGAGCGGCCTCCTCCTCCAAGCGGGCAATTTCCTCCTGGGCCTTCTTGATGTTCTATGGAAATAATTAGTCACGGTAGCTCATACGAGTGGGAATCAAAGTAGAGCCGGTACATACCTCCTCGGTCTTCGAAGCCTGGTTCTTCTTCCACTCGGTGATCTTAGCGGCCAGCTTCTCGACAACGGCGGGGACATCGGTCTGGTTCATAGGGGGGTCGATCTTGACCTGGGCGAACTCCTCGATGATACCAACGTTGAGGTTGAACTTCTCGGCGGGAGCGGGGCTGCCGTTGGCGTTGCTCTTCTTGCCCTTCTTACCCTTCTTGCCACCAGTGCCGACGAAGTAGTCGTCCTCCTCCTTCTTCAGGACCTTCATGCCCTTCATGCCGGAGTCATCGATGGTACGGCCAATCTCAGCACGGAACTGAGAGGACTGGTCCTTCTTGTCATCCAGGCCCAGAGCAGCGAAGTCGTAGGCGGGGTTGAAGTGGCGGATAAGACCCTGAGCGGTAAGGATCTCGTCGGTGTAAGCCAGGCGAGAGGCCTCCTCGAGCTTCTTGTCGGCAACCTTCTTCTTCTTCTCGCGCTCGAAGGCGTCCCGCTGGGCCTTCTGCTTCTCCCGGCGGACTCTCCAGGCCTCATCCTCGTACTCCTTGTAGGCTTTGCGGGCCTTGTAGTAGGTGTCCTTGATCTCACGCATAGCAGTCCACTTCTGCTGCTGCTCACCGTGGAGCTTGGTGCGCTCATCCCGCAGGGCGTTGAGGTTCTTGAAAGCGCCATCCTGCTCGGCCTTGATGGCATCCAACTCCTTCTGGATCTCGGCGTACTTGTCGCTCAGGGCCTTGGCCTCAGGGTTGTCAAGGGTCTTCTTGAGGGTGGCGATCTGAGCCTTGATGTCGTTGATAACCTTCTGGGCCTCGTCCAGGCCGGCGAAGTTCTTACGCTGCTTGCGCAGGCTGGAGATGTCGGCAAGGTTCTTCTTCTCATCGACCAAGCGCATGGTACCAGAGTCAACCTGCTTCTCGAGGCGCGCGATCTCGCGATCAATCTCCTCAACGCTCTTGAACGACATGCGAGTCTTGGAGTTGTTCTGCTCCGCAATGCGGGCCTTGAGCGTGCTGTCCAGGGCATTGATCTTCTCCTGAGTGCTGGACCTAGACGCCTTGAATCCCGACTGCTTCTGACGGATGGAGGAGAGCTCAGCACGGAGTTCCTGCTGTCTCTTGGCCGCGGGCGAGTCCTTGTTGTTGGGCTTGGCGGTCTCGATCTTGGCCTTGACTTGGTTCTTCATGAAGTTAGTGTCTTGTTACGTCAATGGAATGCGGGAACGGTGTAGAAAAGATCTCGACAAAACGTATGGCGGATCATAAATGGTCGGTGGGAGCCGAGTAGGAAAAGGGCACAATGTAGTTTGTGCGTTGTATACGACAACCATTGAGACTCCCAAAGAACGCAAAATGACATAAGAAACTGTCACATACCAGCTTCTCCTGGACCGCAGCATGCTCCTTCTCAGCCTGCGCGAGGTCGGCCTTGAACGCCTCCTCACTGGGCTTGGTAGGCTTCACCTTCTGCTCCGTGGCAGGAGCCGATTTGGCTTCAGCGGCCATCTTGTCGGGGAATTTGCAAATAGGGGGGTAAACACTTGACAATGCAAATAGATTGACCGAAATCAATCTCTAGGAGGGACCCCAAAAGAGCGTGAAATGAGGGGAAACCAAAGGGGAACGTTGAGAGAAGAGGAAAAAGGAATGGGGCAGAAACTCGTGCTCATTTTCTCGGTCTGGCCTTTTCCTTTGGGGTTAATACGTTGTTGGCGGCGCTTAACCGTTGCCGCTTAGCGCTGTTCCGCCGATTTTTCGAGAACCTCCCTCTATCGCTTTTCGCAACGCTGCAACTCCAGCCAACTTTTTGTTGTCCCATCCCACGGCTCACATTGGGCTCAGAGTTGGTCATTGATCTCTCTAAATTAACTCTTTACCGACACTTCTCTTTTTTTTTTCACTTTGGTTTTGTGTCGTAGCGCAGGTGCGCCTCATTTTTCACCATGGACGAGGACTACTCTTCTGGCTCCGTCGATGCCGACCGCGAGATGACCAGACTTTGGCGCACATGGAGGACGGTATTCGAAATGCTTCAGGATCGGGTACGTGCTGCTGACGGAGGGGAGCAATTAGCTACACTCACGGCGTCTGTTGCACAATGTATGCTGACAAGCCATTTTCGGACAGGGCTACGAAGTCACCGAAGAAGAAGTGCAAATATCGCTCGAAGAATTCAAACATAAATACTCCGATCCCCTCGGATACCCAGAGTATGCGACCCCAGACAACATGCACGTTTGCAACCTCCCAAGGAAACAGGCCGCTAACAATTCGGCGTAACTTTTGTGCAGCCGCAACAAGATGAAAATCCAAGCTCGCCCCACGGAGGCCATGCAACTCAAATACACGGCCCTCAAGACCAACTCCAACCCGGACCCCCAGCCCGACTGCGGAACCATCTACGTTGAATTCTGCCCCGACTCGACCGGCGTCGGTACCAAGCAAGTGCGCGCCTCAACCATTTCGTCGACGAGAACAACTTCCACACCGGCGTGTTCATCACCCAGACCCCGATCTCCCCGTCCGCCGTGCGTCTGCTGAGCGGTGTCCCCGGCCGTATCTGCGAGCATTTCCAGGAGCAGGATCTGCTGGTTAACATCACCCGGCACGAACTGGTCCCGAAGCACGTTCTGCTGAGCCCGGAGGAGAAGTCCCGGTTGCTGCAGCGCTATCGTCTGAAGGAATCTCAGTTGCCCCGTATCCAGGTGTCGGACCCCGTGGCGAGATACCTGGGCCTGCGCAGAGGTCAGGTCGTGAAGATTATTCGCAAGAGTGAAACGGCCGGTCGTTATGCCAGTTACCGTTGGGTTATTTAATCGCGATCTTGACGAGTATGGCTTGTATGGTTATGCTATATGAACGGACGGCTGTTTGCTTGGGGGGAGTTAATCGCGCTTTTTTCCATTCAAAGATGCCAAAAGAACATGTCAAGTTCGCCAAGAGGTTCCGGGGCACCCTTGCTGGGGCGCGGTTTTCTCCTGCACGATGGCCTACGCCGTGTCTCACCCTCGAAGTGAACATATAATCGAGTGGATGAGATCTCAAAGAAGAAAGGAGAAAGAAAACCAGAGGAGTGGGCAAATCACGGGACGAAAAAGAAAAATCAAACGAAAGTCCAATTGCAGGCATTATGGGCAGCATGGCGTAAGGGCGAAACGAATGATTCATGGCTGGAGTGTACTGTCATGGTTCTGGTTGATTCCTTTGAATTTTTACTAATCGCAAAAACCCCGACTATATTGTACAATTTTCTTGATAGATTACTGAAAAATGCAATGGTCATGAGATTTCCAGTGGTCATCAATAGTCACGCCTCTTTCCCAAGTAGAGGATGAGACGGGTCACATTAAGATATAATTAACTCAATCCAATGGCAACTATAGACATATACATGTAGACCAAGATATCCAACCAATATCAACGCCATCGCTAATTCCGACACTTATCCAGTACACATAACCCATATTGAACAACAGAAAGGGAAAAAAGAGGTCAAAAAACGTGGGGAGAATAGACCCCTAAGAAAAAGCGAAGGAAGCCTATTTATACATCAAACTACCGTTTATTATATACCGTCATTATTCATGAATGTTTTGATAGTAATCCCCCAACATCCTGAAGTTCGACATCATCACTTCCTTCAGGAATTGGGGCAGTTACATCGGATTGGGATCGATACGGTGGAGCCGGTGACTCCGGCGTATCACTGAAATGCACGCTGGACCCTCGTCGGCGGCCATACGAGTTACTACGAAGACCGCCAGGTCGTGAAAAGTTCGGGGACGCGTTCGGAGCAGCCCTTAAGGTCGGAGTGGAGAGTAGACCGCCAACGTCTTGAAGGAATGTTGTGCTTCCACTGCGTGTATGCGTCGTTTGCCCGGGAGGAGGCATTCGGTACTGCATATGTGATGTTGGAGGGGGACTGCTCCCCGGCGATGGATCCAGGAGACCGCCGACGTCGAACATAGAGACTCGGCCGGGTGAGCTCGGGACGGAGTCGCCCGACGCTTTGCGCAACGTTTGATTGGTTGGAAGATACTCGTGTGGACTCACTTTGATGTCAAGACTGCCCGTCGTAGAAGATCGATCGTCCTCGATAGCAGATGTATGGCGGTTGAAAGACCAGTTTGGGTCCAGTGTACCCGTACGGGCTGTAAAAGGCTCGCAGGGGGCAACCACGGGGGCTGGCCGAGGCAGCTTGTGGTCAGAAGAAACCAGCTCAGGGTGCAGACGGATGCCCAGATCGCCTGCCAAGTCGGAGTCACTGCCCCAGTGGTGGTGTGTGATAGTTGTACGACGAACCGAGCTGTGATCCATGCTCTCGCTGACGGAGGCAGATCCTAAGGCCTTTTTGAACTTGGCTTTCTTGACGCCTTTGTCTCGCACAAAGGACCCAATGACTATGGCATTAGAAACCGCCGTGGCAGCGAGGATCTCTAGAGATGCCAGAAGAGATCGGTATTGCTGGGATCCTTTGTGGCTAATCACGGAGGGTACGCGGTAGCAAGTAATGCCGACGAGAATCAAGGATAAGGCGAAAAGAATAACGAGCGAGGCTTTGCGTTTCGCAGACATGTGAGTCATCATAATCAGAGGGATAGGAAAGGCCACAAGAAGAAGATCCGTAATCACGTCGCATACTCCCATTGTAATCAGGTTCGCATAGCCAGAGCGACACTGAGGGCCAGGGTCCGGAACCACCTGCCAGTAGTGGCTGAAAGGCTGGCATTCAGTCAGGGTTGCGAGGACCACGGCAATCAGAGTCGATCCCAAGAAATAATAGATAAACTGGAGAAATATCCGGAGAGACCGGCGCCATATCATCTCCGAAACCCGCTTGAGAAATTCACATACGGTAAATTTGGCAGTCCAGATGCTTGTTGTAGTCAAAACAGTCAGCCGGCATGTTTTATCTTAGAACAAATGCTTCGAAGCAGTAGCCTTACAAGATAGCATAGCAAATTCGAGAGACCAGAACCAACTTGCTTCCAACGATCCGATGTTGAATCTCCTCTGCCGTCAACCCCCCTGTCTTCGTATTATTGGTTCCCCAGATGAGAATAACATGCACAAGGGCCATGCGGATCAACAGGGGGATAATGGCAAGCATCATCACCTTATCCTCCCGAAAGAAGCGCTCAATACGGACATAGCGACCACAGACTCGAACCACAATGATGGCCAGGGAGAAACCGGTGGCCCACCAGCTCACCAAGAGCGTTGGATTATCGTCGGCCTTCGTTCGAGCATTCGGAGGGATTTCCGGGTATAGACCGCGGGTGTCCAGTACAGTCATGGCCGCTGAACCACCTCCGCAGAGGGGCCAGTTGGAAACAGGCGAGCACAGCCCAAGTTATCAAATAATAACGCACCGTGGATGAGTCCCTGGAGTAAGTTCAACAACGTAGTGCCTTTGCTTGCACTCACATTGCTCATGACGAACCACTCTGAGCATGCACGTGCGTTTCCCCAGATTAGAGTATTTCCTCAGTGTGGGGAAAGGAGGTATAACGTAAGGAAAACCGGGGAATATAAGAGGCGACGATCTTGCGGGCAAGAATAGCGGGTGGAACCGGCGTTAAATGGGTGGTAACGGTGGGAGGGAAAGTGATGTTGATCTGGTGGCGTCCCGGGTGGAGGAGCCCCTACTTCGTATAGATTCTGGTCGTTGACGAAAGAGCAAATGAGGGCAATCGGGAAAACGAGGGACAAAGGGAGGTAGACAGGAGGTTCACCTGGTAGATAAGTATAGAGCCTTTGCTCTTACGTACCCCAAAGCGAAATAAGATTAATATTACAGGGAAAAGAAAAGGAAGGATTTCACCGCCGTTTCGGTAGAAGTTGTGAAATATATTAACTCAAGGACAGTATGTCACAAAGTCAGAGAGACAGAGATGGTTGGTTAGATCAAAGGAAAGCATCCATATGCAAACGGAAGGGGGACACCCCGGCCAAAAAGCAACCCATCAATGGCTATTTAATAATAAAAACAAATATGTTGATAATCGTGATGATAAAAATCACACCCACCTCGAGGCCAAGGGTCATGGCGGCCAACCGATAACCATGGATTCAAGAGATAAGACCAAACGGTGGCAGTGGGCGTCGGGAAGCGCCATTTATCGGCCCTCCGTTTGGTTCGAAGAGCAGGATTCGAGGACGGAGGAGCTGGGCAGGTCAGCACGAGATGGTATTGGACCAGCCAGAGAGAGGCGATAGAGTAGGGGACTTAGCCGCTCCAGGAGCTGTTTGCGGAGTAAGTTTATTGGCTTCCGCCCGATGGCGATGGCGAAATGAAGCATTGCTTGTGATTCTTGGACTCGAGAAGGAGATTCGAGCTTGGGCCGGTTATCATCCGCCTTTCAAGGTACGAACCCTGTCGAGAGCGTGAGCTCGTATATGATCAATGCTGCGGATTATTAGCGACGAATAGGGAGACAGAGCGTAGGAGATAATCCATGCTGTTACCTTATCAGATAGTTGGGAGGAATTTGGAAGAATTCCATTGGTAGTTGACAAGTGACCCGATCAATCTCCTACATAAGATGGACATGACTCGTGCAACCAGATTGCATTGTAAAGTGTTAGGGTAGTATCCATTCTTCGATGGTTGAAGTTACCATTCGGTAGGAGAATCCGTACGACAGACACAAGTCACGTCAGCTGTGCCTGGTCCACGTGGCGGTCTTGTGACATTGATCTTTCTCTCCTAAACCCACAACACATGAACTCGCCATACCATCGTAAGTGTTAATTGGTATACAGAACATACATACATACATACATGCTACGGTTACTACTTTGACCAGTAGCAAACGTATCCTCCAGACTTCTTATCACGACCCCGTACGATATGTACCCCCTATTCCATACGACTTGTACCGAGTATACATGGATAGTAACCTTCTGGTGATGGTCCCATTCGCGCCTCTTACGTATTTGCCTGTCTCTCCCGGTCGGAAAATGAAGATAAGGAAAATACTAACGGGCTTTAATATTAAGACGAAATCTCCGTTCTATATTGCAAAGATAATGTAAAAGGCTAAGGAAGTCTATCCTGAAAAGTAATTAATCTTGAGAAAAGAAAATAATATGGCTGGTTCCAGTTCTGATGCGCTTATCCTCTCGACGACTGGACATCCGCTCCCCTGAGAAGACCGTCCAGGACGACCCGCAATTCCTGCAGGAACCTAGTGACTTCTTCCTCTGTTCCTACTGTAACCCGCAGGCAACCTTCACATCCAAGCTCCTTTCCACGGAACCGTACCACCACGCCGCGTTTTTCCGCCATAGCTTCGTACGCAGCCAAGGCAATCTTGTTGCTGGGCTTTCCGCCTTCACCGGCAGGCTTATCTAGGAGTTCAACTAAGAGGAAGTTCGACTCTTGTCCACCAAGGAAGCGACCCACTCCTGGGATCTTAGGCAGTTCCTGTAGCAGGCGTTCGCGCTGAGCAATAATCTGCTCCCGGTATTTCTTCATGACAGCCATGTTGTTAGGTGACAGAGCGGCCATAGCAAGTGCACTAGTTGGGCTTGAGATGTTATAGGGGGCCTTCAGGCTGTTCAACAGACGGGCAATGGCAGGGCTGCTGAACGCAACTCCTAGTCGAATACCAGCCAGACCAAAAGCCTTGCTCAAAGTCTGCATAACCACCAGGTTGGGCCAATCGTTGACCCACTCGGCGAGACTGGAACCTTCAGGCGCAAAGTCGATATATGCCTCATCCACTACAACCACACCATTCCATGTGGGATGCTCCAGCACCTTCTGAATGTCGGACTTACGGATCAAGTTGGCAGTGGGGTTACCCGGTGAGCAGATGTACACCATCTTGATCGAGTCATCTGCAGAGAGAGCCTCGAGGATCTTGTCCGGCTGCAGTTGGAAGCCATTCTCGACATCCAGAGGCACCTTCACAATATCTACATCATTGACCTGCGCACTAACACCATACATGCCATAGGTAGGGGGGCAAGTAAGGATCTTGTCCTTTCCCGGCACGCAGAAACACCTCAACAGAGCATCGATGGCTTCGTCGGAGCCGACTCCAACGAAAAGGTTCTCGGGGATCAAGTCTTTTTGGCTGTGGATACGGGTATTGCGGAGCTTGCAGAAAAGTTGCTTCAACTCAATCTGATGTCTAGTAATTCATCAATCCGAGTCAGCTTAGACTTGTTAGGGACTAAAGTATAGGTGAATCACTCACGGGTCGGGATAGCGGTTCAATCCCAAAAAATCGATGTCTGGCTTCGAGGAGCCAGTCGAACCTCCATTGACTGTAGATTCTTGCAGAGCGCCCTCCGAGTTCAGGGCAAGACCGGGACCGTAGGCGTTTTCGTTGGCATCGAGCAGGACATTCGTTCCGTCATCTTTGTAGTCACTGACTCATTAGTTTCTCGGGCGCTGATGCGGGAATCTGGAGGGCAAACACACTCTCTCGCACAGCGATAGGGCTGCAATTGCAAGATATTCTTGCGCGCGCATTTAGAGAGATCGAACGGTGATTGTCTCGCAGCCATTTTGGTATGATATTGCTGAAGTGAAGAGATTCCTTGCAAACCGAAGAAAGATTGGTGGGGGGGGGGGCTTTAAGTGGCGGGGAAGATTAGAGGCGGGACCGGTCTCGGAAGTGTGACTCCTCAGGAACGGTAGCTTAAATCCCTTCGGCAGTCAATGGAATGTACTACTGACCTCTGCTACATACAAGTTTTGCATTTATAGTGCCAATGAGCTATATACGTAAAGGTACATGACATTTGTTTTCCAGAGAAGCTATAGCTTGCCTTTTTCGAAATTATTCTTTCAGGATATTCCGGGGTGTATATCTTTTATCTTATAGGTCAGGTTCGGCAAAGACTTAGTATCTAGGACTGAATAATTATCATACATACTTGACCAGGCTGCTCTTCATTTATATTTATGCAGATAATCTAATAATAGACGAACTTTACCATTCACACTCACTTTATTCATTAAAGGGAAACGAATGACCTCAACTTGAAGCTCACAGGCACAAATATATAACTTGACGAGACTCGTATACAGCCGAATGCATCTAGCATAAAAGACCATCACTCGGAAGGCACCTTTACAAATCGAGGGGGGGAAATTAGAGAATTGTACAAATAGAACCGCCCCCGAAAGAAATTCAAAGCTTGCCCATGCCCGCGTTGTTCGGGACATTAGACTGAGCCTCACTGGCAGAGGTGGCAGGCGCAATAGTAAGCCCTGAGAAGTCCGAGAAGAAGGAGGTATCAGTGTAAGAGGTAAGACTGCCCGAGTCGGAAACGACATTCACTTCGCACGCACGACCAAGAGCCGATTCGCAGTCGGCAGCAGACGACGAATCCGGTGTGTTGAACAGTCGGCCGGCATAGTCTCCAACAATCGTGGACACATCCACCCAAGCATTTCCCTCGAAGATTCCCCTGGCAGCTGCCTCGCCGCCCTCCAGTGCATGGCCGTTGTTCTTCTCCCAGACGTTGTTTACGGCATGCAAGAGAGTACCTCCACTCAAGGCTGGGCTGCGGCCGGCGGTCATGTAGATATGGCAGTTCTGCATAGTAATCTGGTCTGCTTCGCCCACCATCTCAAAGGTCCAGTAGGTGTACCCGTCGCAGCCTGTGGAGTACGTAGTTTCACCGTTGATGAAGTTGTTTGAGAGAGTGATACGGGTGTTGGTCTCGAATCCGAAGGTGTAATGTTGCCGTCCGGTGCGAGCCGTCTATGATATCTATCAACGAACTGCACTTTTTCATCTGTTCAAAAGGGACATACCGTGACATGATCAATCCAGATTAGGTCAGATCCATCGAAATAGATGGCGTCACCACCCCAGACATACTCCGGATTCAAGTCGGAAATCTCAATGTTTTGTACGATGATGTTCGACACGCCGTCTCTGAATCTCAACCCTTTGCCTTTCATAACGCCCTTGTCTCCGTCACCGAGGATTGTCTTGTTCGATGCAACATCAATCCCCGTGGTCCCAGCAGTGTACCAAGTTGCTTGCGAAGAAGGCGAATCTCCGCAGTCATCCTGGATAATCTTCTGACAGCCATCCCCGGTTCCCCAGGAAGCACAAACCGTTCCACTGGTCGTGCCCTCGGACTCGGTAAAGTCATATTCCTTGTCAAGAACAATCACTCGTGGGGTATCATCGGTAAGCCATTCCTTCAGCTCATCGATATCGCTGGGAATCTGTGCTTCTGCGTCGCCACCGCCTGTCACCCCGGCAGCGAAACCCTCAGCTGAGCCTGAGACTGATACGGCTGCACTCAGCGGTACTAGTCCCAGGAGGACAGCGGGAATGGTTGATGTGATCTTCATTGAGGCCGAAGAGACTGAAAAAAAAAGGTGGTTCTTTAAAAGTACTTTGGTAAATTGATAGTCAGAAAGATCCCGAGGGATCTTGTACTGCTTAATATAACCATTGATCTACCGCAACCAAACCTCATTTACAACGGACCATCGATTCTTAATTACCGAAGGACTTGGGATCGGCTGTTGGTTCTTCGGCACTACGATATACTAGTTTTATGCCTGAAACAGTTCTGCCAACCCGGGACCGTTCCACATGCATCGCTGAATGCCTATAAACCCCCATTTATTATTGTGCACATGTGCCGGAAATTAAGCGAACAGACAACAAGAAAGATCAGCAGAGAGCGTTTATCTGTCGACTTTACATCCAGAATAGTCAAGGGGAGTGAATCCCCGGCAGCCTTGCATACCTCATGTGCGCATTACCCACTCGGGCCAAGGGCCGTGTTAGGCAGAGATCGACAAACTTGCATTATATCCAAAACAATTTGAGCAAGAGCCGAGAACTTGTCTTGGGTATGGTGTCGCTTAAAAAGCTAGTCAACAGTATTTTGGATCAACTGATCGGAAGGGTTTGTTCGTATGTCTTCTAGAGAGCCCCTCTTCGCGACGTAGGAACTGTCTTCCCTAGATGCATTTGGCAATTTGCAGTTGCAGCAGCTTAGTATGGACATGGTGCATGATATCTAGGTGAGGTATATCCTCCGATGTGATTATAGGAGTAGACTCTGCCCCCGGCAACCGATTCGCTTCGAAGCGTTCTGCAGATCATTAGTACGCTGCATGAATGACTGCTGTTGTTCATGTTTGCCTGAAAATTGAAGACGATTTTACCACCAATTATATGTACCTGGAGGGCTACACTTTGGCGCTTTTCGCCTTGGCCTGGCAGTAGGAGGAGGAGAAAAGTAGTAGCAAATGCCTTGGATTTGTCGGGGCCGTACTGCTCTATATAACTGTCTGAGCTAGTCTATCCTATCGTATTCATCTATGTACATTGTGATGTTTCTTGTTCCAGTTATCCGTACGGTTGCTGAGCCAAAAGCGGCAAAGGGGAAAGGGAGCTTGAAAGGATGGAAAAAATCAAGCACATATGTCAAACCAACACAACGCCTTGAGATGCCTTCTATGATGTCTAGGGCTGCCTATTGGCAAGCCATGCTTCAGTCATAGCTATGACACTAATGATATTATCTATTCCTGCTTTGGCGCTTTCTCTACCGACACCTCGCTCGGAGGGCTGGCATGTTTGCCTGAAGTCTTGTACTTATTTTGCTTTTCTCGCAGGTAGCGCCAGGTCCTGCCAATTCCGGAGGTGACCAGACCTTTGGCCGACTGGATAGTGCTGGGCCAGCGGATGGTCTTGGTGATAGAAGCTTGAACTTCCTGCTTCAGGCTATCGTCGCTTGCGATGCGCTGCTCGAAGGGACCGCCTTGTCTCCGCCGGACCAATGCCTGGTCGGCATCATTGCTTTCCTTCATCATTTTGTTGAAGTCCCCACGAGGTATTTGAAAGCGGGTTTGATACTGGAAGTACAGCTTCGCTCGGAATGACTCCGGCAGACGGCGGACCATATTACCACGTTTTACTGGGTCCATATCTTGGGTTAGCTTCACATTGGCATCGGGATCATCGATCCAATCGCCTTCGGTGCACCGTGTGTCGTTGAAGGTGACATTCGGTAGGGTTTCAATGAGCGGTGCATAGAGCCGCCGGAAGTTCGCCATCTGACCTGAAACAATGTTTCTAACCTTACGAGGATCCTCTGCCGGCAAGGCCATGCGCAGATCTCCCATATAGCTCATTCCTGCAATGGTGCTGTAGAGTTGGAATTCCGTAAACTCAGCTGGCAGGAGCAGCAATGCTACCCGGACGGCAGACAGCAGGTTCATCTGGTTTGCTAGCCGGACCTTCGGATGGTCACGGAGAATCTTAACCGGCTTCTGTAGCCGCCCAGCGAGGTATAGTGTGTCCCATTGGCTGAGATCACGGCACAACGTGTCGAGATTGACAACGCCATATTTGATCAACGTTCCGTTAACGGTGATGTATGGGTTGAAGTAAACACCGGCGCCGAACCTATCTTGCGTTTGAGCGACAGCGTAAGACCCTAAAGAACCCAGTCCAGAGTAGTGGTCACGATGTTGATGGAGGTTTAATGAATGCCAGTGTTGGGAGTATGACACTCCAAAGATAAAATCAATCATCTTACCCTGACCTTGTTGCATGTTCTTGATCGCAGCCGGGGCAGACGGGTGACACTGGCCGGAGCCAGGAGCACTGCCGGACTGTGTGAAGACGCCCGAACCATAGGCGAATGCATATCGGATTGGTGCTCGGAATTGCCAAAGGATTTGACGTAAGGCTTCTTTAAACTCTTGGTTGATAACCATGTGTTGGTTGACACCAAAGTCCTTGGAAGGGAGCTCCGAGAATGCATCTATTGAGAGATTCGCGTTATCTTCCCAGTCACCAGGGTCCGAGAGTCGTGAGCTGGTAGAGAATGACGCTGTAGATGATGAGGGAAGGAGAAGGCCATGCTCGCTGGAAGCAGACTGTGAACTGAAACCTCCACGAGACACCGCGCGGTTTCCAAGTGGATAAGTTCCATTTAGAGTAGGGGCCGAGGTAGAATCGTGGGAGAAAGAGCGCAGGGAATTAGGGATGCGAGCGCATCGCGGCAGAGACGGATAGATCGGGCGCAGACGCATGATTGAACCCGATCTAGAGTTTAAAAGGAGGGACTTTGACGAAATCAATTAGCACTACCCACGGCATGTAGACTGCAAGCAAATACTGCCTTACAGTAACTTCGCGCATTGTCGCGGTTCCTCAAAAGGGAAAGAGGGACTTGCACAGCGAGGGCTGTAATTGTTGAATAACGCAATGACCATTGAACGTTGCCGATTCACACCATGTTTCACTGAAGGAGAGTTGACGTAGAGTAAGGGCGGAGTTGAGGAAACAATGAGGTCGAACTGCAGATACTTTCCTGCGGGATAATCGCCGATTACCCAATGGCGGCCGGAAGGTCTGACGTACTCGCCCGGCAGGTGTTCTCGGCCAGTCGAGATTACCCAGCGACCGCCCGCGCCACAGCCCACAAGCCACACGGCGTCACGTGGTGCCGTATCTCCGCGGGCGCGTTCCCGATGGCTCGACCCAAACAAGAGAGTAAACAGAGGGATCCTCGCTCTCTGCCCGTCCTGTCCTGCGAGATCGTGTACCTTCAAGAGGTAAAGCTATATACATTGTGATCCTGGGACCCCCATCCCACCTGATGGTCCGCTGATCCCGCGACAATGGCCGACGAAATGGAGACATTCGCTGCCCGCCTTGCCAGCTTCGATCTGGTATTGCACCCAGAGAAACGGAGAACATCGAGCGCAAAGGCCGTTAAATCTATTGCGTGGCCGCACCGCAGGCCATCGCCCGCTGAGGTATATAGAACCTGCTAAGTACAATACTTGTTAATCGGAAAACTGATCCCTGGTTATTGTAGTTGGCGCACGCGGGCTTCTACTACAATCCCTACGAAACAAATCCAGATAACACAACATGCTTTCTGTGTCATAGAGCGCTTGACGGATGGGAGGAAGAAGACAACCCAATAACCGAGCATCTGAAGCATGCGAATGATTGCGGCTGGGCTGTTATGATGGATATTCAGCAGCACAGCTCAAACCCCGCTGAGATAGAGGATCCCACATGTGACAAGATAAGAGAGGCGAGACTAGCCACCTTTGGCACTTCATGGCCGCATGATGGGAAACGAGGGTGGGTGTGTCAGTCAGAAAAGGTATGATGTTTTGCTGCAACTTTTCCCGGATTCCATTTAACGACGGTTCTGTGCCAGATGGTCGACGGAGGGTGGTATTTTTGCCCTACTGAAGAGAGCAATGACCTAGCAAGCTGTGCATATTGCAAGTTGTCCCTCGATGGGTGGGAACCCAAGGACGATCCCTTGTGAGTGCTTATCGCTCCTTCCTTTTTGTCACAACTAACCTCTCTAGTGATGAACATTACCGTCGTTCCGCGGACTGTTCGTTTTTCGTCTTTGCTCAGCCTCCTGGTAAGAAAGGCAAAGGCCCACGTTCGAAAAAAGCACGTACCTCCAAGGCGTCTCGTCTTTCAACCCAATCAACTGCGTCGGAAGTTATCTCGGAAATCGAAGACCCATGGACCAGAGCACTATCTCGCAGCCAGCTACCAAGACGAAAGCAACCAAAAAGTCATCTAAGTCGAAATCAAAGAATGTGAAGTCTAAAAAGGAAGAGGCGGCGGAGACCGACAGCCAGATGGATATTGATACAGCCGACTATAGCCAACCCGAGCCCCCCAAAACAAAACGAACCACGCGTGGAAAGAAGAGGACAAGCGACCAAGTAGAAAGGGAACAAGTGAATGTGGCTGACTCGGAAAACTTTGAGGACGCCGAACCACCCACTAAAAAGCGAGCCACAAAGTCGCGAAACAGCATTCAACACGACGCCAATCAGAACGATGAAGTCACCGTGGACATACAGCCGGAAGAGAGTATCCCAGAAGACGAGCCCAAAAATGGTCGCGGAACCACGAAGAAAAAAGCTCCTTCAAAGAGCCGTAAAGCCTCTAGCGGCTCATCTACGTCTAAAACCGCTTCAAAATCTCGCGTGCCTAATGACGACGAGCTTGACGCAGCACTTGTGGCCGATTTAGAACAACCGGAAACCGAAGAGCAAAGTCTGCAGGTTGTGCAGAAGCCATCGAAAAAGTCCAAGTCCAAGAAGAAGCAGAAGACAACACCAGAGCCGCAGGATGTGGTCGACCATGTCGATGAGGAAGAGACCCGGCCAGGCAAAGAATTGCCTGAAGAGCCTGAAGAGCCTGAAGAGTCTGGCTCTAGGCCAGCAGCCCAAGAGGATAAGCCGGGCCATGTCAAATCCACGCGCAACTCAAGGGGCTCTAACATCCCCGAGCCACAGCCGGACCTTGACACAGAGAAAGCACCGAAGACACGGAAGCGGTCGGGAGCAGCCGAGACATCAAAGGATGACATGAATCCTAGGGTCCACGAGTCATTCGTTTCAGTGGAGATCCCAGCTAGAGTTCCTACTCCCGTAAAGCAGCCCAAAGATGAACCTAACGACAAGGATCTCAAGAAGAAGACCAAGCAAATATCTTCCACAGAGAAGGCCAAGAAATCAAAGAAAACAAGCAAAGCAGAGGCTCCTGAGCGCGAGGAAACTCCTGCTCAGCAAGAGATGGATCCTAAACACAGCCCCGGGGTTTCTTCAGCCGGTCATGACCTTCCTGAGCAACAGAAACCACACGAGCCGCAAGCACAAGAGGTTGAGCAACCTTCCACACGGCGCAGATCATCCAGAGTGCCTCCAAAGACGGCAGAGAGATATAGCGATATCCCCGAGGAAAAGCAGTTTGCCAGGACACTTGCAGGATCGCGGGGCTCGGATAGCCATAGAATGTCAGGCTCGGCTGACCAAGGCAATATGTCGCCTATTCCTACCTCGAAGAGCACGCCGTCCCTCTCGCCGCAGTCTTCCGATGCTGAGAACCAGCCACCATCTCTGAAGCCGTCTGCAACGCGGACCCTGGTAGTATCACCATCTAAACAACAGGCAGTACGAATTCCACTAGCGCCCAACACCCCTTCGCCGTCGAAGCGTAATGCCAATGCCGGGGGCCTGCGCACGACCCACCCGTGGAACCCTATCGATATAGATGAGATTCTCCTCGCTGGATCCAGTGACAAAGAGAACGTTGATTTAAGTTCGGCACTAAATGACGTGAAGGGCGATCTGACAAGCCCGGAGAAAAAGATGTCTGTTGAAGAATGGATAAAATGGCAGGCCAAGAATGGCGAGGAGAAATTGAGGCAAGAATGCGAGAGGCTAGTCGGGCAATTCGAGAGGGAGGGCGCCCGTGCAATGCGAGTACTGGAGGGAATTGAATGCATTGATTGATTTCGAATTTCGTTTATGGGATTTGGCCGGCTGGGAGGAGTCAAGGCATGGGATATGGGCGTTGGATATCCTTCTTTTTTCGTTTTCTGTTCATGACCGGTACAACTATTATTTTCATGCAATTTCGCTAGATAACAGCGCGATATATGAACGTCTTTTTTTTTGAGTTGAGATCCAATTGCAGGACCATAAATGCCCAGACCGAAACCAGAACGCCGAGGGTATACTGCAACTTTTATCGACCATAAAGCACCCATCCATGTACAAGCCAGCACATCCCAAAGGGAACCAAAAGAATGCATTCATGCGATGATTCCCAGCCGACCCTCCCAGCTGTCTTCTTCCTGCTTAATCCCATCTCCACCCTTGCGCCGCTTCTCATTCCTCTTCCGCCTCTTCTCCTCTCGTTCCTTAGCCTCCTGCTCCTCCCTCTCCTGAAGCCTAGCCCCAAGATCAAGCTGCCAAGCCCTCCGTTCCTCCTCCTCTCGCACCCGCTTCTGATGCGCAAGCTCCGTAACCGCTGCCGCACATCCTCAACAGTCGCCCTCGTCACTTCGCCACTCTGCCCCGTCGCAATCAAATGCTGCTTACTATTCAAATGCTCCACAAGCTGCAAGTTATCCTTGAAAGTAAGATCACAGTCCCCACAGTAGAAACCGGCTCCCCGGCCTCTCTTGCCCACCGCCGACCCAGCCGACACAATCGTGGTCTTGCCCACCATCGACGCCACATCTAGTCGCTGTTTTCGGGATGTCGTGGCCTCTAAAGAGCTGTAGTCGACCGGTGCGTGCCATTTTTTGCCCAGTAGTTTGGCTTCATAGCGTGCTTTGGATTCTTCTTTGCGTCTGCTTTCTTCGTCTGCGGCTTTTTTGGCGTATTCTTCTCTGTCCCAGGTCTTGCGGAAGGCGGTGTCTGATGTCGCTGCCGTGGGTTTGGACATTTTGTCTTTTGATATTCTTCGTTCGTAGCTTTGGTAGTGGGTGTCTTGGGTGAGAGATGAAGGCTCTGGTTTTTGTGTATAAGTGTAGCTATTGAGATGGGTTGGTTTGAGATTATGGATGGATTGATGGATATGGTATGGGAAATTATCAAAGGCGGTAAGCGGTGAGAGATAGGTATCATGTGATCTATTTCATCTTGGGCCCATCCTCTCCGGTTTGGGGATAGCGGCGCCATGCCACCATCCAAATGGAGTTTAGGCCCTATTTATACTGTGTTACTGTGTACAACTACCTACAAGATACGACCTGCCATCTTGCAACAAATATATAGAAGCGTAGACATGCAATTTAATCCCAGGCATAACTGGTTCTCCCGTCACTATGCCCCTGGGTCATAATTACGGACCACGTCAAGCTCGTTTCTCCAGCTTTTTGCCGATCTGACTGAACTCCTCCCGCCACTTCCCAACCCTATCCTCATGCTCGAATGGATCCTTATTGATCCATTCTAGGTCAATATGTATTTCCTTGGACAGGGTAATGGTTCCCTCAACTGGCTCTCCGAGGCCTTCCAATAGCCCAGGACCAGCCGCCGATGCAGGCTTCAAATCGTCCCACACCTTGACCTTGTATTTCTTGCCAGGTTGGAAGAAGAAACAGGCTGGCAGCTCACTTTTGGACGTTGGGAAGGGCTGCATGGAAGCTTCAGGAACCTCTGTCAACGTGAGAATAGCGCCTTTCTCAACATGTCTTTGGTTGAGCGAAGAGGCTAGTTTATCATCCAGTTTCACATTGCCGGCTGAGAATGTCGCATTGGGTGCTTGCAGGAGCATGTGTGAGATGTGCCATTGCTTCCCTGAGCCGTAGAGATAGAACGGCATGTAATCGTCGGGATATTCGGTCTCTCTGTTGGCGGAGTTGAGAGGACGGCTCTTGATCACACGCTTCAATGTCACGGGCGTGGAAGTGCGGACTGGACCACTGTGGTGTTTGTTAGATTTCAGACTGTAGGTAACTGCTAGAGGTGCATCGCACTTACCCATGCTGCGTATATATAGTCCCTTTGAAGCTCACCGGCTTGCCTCGCTCGCATTCACCCACCACCTGCTGGAGGTCGATCTCTGCGGATGATTTGAGGAAGAGAGGGTCCTCAGGATTGGACTCCCGGATTTCAATATAGTCTGATTTGGCGTTGTCTTCGAGCTCCACGGCCAGAATGATCTGTTGTCGGTGTTTGCCCAAGTGGAGTGATGGTTGATAGGCCAAGAAAATCTCGTCTGTCCCCTGCATCACAAATCGGTGGATAGCCGGGCCTCTTGCGTTACGCTTGCGGCACAGTCTGACTCCATCCTCGACTACCGAGCGGAAGTAGTCCACCATCGTGCTGATAAAATCATTGTCTGTGGGGAATGGACTCATGACAACATTTCTTAGTACAAAGAGAGGCCGATCGCACTGTGGAAGACCCAGTCTCCTCTTGAACTCCTTGGCACACTTGCCATATAGCTCGTTAGTGAACTCAGTCGACGTCAGGTAGAACGGGATCTTGGTGGGATCCTGGTCTGGTGAACAGATAGACAGGCGCTCAACGACGTGTCTTGTGAGATAGTTGGCTTCTTCTATGTCAGTGTTCCAGGTTCTGTCCTTGTCGTCATACCGCCAATTGAGTGCAAAGGCATTGATGTTCAGGTCTGAACCGAGGCCCCGGAGAAGTGTCATGAGCTTTTCCTCCGCTGGTTTGCCCACATCACTCTCAACAATGTCGCGATTGCTTTTTGGGAGGATTTCGCGACGGATTCGTTCCTTTTCCTCCTCTATCGCGTGCTCATCGAAGGGGTCCTTCCATTCTGAGGGGAGCTTGTGAAACGGAACGCACATAAAGTAGTCATCGTCTTTCGTGGTCATGGCGGCCCAGTGAGCTGAGAGCTGATATCAATTAGCCTTATATGAATCGCCAGATACTTGTAAAAGTTAAGGGCCTACCCTAGTACATGTGAAGGATACTTCACTGAGCAGAGCGCCGTATCCTTGGGGATTGAGCCCGATACACTTGTTGGAGAGCCAGGTTGACATGGCTGCAGCACCAGGCTTGCTACTTGCTATCAGCTCCCTGAAGTTGCAAAGTCACCGACATGCCGTGAACATACCTGCCCTCGACACCATAAATTCCCATTCCGGTCTCAGAGCCCTGAGAGAGCACCGGAGCGGTCCAGGTGACGAGATATCTCATTCTTCCATCGCGGTACACTAGACTCCCTCCGGGGTACGGAATATAACCTGCCTTATGCGGATCTACGGTGATGGAATCTGCGTATTTCAGTGCGAGAAGGTCTTCTTGAGTTTCCAGCTTCAAGCTCAGGTCTGGAACAAAGCCCTCTGCTCCACCATCAAAGCTATCCTCCGGGTTGCTCACGGTGGGCCCCCGTGGCATGTCATACAAGTTCCGTGGAAGCATTGTGGCAAAGTAGCCTCCCCACGCAGCGTCCGCATGGACGAGGAATGACAGCCCCTTCGACTGGAAGCGCTGGCGCATCGCCAAAATAGCACTTAACCGATCAACGGCCCCTTCTTCAGTCGAGCCAATGATAGCAACAACGGAGTAGACTGCCTGGCCCTCGTCAAGGCACCGCTGGAGGCGCTCTTGAAGCACGTGGAGGTTAATACGCGCGGCGTCGTCGACCTCAATGCCCTCGAACGTATCCGACCCAAGGCCAGTTATTGCTGTAGCAGTTAGTGACTACTGATATCAAAGACGGCGAGACTTGGAGTAGCTCACCTCCGCCCTTGGGCCAAGAGTAGTGCCTCGTATTCGAAAGGAAATACTTAATCGGCTGCTTGATCTCGAATTCTCTTTCCAGAGCGTCTTTACCCGTTGACTGTATGTTGAAGTTCTGCAAGGCAGATTCCACAAACTTGGGCGAGATGCCGAACTGTTCATGCAATTCCTGTGGCAGACCTAGCACCGTCTTCGGTCTCAAATTGAGCAGTTCCCACGTAGACAGATCCTTAAACAGCTTCCTTTCGCCTTGACAAGTGGTTACCATGAACCTGTCCGCCACGAAATTCAACGGTCCTTTCCTCTCCTTTCCATTCATAACAACAGCCTCACTCATGGCTTTGCGAAGAGCCAACGGATAAAACTTCAGATTCCTAGCCACCCAGATGGCCTCAAGGTTCGCCACAGTTCCACCACAGGTAACATGGCCCCAACCAGTGGGCACGCCTTTCCTTGAAGGATCAATATTATACCCAAACAGATGGCACATCTGCTCGCCGACCTCCATTTCGGCCACCGTGGTGAGGGGACTAGCCTCCAGCGCAACATTATTAGGGTTATAAACCATGGTCATGAAGTACCCCAGAAGCGCCGGCATGCTCAAGTCCGTGCACATGTGAGCCTGGTAACGAGGATTCCAGAAGGGAATCGAGTGAGAACCCATCAGCTTGGCAGCCTTTTTCACGGCGTGAGCGAAGTTCCGTGTAATGCGCTGGAATTCCTCGGAGCCTTGGATGCTGGATGTGATGAAGTTCTGCAACTAATGAGCTTCGGCCTGGTGGGTGCTTTTCTTTTCAGAGAGGGATATGCTACCTGGTCGCCCTTGAATTTGTATTTCTTGCGGGCATCTTCCAGCTCTCGGAGGATTGTGGATATGTTATCCTTGAAAAACTTCATATTCTCGGCCTGAGGCCCTATGAAATAGGAGCTGATGGCTTGGTGAGTGAGGTCACCTTGGTCCGACATTGTTCAAACGGCTGCTATCGCGATAATCTACGACCAGAGATCAATGGTAGAGAAGTGTGGACTGGTTATGGTGGGCTCCTGGAGGGCTACCCAGTGCTTATAATGCTCTTGCGCGCTCTCGGACAAGGGTCGGTTTTCTTTTCCTGGGGGGTTATACGAATTGGAGAAACCATAATCAGTGGCGGTGGTTATATCCCTCTGTGGAACTGCAGCTGCAGAACTTGGGCTTTTACGTTCGGACGATTGGATGCTCGGACAAGCATTGGGCTGCTGTGAACTGGGTAGCAATGAGGGTGTTGGACCTAGTCGGACAAACTAACAGGGAGTTCGTGGCTAATGGCCTGGCGCTCACATATCCAGCCATGTAGGACTATTAGGTGACTAGACATCTTTTTGATGTGTCATATGTGTTATTTCTGCTTGCCCGCTGCATTGTGATATTTGCAGGGTTGCTTTCCGTGGACCAAGTGCCCTAGACACACCTATTGAATGACACCCAACCATCCTTAGAAAAGCCACGTATGGATGAGCTTCGGATCGCTGCATATCAGTTGACAGCGTGACATTCGGAAGGCTTGCCCGCTAGCTGTAAAAGTAAGGTGGGGTTGGGGAGGGAGTAGAGGCAAATGAACAGTTCTACTAGTTATGCAGTCGAGTCGTACTAAAGAACGGCAAGCAAAGCATTTCCTTGATTTCCAAGTGGGCCAGCTAGCATTGTGTCCCAAGCCCTTAGTAGCTGAATGACAGCTAAGCTGCAAGGTTTGGCTAGGGTTAGGGAGGGGGATTTATCAATCCTTGTTCCTCTCCTGTGGAGACAAGTAAGTCTTCATGCAGGTTTCAGCTCTTGGCAGTCTACCGGCTCGTGTTGCTCATTTATCCACAAGCCCACGTCGTGGAAGGTAATGGGATCAAAGACTGGTCATATCGTGAGATCTCGTCTGGGAGGAAGTCATCACGAGCCATGATTTTCAACTTCTGTTGCTGCTACTCTCAAGTGCGCAGCAAGTAACCTGTCTGCATCAGCGGACATATCATTCTGAACAGCGGGCTTTTTCTTGACCAGAAGAGTGGCAGCTGCAAGGATGCAGATCCGACATGCTGTGTAGGCCTTGGATTGAGTCCGTCTTACTGTGCACGTCAAGTGGGGATTTCCAAATACCTCCCTTATTATATGCAGATAGCCATCTAGACAAGTCCTCCTTTACAGCAAGATATCAAGATCTGACAAGCTCAAGATATCAATAAAATGCGAAAGGCAGATTATACTAGGGAGCGATATCCTTGATCTATACAGGAAGGCCGACATCACCTCCAGCAGTGCCAGTTACGGCTAGATAGAACAACCCGAGGAATCTTTTCGGACCCCGCGGTGGCTGTAGAATAATTGAATATACATATAGCAATTGCCCTAGTACCTGGCCGTGTATTCCCCTCCCCAGTTTGATTAGTTGAGTTCTAGGGTTACAATTAAGAAACGTTAAAGAAATAGTACCTTCATCCCTCCTCTATATGGCCTCTACCAGCCCCACACATTTCGAAATCTCAACCGCATCCTACACCAAACATTAGCCAGACATTCAACATGCACCTCCCAAATGGTCAAAAGCAAAAAGGCACAGTGGCACTCACCATAAGCCCCGTCGGCTCCAGCCCCTCCACTAACGTCGTTTCATAGACCAAAGATGGATTGCCCAACGAAATGCCACCATCCGAGAGACACCCCTGAAAGGGCAAACACGCCTCAGTCTTCGTGGCCGGCGAAGCCCGGACATACTCTGAATACTGCGGGTTCCCGGGCCTTTTCATATCGTCCGCGACGACAGTAGATCCAGGTGCCACCAGGCCCAACTCCTCGCACAGCTTCAAATCATTCAAATACGAGATCTTGGAGTGATCGAGAAACAGCATATCCCGGGCCTCCGTGGCAGAATCACTATTACTACTACTGCTACTACTAGTAGTAGTAGCAGTAGTATTAGTAGTCGTCTTGCCCTTCGCCAGACGCTGGAGAGACGCGCGGCAGGGCCCTACCCAGATATCGACGATGTCGTCTAACCCCGCGATCGCAACCAGTGCTTTCGAGACGGCGGCAAACTGGGGGTTCATTTCCAGACTGAGGAACCGCGGGGTTTGGCCTGTTGTTGCCGCTGCTTTGCGGAGAGCGTGGCCGAACATGATGGCCGAATAGCCGACGTAGCCGCCAATCTCCAGGATAGTGGATGGGCGGTCGGTGGCGATGAGGTCGGTGATCAGTCTCCCTTTGTGAGGACCGACGTTCATCAGGAAATCCTTGGTGCGGCCGAATTCGTCGATGGCGGCGAGCACGGCTTCTGGCGAGTTGCGGATTTGAGGGAGCTGGGGGTGGTTGGTGATGAAGGAGAGGAGTTGGTCTTCACGTCCGTCATTGCACTGGATCCGAGGTGAGAATTGCCCAATGGTGTTCTGGATAGGGGAGGGATTGCTCTTACGAAGACGGTTTCTTCAGGTTTGTAGAAATCGGTGGGTAAGTCGATGCTGGGCGCCATGTTGTGGAGAGTTCGGTGAACGGAGCTGAGGTTGGAATATGATCTAATGTCAGTCGATTGAGAGGTGTGATTCTAAGCAAACATACTGACTTCCACGATGAAGATTTATATATTTAAGCCTGGACGGGGTGCAAGGTTATGCCCCCTGGCCCTGAGCAGCAAGCATGGATCCGCTTTCGAAACGTCGGAAAAGGGCTATATATGATGATGATGCAACGTGGACCCAGCCTGACATGAAACCATAGAATGCAACAGTTTGGATCGGGTACCATAGTACGGAGTAGCTTTCTATTTATGTATGTATATCTGAAAACGTCAGACGGTGAAAGCACACCATTCCTGGACAGACTGCGTGGAAACCTGTTTCGTGGATTGGCCATGGGAGTACTACTAATATACATCATGACTATCTACCCCAATATCATAGGAACAATTCAATTCAATAGTTAGCTCCCTCCAGTCGACTTAGTTCGACAAAAATGACTTCAACCCCGAGTGACACAGCTCGGACCGACGTTCTTATCGTCGGGGCCGGTCCGGCAGGGTATGTGGCTGCGATCTTCGTAGTGATCCTGACAATGTCATTAACATCCCATGGAATAGATTAATAGCCGCCGCATGGATGGCTCAGATGGGTGTGCAGACAATGCTAATTGACCAAAAGTCACATCAGACGCAATGCGGCCGCGCCGACGGACTGGAAAGCCGAACGTTGGAGATCCTGGACAGCTTTGGCCTTGCGGACCGAGTCTGGGCGGAAGCAAACCATACGGTAGAAATTGCATTATGGGTGAGTGAGCTTCTTGATACCCCGATTGTTGGAGGTGGATTCTTGCCAGGAGATACCTGACGGTTTGGTGTAGGGCGTCACGGTCGACGGAAAGCTCCAGAGGCAGAGCGTCACTGCAAACTCCAAGCCCGGATGGTCGCGATTCCATGAATCCACCCTGGGCCAATCCAAAGTGGAGGAATATCTCATGGAATATGTCCGTGGCCGGGGGTGCGTCGACGTGAAACGAGAGACGGCTCCAACTTCTTTAGAGATCGACGACGGGGTCATCGATGACCATAGCACGTTTCCGATCCGCATGCATTTGGAAAATGTGGCTTTTAGACCGAAGTCCCATTTCGATGGCATAAAGACCCCCGGCAGTGATACGAGCAGCGAGCCTCATTCGGATGACTCCGGATATGTAGGGATGGACACCGTGGTCGAAGCCAAATACCTCGTGGGATGTGACGGCGCACACAGCTGGGTTAGGAAACAACTCGGGCTCCGTCTCGAGGGGGAAAGCTCGAATGACTCTTGGGGAGTTCTGGATATTATCCCCCTCACGAACTTCCGTGAGTTCTGCCCCGGCATATCTCATGGTGCTTTGCTAAAAGAAAGGGACGGCGAGTAGCCGACATACGGAAACGGTTCATCGTGAAGTCAAAACACGGAACTCTCATGATGATACCGCGGGAAAGAAAGCTCGTCCGCGTCTATGTTGAGCTGCCCGACGATGTAGCCATGCGATACAGAGAAGAGCAGGACGGCGAGATCCTCATGAGCCAGGTCGAGCAGATCATGCAGCCGTATATAATGAAGACGAAGCATATCGACTGGTTTACGATTTACACGGTACACACGTCCGCAAGATCCGTCGTATACGGTGTCACCCCCCCCCCAGGGCTAACTGATTCCGCTAGGTTGGACAGCGAGTCTGTCGAAAAATCGGGTTGCGGAACCGTATCTTCCTTGCCGGTGATGCGATTCACACGCATTCGCCCAAGGCAGGCCAAGGAATGAACGTAAGCATGCAAGATACGTTCAATCTGGGCTGGAAACTCGCTTCAGTCGTCCAAGGCATCTTGCCCCCACGGATCCTCGAGACTTACCAACAGGAGAGGCTACCTGTGGCCGAAAGATTGATCGCACTGGACAAGCGGATTTGCCGTGGAATGTGCAGTGGCAGGGGGGCGGACGGCGAAACATTCCACGGTTCCTTCGACGAGGACCACAAGCGAGCGCTGGAGGAAGAGAACTCGTCCGCCTCAGGTCTCGCTGTTGTTTATCGGCCGAATGTGCTGGTGACATCTGGCATGACGGGGCCGGAACCAGCAAATGACGGCGGCAGCAAGCCCCGTCAGGCGACAAACCTCCGGGTAGGGGCGCGCATTCCAAGTATGCTGATCATTAACCAGAGTGACGCGCAACCATGCCATTTGCAGCGTATCCTGCCCAGCACGGGGGAATGGAGCCTGATCATATTCGGTAGTGACATTGCAGATCCGAGCCAGAAGCAACGTCTCAGTCACCTGGAAGTAACCCTCGGCCACCCCGAGTCTATGATCCAGAAACTGAACACTCACGCAAGCACGATGAGGCGTGGCTCTGCGTTCGTCAGAATATATCTGATCCACTGTGCGGAAAGACTTGGTATCGAGCTTCACGATCTGCCCACGGTCTTCCGGCCGTGGACGGAAGACAATGGGATGGATTACAGTAGGGTATGGGTGGACGAGGAAGCATACCACCACGCTGGCGGAGGTCAATTGTATAACTCCTTCGGAATTGGGCGGGAGGGTTGCATGGTATTATTGAGACCAGATCAGCATCTGTCGTTTCTATCGGACATGGATGATGTTAAGGGGTTGGAACGCTTTTTGATGTCCATCACGCCCGAGGAATCTCGTACTCCAGTAAGATGTTAGTTAATACTTATAACGAGGATGGAATACTACAGAAGGATTTATCTCAAGTATCAACCCTGGTACAAGTCCATCTAGGTAACAAAGCCCTCATCTGTATTGGCTATGAGTGAACAGCAAATGCTCCGATACGTTCAAAATATCCTTTTAATTCATCAGGCTCTCGGGCCCCGATAGTGATTGCAGCATGGCTGAGACGACTCGACTCGTTATGGACCCAGCCACTCACGATCAGACTACCATTGCGAATCTCGTCTGCAAACGTCTGCTCGAATGTGTCTCGGGAGCATGAGAAGTCACCCGTAGTCATGCCAGCTTCAAACAGCCCACGCTTGGTAAAGTGTCCCATGAGAGGGCCTAGATGGAACGTACCGGTGACCCGGGCGTTGAGGTCAATAACTAACTGCTCCCCCGAGTGATCATCTGAAACGATATCCACGCCAGCCGGCCCATGGTAGCCTTTGGTATGCAGGAAATCTGCCACCTTCTGCATGATGGTTGCAAAGGTCTGGCGAAGTCCCCCCTGCTGGCGGTACGATATTGTGCCGCCAATCCAATGTCCCCGCGCATCGAAGCGTTGCTCACAACAAGAAATGAAACGGGCCTGCCCATTTTTGGTGATAAAAAGCGACAAGGCCACTACTGGTCCCGCAACAAAATCTTGAAGCACCATGGAACATGGATATAGGTGATGGTTGGACCGGTTGAGCTGCCGTAGGATCACTCCCAACTGCTCCGTGAGGAGAGTCTTCACTCGGTTCCTTTCGACGTCGGTGGTGATCGAGAAGGTACCGATGCCGGATACGGACTGCGGAAGCTTGACCATAAAGGGCACTTGACGCTGGTCGATAGACTCCACCATCCGTGCAACCTCTTGCTTCACAAGAGTTGGGTCGTTTGAATCGACCAGACCGGTATCAATCACTTGGGACGGTGGTGTCGGCAAGCCGGAGAGAGCAAGTCCGCGTTTTGACAGGATCTCATAATGGGTCTCCGGGTGAACGACATGGGGCAGATGCGACATACAGTCAGTAGGGAGTAGGACAGCAATCTGCGCCCCAGGGTCTAGCGATATGCTTTCCGGGCTAATGGCAACAGTCAATATCGGCTGCTGGTCGGGCATTAATTGGGAGAAGGTCCGACGGATATCGAGATGGTGCACCGGTAGCTCGTCAATGGTTTCACATGGTTTACGGTTCGCTTCTTTCTGCTTGTTGGTTGAATCAAAGTCTAGGATGACCAGGGGCATCTGGCCTGCGGAGAAGGCGTATCGCTGGGGCACCATGTTCGCCGCCATTGTAAACGAGGACATCGCCTTTTCATCGTCGCTTTCGAGCGTGTACCCATAAGCATATTTGGCTGATGAGCTCTCATGCAGATACCCGAATTGCAGAGGATAGTAGATAAGGGTCATGTTCAAGTCATCTTCATTGTTGTCCGAGTAGAGGTCACGCAGGGTGTAGTCGAGTGTGATGCGAGCTGCGGGATCCATATTTTCGTTGGCCCGCCTGTCTATTCGGCCAGGTGCGACTGGAAGTGGCCGTGGAAGAGGGTTCGCCTGGTGTTAAGAAGATAGAGAGTCTTCTGCCTACGTTCTTAGCACCTATCTGTGCGCGCGACTGGCCGTTTTCGGAAGCATCACGATGCAACTTTAGTTGTAGATATGTAAGGAAACACATTCTTTCCACACTTATGATAACACAAGGAAACATGGAAATTACGACCATCTCTCAGACTCAGTTGAAGTTCTTTCTCTCCAAATTTCGTTTGACTCCCTAACTGGCCAAACCAAGTGCCTCCCTCCGTGACACTGAATGTGGGTCATAAAACGGCCTCTCTCCTAGTGAGACTACGCGGTTTCCCTGTCGTAACCCGGTATAGTCACTGTATCCTAGGGTTAGAGTGAAATATCCCCGCAGCTGTAGGCGTTCATTGGACTTACTATGTGGCAGTATGGAAAACGGACCGGCTATATATGAAGTTAGATTAGCTGAAAGCGTTAGGAAATGGAGGGCTTGTACGTACTTGTCCCAGATAGCGATGTCATTTTTGCTCCAACGAAACCGGACCTGGAGATCATGGTTCTCGGAGATCAACTTCAAGACTAGAGGGGATGGCAATCGTTACTGCTTGTAGTGCGTTTGTTATTGAGGGCCACCCCTTACAATACGATTTCAACATCTCACTTTCAAAGTCTGTCACGCCGTCGATCCAACCTGCACGGACCTGGAATCCGGCCGCAAACAGACTCTTCCACCTGCATGATATCAGTATTGTTCATTTGGCTCGATTTACACGGGTTGGGGAGCTATTTACCCAGTTACAGGGTTGGTGCGCACGACAGGGCTGAACGGTTCTTTTAGCTGGCCTTGTTTTCATAAAAGATATTATGGAACTGTGTACTGACTGGGAAGCCTTGAAATCTACGCCGCTATTCTCCGGATTACCACGGTTCTCAGTAATCAGCTCCATGTTCTGACCCTTCGCTGCCTCATTGAATGCGGGCTGATAGTGAGTGGCTGTCAGGCCCTCAGCGAATTTCTTCCACGCCGGTGAGAGTCGGTCGTAGGCTTCATATCCAGATGCCCAGAGAGTATCTCCTCCAGCATCATCTGGAGGAGTGACAATTTTCAAAATAGCATAGTCGGATGGCACAGGCTCGAAGGTGATACTACAATCGTCAACTTCAGTAAGCATGGTAATATTCACCAACTGGGCAGAATATCCCTTACTCAGAATGCCATCCCTCACTTGCCAACCTCTTCGTCGTGGGCCCGCATCGATCTTTGTAGTACTTCTTGTTCTGCTCGGAAGACATGATCGTGACTTCATCATCAACCTTTCCATCTTTATCAACCGCAACCCCACGTTTGCTGTTCGCTAGAGGATGTTTATGGAGGTACGAAGTCTCAGGCCTCCCAGTCAGATGTCCGAGTTTGACAGCCAAGGCCTTTTGATCCTCGATGTTCAGGTCCTGGTTGCGAAAGAACACCACTCCACGTTGGGAGACTGCTTCGGGGTTAGCACTTAGGTCTTCTCTGTATAGGAAATGGGTACTAAGTTCTAACCCATAACACCCAAGTCCCGGATCTTCACATCGTCGTGCAAGATCTCGCTCAATTGGACCATCGAGAATTCGCGTCCAATGGCCGCAGTCAGGTCAAACGCCTCATACTGATCCAGACTACCCGAGTACTTGAGAGGTCCGTTCAGTCGGCTTGCATCATGTGGCTTACTGGAGAACCCGTCGTCAGTGACGGGGATGGAATCTGTCAAATGTGGGGCCATTGGTATAGCTAGATCTGTAGAAGACGTGATAGACTATGTTGCAAGCATTATGGTTACCAACATGGCATTTCATTCCAATAAGTAGCATGGCCTGTGGAGCTCTGATGATCGCATGCGGTAGGCGTCATGTTCTAGGTACTCCGGCCAATGTAACATTTTCTTTACTGCTTGAATGCAACATAATAAATCAATGATGAAAGCGATCTTGACAAAATTCCTACTCCTACTATCATTGAACCAGCGGGTATAGAATGTTCCATTTTGGAGTGACAATCGGCATTTTGCCAGTGAAAGTTGGGCACATATCCCGTACCTTGTCACCTCAGCGATTGCGGCAGGATCTGCAAGGCTTGAGCGCCGACACCTTTAATATGTAAAAGTTATTGGAAGGCCAAGAAGTCAGTGAATCCTTCTTGGGCTCCCTGTTCGCCTCCGGCAAGATTCCCAATATAAGACATCCTTGCGCTGCGGATTTCTCGTAGCCCGAGTAATTCTCGTTTCGACACTCAGTTGGGCGCTTGGACGGCGCGATGCAAGGCCCCCGACATGGAATAGTTATTTTAATTGAGAACTAGTACGTGTAGAGTTAACCGATGTAGATCACTCCAGCCTGATGGCTATGCAAAGCAATTCTCGGGACCAGATCAGGCGTATTAGGGTCTGGATATTCGCACGTTCCTGCGAGGGGATCAGTCACCCCATATCCATAGCGCCTTGGCAGGATGATCATCTTCCTACTCCATATATGGGCTGTGCTTGTAGAATGATCAATACAAGGAGTTGGTCTTGTGGGCTGTGACTTGCCGTTTTCAAGGACAAGGTTATAAAATCCTCCTCTCGACGGTCCGCCTCTTTCTTAACCATACTCGCTTTCTTCAGCAACACTCAAAGTCTTCTCTTGTTGATTTTTCCCTTGAAACCACTTCTTGGTCGAGTCTATCACTATGCGCTTTCAAGCTCTCCCCGTTCTCGCCACCATGCTTGCAATTCCTAACCTTGCCTTTGGTGCGCCAAAGTGTCTAGACGGTAACGGTGTCTGGAGGAGTGAAGCTGCGAGAAGTGCAGCTGCGCACGGAATCGACAAATGGTGCAATAATATTGCCCCTTCCAAGTTCGCAGGTAAACAAGAGGTGCACGAGTGTCTCGAGGTCGATTATGAACCGATCAATGTCAATTTGTGGATGTTCAACACCAATGACGGTGATGCGATCCTTACCATTGACAACTGCAAGAAGCTACTCAAGAAGATCGTGGACAGTTGCTCTTCTGGCGGCTCTGATACCACTTTGGCTGGTTGGGGTCCAACGTGAGTTGTTTTTCAATATCGGAAACACAAGAGACGCTTGGCTAATATATTCTTTCAGCGCTTACCCGGCTAATCACTGCTACGCCTAGATCCTAGGGTTTCAGGAAGAATGCATTCGTTGTTTTATGTATGGGTTTGCCGAGTATCCTAGGCAGGTGGCTAATCGAGTTGGACATTGGTCTCGAGTTGCATTCGCTCTGTCCAATGTCAAATGTCTTCATGTGTCGATCCAGTTTAGCTTCCTAGTATCAAGCTCCCTACGAGCTATTTCATTTCCTCAGGGATGCCCTTACAAGCAAAGGCGCCTTGAGTTCACTTATACCCACGCTAATTAGTTCCGGGATTTCCCCACAATATAGCCCATTACGAGCATCTACATGCTCTTGCTCATTGGCCAACTCAAATTTGAACTCTGCTAATAGTGTACTCATCAACTTGTAGATGTTGGCTGTCGCAACAGTCTTCCCAATGCATTGGCGTCCGCCCAAGCCAAAATGCATCAGGTACCGCGCTTTGGCGGCGACGTCGGCTTCGTCCCAGCGGTGGGGGTCGAATTGATTGTGGTCCTCGCCCCATACCCTTGGGTTATGGTGGAACGCATGGTTGCAGACAGCAATTGAAGTCTAGAATTCGATAGATGAGCTAACTAGGCTCCTTAAAAACATGAAAGTACGTCACCTACCCCTTGTGGGAAATAATGCCCCGCAATGACTACTCCCTCCGGAGCCATTACGCGCCGTGCGAGAGGCATCGTGAAGACTGGTGTGATGCGGAAATTCTCACGCATACAATTCCGGAGAAACGGCAATGAGGCCTCAACGTCGGCAATGGAGTATGCCGCTGTTCCTTCGTCTAGTCGAGGGAGCCTACCGTTAATTTCCTCAACAAGCTCATCTAAGAAGGCTGGATTATGGAGAAGATGATAGAACAATAACGACGCGGTGGCACTAGTCGTGTGCGTCCCGGCAATGCTGAGAACCCTTGTCAGCAACGCATCAGCACTCTTCGAGGCAGACCTACATGAATCCAAATGCCTCGGTTTCGAGGTCAGTTTGCGTGAACCTCGCGCCCGTACCAGGGTCTTTTGCTAGGATCAAGTTTGTGAGGATATCCTTTCTTTCAGTGACGTCGGCCGTGGTATTGTCGCTCCGCAGATGCTGCAGCCTGCGCTTGACGCAACTCGATGCCAGGTCTGCACAGGCTTTGCGTCCACGAATTAATCGCTGTAGGCCACTGTGTGGCACAGCGGGCAGAATTTGCTTCAACGTTTTGGTCATTATAGGCCATGCACCGGTCACGGCAGCAAGGAGACTATGTTCCACCACCGGGGGAACCCGGGATTCGTCATCGGCGTCCTGGACGCCAAAGGACTGGCTGAACGCCAGCTCACCCAAGGTATCAACTACGTAATGATGCAGAGCTTTCTTGAGATCGAACCCATCCCCTTGGTGGCAATGGCGCCTGATCTTCTCTTTCAGAATATGGATGTTCAAGTCGAGGTAGGGTTCCATTTCCTTGACGTAGCTCAGCGAGAAACTATGCGACATATGACGTCGTCTTGTAGAATGCATCTAGGTTATCATATTAGTACAGCGCAATATCAGTAGTCTGCCGCCCCTACCGCTTCATCGCGCATGCCGAATACATTTGGCTCCGCCGCGCCATATGCGTCATAAAACTCGGTCTTCGGCATCAGTCTCGAACCTTTCTGGTAAATGGCCTGAATAGCGCTCTCCTCAGTAATACTGATTTTATCCGGTCCATAGCGAACCACAGGGCCGTATTTGTCATGAAGCTCTGTCAGATGATAGGGTTGTTGCAAAGTCATAAATTGATTAACTTGCCAGAGGTCTGTCAAGGACGCCAGGAAGGGCCCCGGATACATAGAGAGGGGATGAAGATAACGCCAATAAATAATATATGTGCATATGAGAGCCACGGCCAAGCCCATGAGGATGGTAGTTGGGCTGGCATTGGTTATCTCAGTAACAATCGCCATAACGCAGACTAGGCTTTATGTGTACTAGGAAGGAAGCGCAGTTGATAGAAGGGTGCGGTGAGTTGTACTTATAGTCCGTCGCCTTTCCATCTGCCCGACATTCGAGGAGTCTAGCTTATTCGGTGATCGTCTTTATGCATTCCTGATGGTGGATTGCGTGGCATCCATCTCCTTGCTTCAAGGATGGGGCATAACGGGGGCAACCGATTGGATCCCACGGACGTGCAACAAGCAACAACTCAACTGGGGAGCGGGGACTATGTCATATCGTGGGGCCCGTGGGGAAATGTAATTATCTACCGGGCTAGTAGGATTTGGTTCAGGTGCATATTCGCATATATACTGTGGTATCCTCTGCTTCCCCGACAGATCCTGCCGCAGTGTTGCGGGGTAGGGCTTCATGAAGACCGGACATACTCCGGTATGCCCGGCCATCTTGAGAATGATGCTCACGCCTTATGAATTTTAACATAAAGGTCTCAACCTTTGGCCTCCATCCTAGCTACAGGATGAAGCTCCATGTTGCGAAGTCCCATGAATCGTGGGGCTGGTTGCATCCCAAATGAACACTCACAGTCGCACCGGGTCCGTACAGCTGACAGCCTGTACTAGCTCACAGTGTTTCGGAGCTCCACGAAACCAAAGATTCCTATAAAGAATAATAGCATGTAACATGTGCGTTGTAAGGATTAAATGTCTGTCCATCGTGTATTTCATAGTCTTGTTCTCGTATACGGTTCCATTATTTCACGACAGATCCAGGTTCATAGAGGTCTCTCAATTTAGTGCCAAGGCATGTCAGAGCCAGAGTCTTGGGCGCTGTTACTCTAGTCTACCTTCACGCATAGCCTGGACCAACGGGTTCTCGACTTTGATGACACCGGTCTCTTGCAATCTGTTACCTGTTAGTTATCAAGAAAAATATGGCATAGAAGATTAACCCACCTTTGAAAGAGAACAAAGAGCCTTTCTGCCTCACGTTCCTTCTCCTCCATTGTCATCTCTGGAGCATTTTGTGAAGCTTCCATATCTCTTCTTTGCCCAGTAACTGGATTTATTTCACACTCGACCACATTTTCTATTGCAGGTGTAGTACTGCTGTCACAGTGTATAGTCCGACCTGTTTCCGCTCCAGCTTCTTGTTCAGTTCCTTCCGTGCGGCCCGTAGAATCACTGGCATGATCCTTTAAGTCGCCAGGAGTACCTAGAGCCAACTGGGTCTTAAGGAGCGGCAGGAATCCTGAGGCATACCCATACCCAATATTGCGGACAAATTGCATTTCGTCATTCCCGCATAATTCGAAGAGAAGGGAAGGGATGAGCAGCCTCAGTTGACCTGCACTTACTGAAGTAGAATGCCTCAATAGTCTTGCTGATATTGAGTCACCCGTGCCAATCACTCTTTCATGATCTTCTTTTGTCGGTAAAACAAGGGCTTGGAGGTGTGCTTTGAGCTTAGCAGAGACGCCTCGTGAGATGAGGAGAAGAGCTTGCACAAGGGGTGAGCCGTATCGGTCCAGGTCTTCGTCGCTGTATACTCGAGTGGCGCTGTCCAGTATATCCACCAATCGATTCAGGTGAACTTCATCGATGGGCGTAGACAAAGAATCCCACGTATATTCTGGCATGACGAAAACGAGGCAGTTAATTAGAGAGGATATTGGAGGTTGTAAGGGTGGTGACGGGATGTTTAAAGTATGGAGAATTTGTAAGATAGGTGGAAGACAGACTGAGAACTCGGAAGCTTGATTCGGGTAAGACGCTGCTATGTTGCAAATCAGTCTCAGAACCTCATCACAGGCATTTATCGTCACCGGGGTTAGAGGCTCAGTAGATGTGCCAGCAACAAGTTTAGCATATCGCGATAGCTTCTAAATGGGATAGATCAGCAAGGGCATGTAACAACAGAAAATATTTGATCAATATCAAAGGCGGCAAGCCTACAGAGTATGTAACGTCTACAGCAGTATGGACATCGATATTAAAATTGTTCGTTCCATAGGTGCAGAGCAAAAGTAGCCTTGCTGAAAGAAACTCGTCGTCTAAGTCATCGTTCTAGACAAAGCAAGTAAGTGAGAGAGTTGGTATTATAAGCCTGTACCATGAATATTCTTTTCTGGGGGAGAGATTACCCTCAGAAGCCGTATGGCTGCTCCGGGATATCCTTCATCAACAAAGAGTTGTCTTGTTTGCTCTGAAAGTAACAATAAGTTGCAAAGGCACCGTAAAGCAATATGACTTGTATCTGTTGCCGGACAACTAAAACCGTAGTGGCAGAGGATAGATAGAGAGCGATTTGTAGAGAGAGGCTCAGATCGCCGCCACCGGCAATATAGCTCCTAAGCTGCTCGAGTAGCATATGGAGACCTGTATATTGAGAACCGGTGATTAGTTTGATCGCGGACAACTTATTGCGATGAGCTATCAAGTGAGATGAACTCAGAACTTACCATCGCATAAGATATTTGAATGATTAGAATTAGATTCGAGCTGGTTAAGAGCCTCCTCAACGTCTCTCTTCCTTCCTATAAAACGTAAGTATTCAAAGAGTATCCCCAACTGGTTCAAGGCCTTCTTGAGGCAGTGGGGAATTACGCATACCGAAGTTAGGAGGTGGAAGCACAGCCACCAGTTTGGTGCTTGATACGGCTTGCGATTCCATAGAAGCCGTGACGATACGTTGAATCAGTTACAATTGGGATGGGTTCAGGAGGTTTGACTGAATAGTGACAGTTTACTTCGGAGATCAGCTACGTACTCCGTATGTGGCTTAGTGTTACTGGACGCCCCAGAATTATAATTGGAGATCTAGCCATACACGTACTAGCGTATGTTGAGAGCCAGTGTGCGACACGTGACCCAGTAGAAGGGAGAGGCAATATAACAGATGTAAGGAGGATTGATTCATTGCTGACATTCCTGGAGCTTACTAGATATATGGTTTAGCCTGACTGGTCTGTATGGAAGCTTTAGCTACGGTCGATCTTTTATATAACGATGACATTATCATGGCCTTCCGTATCATGGATAGTAACTCCTTGTGCGGAGAGATATCCTAGCGAATGCGAGGCTCAGACGGCTCTAATTGGCATATTTTCTTGAGTATATGTTCAAGCACTATAAGAGATATTACTCTGAACGCCCTAATTACAGTTAAAAATGATGTACCACATGTACATCGTCGGTTGGATCAACCAAGGTTTCAGTAAAGCCAAATCACTCCAACAGCAAGGATCTACCTCCCTGGGTACACCGTACCTGGATTTAAGAGTAAGAACGTTCCTGTTATTTCTATACTCAAGCACTCTAACTATCTTACTCAATCCAACCTAGCCAAATAAAAACCCTACTCTTCAACTCGAGGATGTTGTCATAGCTCGACTGTGGCAGTGCTCCGCCTCCGCCATGTTCGAGAGCCTCGTCCGACCCCATCGCCGCAACCCTATCGACGATCATTGGACTCAAATCCTAAAACAATCCCCAGAAACTAGAGATAAAAAGCCTCGTATTCCCGGAGACCTCCACCACATACTCCGCTATTTATATACCAGCCACGGTGGCCTGTTTCAACGCGGATCACATTAGGCAACCAACACCGTATCGATAACCTAACCCTATTTAACCCGCGTATCCATCCCTCAGCTCACAAGCACCCATCACAACGTCTATATCAACATCTACATACTAACATCACAATGGACGAAACTCAACCCCATAAACACAGCCAATCCCTTACATCCCTCCCCACAGAACTCCACCTCCACATCTCATCCTACCTCTCCTACCCAGACGCACTGGCCCTAAAACACACCTCACGCCATTTCTATACCCTCGTCTACACCGGCGTCCACCTCAAAGTCGACTGGTTCGTCGAGCGCTTCGAGCGCAAGCTCGAATGTCCCATGGAGAAGTGTTCCTTCCGCACCGACGAGGCGTTCTGTAATCTGCGCATCCGCCGCATCATGGAGCGCAGACGACGGCATCTGGAGTGTCCGCGGCGGGCCGGGGGTTGTTTGGTGGTCGGGGGGAGGACTTGTCAGGCGGATTTGGTACCCAGTTGGCTGAAGGGGAAGGGCGGTGTTGGGGGTGTTCTTGTGTATGGGAATGAGGTTTTGGTTCTTGGGGGGTTCTTTTTGGGGGTTTATTTATTATGGGCGGTCGTTTCTGGGTGAGTTTTGCCTTACTTTTCCTGGTTTGGGTGGAGGGCTGATTCTTATAGGTGGTTTTTGGTGTGATTGCCTTTGGAATATGGAGTTGGGGATTGTAAATGTTGAGGTCGAGATGCCTGCTTGTGGTCATCCAGATATACGGGGAAACGCTCGACTGTCAATTGCCTGAAGTGTTTATTTCCTTGTCAGCGGCACAGCGATGCATACTATGAGGATACGGACTTTTTGTTGACCAGCTTTGGGTCAATTATGATTATGGCAAAGATATATATACGAAACTAATGTATAATGATAATTCTCTCGGGGTAGATCTAGGGTCTCCAGAGGAAGATATACCAAGTGGGCTCAGTGTATACAAACTGGAATAGTCTCATAATAGCAACACCGGAGTTCGGAATCCGAAATGATATTCTAGTTAGCTTAATTTAGACTTAGCCCGCGTCATTTTTAAGTCAGATGAAACGTGTAAAGGGCAGACTATGAGTAACAGTCCGATGTATATCTCTCCTCATCTTACATTACGCATCTCGAGTAACTGGGGCATTACATACATATCTTCAGAAGATAACATACTGATCAATCGATCCTCCAAACTCCAGCATATCCAAGAAATCCAAATCATCGTTTTCGACCATACATGTTCCCGAATCGGCCAAAGGTATATCTAGATCAGGCCCAGGGAGAGTTACCGCGACACGCGGCTCTAGAACTTCGTCGATGATGCTCGAGAATATTTTACTAGCACGGTGAAAGAGCTCCTGGCTCACAACACCCGGCCGGGCCATCGACTCTAGATGCGAGATAAAAACGCTTAGATGGCGGATCAATTCAGATCGCGAGCCTGGTAGGGGATTGGTCGACCGGTGCGAGCTTGTTTCTGGAGCGCCTTGATTAGAACAGCGGCACTGGGGAAGCCATACAGGAGGTTCTTGTAGTGTAACTCAGTTAGCTTCGTTTATAAACTGTCAGGAAAGGAAGCACGAACTGTCCACATGAAGTCTGGCCGAAGGTCGACCATATCTTCTCGCATGGCGCAGAAATCTAAAACGGTCGACAAGATGGTGGAGCTCACATCGAGCAAAGCGGAGTAGGCCTCCTGGTTCTGCTGAACAAGGAGCCTTTGAATGAGGAAGTCGTTGTAAAGGTAAGCTAGGTAGGACACGATAAGCATCATACGGGTCGTGTTGGACATGTTTTTATCCCGAGAATCTGAGCTGTAGTGCAATTGATTCGGCATTGAGTTCCATGTTTGATTACAACGCACAGAGATATCCCTGTTCGCCACATAACCGAGTTCTATAAGCTTGGACTAATAGAGGGGATATATGCAGTGACTCACCTCAGCTTTTCGGCTGTCCCACGGTTTTGGGTCTCTAACGAGACCTCTAGAATCTCTTCGCGAAAGGTGCTGACTAGGAATCGTTGCCGAAGAAAGGTAGCCCGATGAAGGCTACCTTGAGTATTCCATCCATCGCTGTCCAAGCTCTGTAGGGCTAATTCAATTTCTGACTGATCAGCCTCCAACGAGCTATCATGGATATCAATAGGCAGTCGACAGTCTGAATGTCTTAATGATATTCGCGGCGGTCTGCCAAGGAATGTTGCAATGCTCTTGTCGAGTTGGTATGCCGCTGCAAAGAGTCTGCGGCGGGTCTCGACTAAAAATACGGGGAGAGAGCTTGACTGTTCGGAGTCTCTATGCAACCCCAGCTCAAATATATGGGTTGACAGGTCTCCGAGCCTGCGCCACTTTGCGGAGCCTGTTACATGGTAAGCAACCATTTTCCAAGCCTCTAGCTGATTTCGGCGTCGTGAGGTGTTTTACTCACTAGTATCACCATCTGCCACCTTTGACAATAGTAGAATTTCATACAGCATCCATATCGTTAGATCATTGATTGGGGCGATGAGCCTGCAAATCTGAAGCACCGCATCACTAGCCGCCAGCATCTTCCGAGAGAACCGTTCACGAGCTGCCATCCCATTGAGTCTGGGGAATCTATCATGAGCCAGGCCGAAAATACTGAGTCGGCCAGCTATCGCATAGAGAACGCCTAAGATCTCCAGGCGTAAATTAGACCCAGTAAAAAGCTGATGGAAATGACGTCCTGTCATAGTTGATGATATATGGAGCACATGTTTCGTGTTTTGAAGAACCCGCGCGACTTGTTCTGGTGGGCTATTATGCAGTTGGGTTTCGTCAATCGTACTCTGTATTGAGGGTAGTGCGTTAAGAACGAGAGATGGTATGACCGCCGCCTTGCTCAGTCCGTAGTATTCGTCGACTAGCTGTTTAATGGTTGGAAAATCTTGTAAGCATCGTAATATTTCTGCTGTCTGCTGGATCCAGTACAAGGGCAATTCCGATGGGAATGTGGTTCCCGCATCGTCCTGTAACTGTCGATCGCTGGGGCTAGAAACAAGCTCGTGGTCCTCTTCCAATGCCGCGACAAAGCTGGTTGGACCTAGGTAGCCAGTGGGCAAGGAGTAAGAAGTGATCGGCATGTTGAGCCCGTCGTCTTCGGTATTCGAAAATGTCGAAATCGGCGTGGACACTGGTCGGGCACGCAACGCCCCAGAACCAGAGTCATCTTGCTCCGGAGTTGAAGGAGGGGGAGAATGTGTGCGCCCCGCGGCAGATAAGATGTGTTTTACGGTTATGGTCTTTGATCTTTGTGTCAATGGTGCTGGATGATAGAAGCAGCTGGCAGTCCGGCGTTTCTTCTGGCAACGAGTACAGACCGGGAGGCGATGATCACAACGAACTTTTTCCTTGCGGCAGGGTTCGCAGGAAGCGGGCTTTCCATTGCGACGACGGGAGTTCATCTCTAACTGTTTTATTCTTATGGCTTGTAGCTACTTCTAACATGGTAGTTGAATAAAGGAAAAGAAAAATGAGGAGCGGGGGCTGACAGGATAACTGCTTTAGGGCTATTGTCGGGGTTCGGAATGCATCTATCGGCATTCGGAGTTTACCCAGAGAAGCTCACTCTCCACGGGATTATATTCCATTAATAGCTTATATTGCTGGATGAAAAGTGAAGACATGAAACAGAGATAAGATGAACGAGTTCAATTTGTTACTAGAAACAACAAATAGGCATACGAGATCCCTCAAAGTAGGGAATCCGATAGGAAGAATTTTTGATATTTGAAAAGGTATATGTAACATGGCATCAGGTAAAATTACTAATCCCATGGGCCTCTGGCGCAACGGTAGCGCGTTGTAAGTTCCCACTTAATCAAACTGAATAAGTCTTGAGAATTTCTTCTAACAACATCACAGTGACTCCAGATCAAAAGGTTATCCGTTCAAATCGGGTGGGGCTCACACCACATCTTTTTTTTCCTTTTTTCCATTGTCTTTTATACTTTCTCATAGTTAGAATTTTCTATTCAACCAAACATTCCTCATTATGAAAGGTTTTTGAATGTCTTACTAAGTTGAGTATATATCATAGTAAAGTTCTTCCCTATTAACCACAATTGTTGTTTTACTTGAGGATGGTTTCTGAACCCAAGCTTCATTGACCACTGTCTTGACCCTAACAAATTACCAACAACATGGAAAATATCCTCTCAGTTGTCATTTACACACCAGCGTTCACAGTACCACGTTATATTGAATCGCAAGAAGGCAACTGAACTAAGTACAAGGACAAATAGGAAATGTGAAGGCTGCAAGCATATGGCGAAGTTTGGGACCCTGCGGTAGGGTTTGGAGAAATATTGGGCACGCTAATGGACGTGAGTAGTCAGCCCTAATGTGAGCAGTTGCTACTAAACACTACCGCTACATTGTTAAAGCACAAGATGGCCGTCTGCACGCAAAATAACGAGATTTGGAGTCCTCATAACTATGAGAACCGAGAAATCGCCTTTCCGGTTGAGTACCCCATTGTTGGCATTTGTTGATATAGCTGTATATTACACTCTTGTTGCAATGCTTAGTCTTGATAACTCTTTCCTTGCCCTGGTATGGGTTTTTCCTTTTAATGAGTTTTCCTGCACCCTTAGGTAAATACAAAGGTATTGACCTACCTTGCCTATAGAGTATGGTTCTTATAGTTGAGTTAGAGTACAGGACGGCTTGTCGAGTATGGCAATAATGTCAAACACTGATAGGAACTCACTACATAAAGTATCCATGGTTAGCACGAATTAGTAAATTTTTTCTTACTACAACTAGCAACTCTCAACTTAAAATATGCTATAATAGGATTAGAAGTCTTATCAGGTTGACTTAGAAGCCATTGACGTCGGTGTAATGTCCACATCCGTACTATGTGTCGCGCTCATCCAGTGCGAGTCGAGTTCAAAGTACCTCGACCAACGATTTTCCAGAGGTTTGTCTCCTAGATAAAGGATTAACGCTTCTTGGCTGGTATATTATTATGCTACACTAACTGAATGATAAAAATATTTTCAATCATTCTGCACAACAGAAATATAAATGGCCGGCAAAACTGTATACACAGACTAACAAGGAAGGACAGGACATACAAGAAACCAAAGCAGTCACAAGGACAGATTGATAATAGGTGGTGTCCCTCGGCTATGATATCTTGTTTAGAACCCACAAGCTCCGTAAGCGAACCGGTACTTTTGTCAGAAGAACGTTGTGAGGTTGCTCATCCCTGTCCCATAACCTTGTTCTACAACCCTGCACCGGGCCAGTGGCAATCACCATTTAGTAATGCAACCCTAGTTTCTCTACATAGCAGCTGCACCTAGCGCCTTAAATGTCTCAGATATTGTTGCACTGCAGTCAGCTGGGTAGATATGACACCAGAGATTATTACCCCTCTTGCTTTTTTCTTTATAAGGAACTCGGGTTACTTTGGATGCTCCCATGCTTTTCTCTCAATCTTTGCTCTGTATTTGCTGGGTAGACGTGATAGCAGGATATGTCTTCTATAATTCTTGGGCTCGTCTGCAGCATAATATGTCTATGTTTTCAGAGATCTTTCTTCGCTAAAAAGAAAGCGCGTGGGCCACTCCCTCCTGGTCCCCGGCCAAAACCGATTATTGGGAATCTATGGGATCTTCCATCGCAGGGCACTCGGGACTGGCTGCACTGGTTTAAGCACAAAGATCTCTATGGTACTTAACTCTCGGCGTCGGGCATATTGCAAACACCCAAATACTGAGAAAGACCTCTCAAAAGGCCCAATTAGCTCCGTCACCACCTTCGGTCAAACGATCATCATCCTAAACGAAGGGCGTCTGGCATATGAACTCTTGGAGAAGCGATCTGCCATACACTCGTCTCGACCACCATGCACCTTTGCCCGCATGTAAGCAGCATTCTTCCACTGTACACAAGTTACGTGGCTGATAAAGAAGGGCCGGTTACGGTGATATCATGACCCTTCTCGAGTACTCTGACCGATTCCGCACCTCACGCAAAGTGGCACACCAGCAGATCGGCTCCAACAGAGCTATCTCCCGGTTCAGTCACATCCAGGATGCAGAGGTTTGTCGGTATCTTTTGAAACTGCTTCGGGATCCCGAGAATTGGGTCGAACATCTCAGGAAGTAGGTCTCTGTCCAAGTCAGAGGGATGGTAGAATAACGTGTCGTCAGGGAGACGGGTGCGGTTATCTTGAAAATCACGTACGGATACACGATTGAGCCCCATGCGCGTGACCCTCTGGTTGATCTTGCGGACGACGCAATTGGGAAGTTTTCTTTGGCGATGGTCCCGGGGTCTTGGCTGGTGGATTCTATCCCTATTCGTGAGCCTGGTTTGCAATTTGGCTGCACAGTGGGATGCTAACACGGTATGTTCGCAGTGAGATACTTCCCTTCCTGGGCACCAGGCGGAGGCTGCACACGAATAGCAGAGAGTTTTCGAACGGCTGCCAATGATCTATGTGAGGTCCCGTATGCGTTCACAAAGCAGCAAATGGCCCGAGGGTGCAATGAGCCGTCCATCATTTCGTACTATCTAGACGGAGAGAATATCCAGCCGGGCTCGGAAGAAGAGCACCTTGTGAAGTGGGCCAGTGCCACTCTTTACGGTGGCGGAGCAGATACAGTAAGTAACGCGTAGCCACCGGCTGTTTCAAATACCTTGAGATTCTAATAGGGCATATAGACAGTCTCCACGATGATGTGTTTCTTCCTGACAATGGCCTTATATCCGCATGTACAGCGCAAAGCACAAGAGGAAATCGACCGGGTCGTCGGAACATCACGTCTGCCCGGGTTCGAAGACCGCGACAACCTTCCATATATCGACGGCCTCCTTAAGGAGGCCCTCCGTTGGCACCCCATTGCTCCCATGGGTGTCGCCCACATGTCCATCGAAGATGATATGCTTGAGGGATATCATATCCCGAAGGGGGCAATTATATTGACGAATATATGGTGTGTTGGATTCCGTATTCGTTCTTTCTTCTACTTACTAAACTCTACCGTAGGGCATTCACCCATGACCCCAACGAATACCACGACCCAATGACCTTCAAACCTGAGCGTTTCCTGAGTGACAACGGCCACACGCCCGAGCGTGATCCCCATCTCATCTCCTTCGGGTTCGGACGTCGGGTGTGTCCCGGACGAAATCTAGCAGACTCAAATCTATGGCTTGCTATCGCTCGCACCTTGGCCGCCTTCAACATCACCAAGCCCATTCGCGACGGCAAGGAGGTGGATCTCCAGCCAGAGTTCCAGCCCATGCTTATCAGTCATCCTGATCCATTTGATGTCGACATTAAGCCTCGTAGTGCAGGTCATGAGGAGCTGATTCAGGCTGGTGAGAAGCAGTACCCTTGGGAGGAGAGTCATGCGGAGGAATTGCGGAGGGCAATTGCCGCATCGTAGGGTTATATAGATTTATTTCGCTGTATCTCTCTATCTCTGTCACTCTTGATTTACTTTCCTTGGCCTTACTTATCAGCTGTTCGTCAGCGTTTCCTGCCATGTTGAATGGTTTCATGTTGACTAGATATCTTAATCGGATAACTAAACATCTTAGACGAAAAGGGAAGTAAAGACAGGAATTTAGTTAACTTTGTCAAATTCCACCGGGATTTCGCTCTTCACAAGATTCTTCAGATATAACAATGCTTATCCTGATGCAAGACATCACCAATAGTTTTGGTTACAGGAACAGCCAGGACTCAGAGTGCATTAATGAGCATAAGAGCGTGACACCTCCGTCTGATAGAACTCAACTGGGCTTTAACCCGCGGGGGAACTACTCATTCCTTTTATCAGGCCACCCTAGGAACAGGATAGTAGTTACAACGTTCTGACAGGCTGATAGCCATGTGGAGCATTGAATCCTTTTGGAACCTTATCCCTGTTCTCTGTTGGTTGTGTTGTCGATCATCCAAGTCTACAGGATGGATATAACATGCCTGGTGGGACACGGAGACGCAATCCACGCTGAAGGGTTGACCTTGGTGTTGAATAGAGTGGTATTGCAATCGATTGCACTGTTACAAGATCAACCATCCACCTCGCGAAATGTTCGATATCATGTTGCTGAATTCCGAACTCCGGGTCAATTCCGAACATGTTGATACCCCCCCCCCCCCAAGTTGCGGTCACTTCATTTTGTTTTCCTTTCCTCAATTTCAATCGAGGACTATACTCAGTCTATGTTGTGCCCTCCATGTTGAATGACACCTGGACACAAAGCCTCTCCCAAATCCTGGGCTGGGCCTATTTCGTCCTGTGGTCGCTGTCCTTCTACCCACAACTCCTTCATAATCACCGTCGCCGCTCGACGGAGGGCTTCTCCGTCGACTTTGCCCTGCTCAACCTCCTCGGATTAACCGCATACACCGTTTTCAACGCTTGTTTCCTCTTTTCGCCGGTCGTGCGCACCCAGTATGCCCAGCGATATCCCCAGAGCCCCGAACCGACCGTCCAATGGAACGATTTCATCTACGCTCTCCACGGATCCCTGATCTGCTGCTGGATCGGCAGCCATTTCCCCTGCGCGCGGTTCTGGAACTTCAAGTCCAAGCCGCAGCGGGTAGGTGTCTCGACTCTCGTGGCCATCTGGGGCTGCGTGGGGGTGGTCTCCCTGGCCGTTCTGTGGGCTCTAGTATCGGCGTCGTGGGAATGGATTGACGTGGTAAGAGAGCGCACCCCGACTGATGAAATCACTACACTACTAACTGAGATATATCACATGGAGGTCTACGTGGTCGGCATGATCAAGGTGTTCCTAACGGCCGTCAAATACACGCCCCAGGTGGTGATGAATTATTGGCGGCAGTCGACGGCCGGGTTTTCCATCGGGGCGATCCTGCTGGATCTGGCGGGCGCGGCGCTGTCGCTGATGCAGCTGGTGCTGGACTCCTCGTTGCAGGCGGATTGGTCAGGCACCGTCGGCAACGGAGCCAAACTCCTGTTGGGGAACATCACCGTTCTATTCGATCTCATCTTTATCTTCCAGCATTTTGGGCTGTATCGCGAGCGGCCGGTGGGAAAGAAGCCGGGGCTATCGGAGCACGATCCTCTCCTGGATAGGTAGGAATGAGTGATGATTTCCACATAGATGAACGGGATGTGATCCACAGAGTGGGCTCGAGATGATCTTTCGCCCTGATGCAGGATATGCATCGAAGAAGACGGAGGCCGATACCTTAAGAGGCCGAATCTGTACAGCAGCTTTCAGATATGTGAAAGGCTGGTGACAGCATCTGATACAAGATAGAAGCTTAAGACTCCTCTCTATTGTGTGCGGTAGTAGAATTAAGATTCTCTTGTACTACATCTCGATGTGCTTTTGTATCAGAAGTCCACCACCCTAACCCTGAAAAGGCCTAGGCGCTGTCCATCATTCACCCTAACCCGAATCCAGACTAGCCTCAACCCCAAAGATGATGACATAGAATAGGTACCTACTTAAGGTACTTCTACTACTACTACTCCTCCACCACAATCAATCTCCATACTATCAAATCAACCAACACCCAACCTCTCAATCTCACACCAAACAAGACCACACCCCACCACGAAATCCTCCCCCAAAACCACCAGAAAGAAAGGGAAACGAAGAAAGAACGAACAGAAATGCCCCCCACCCCCCAAACAGTCTGTCTCCCCCTCCAAACCCCACCTCACCCCAAACCAAACCAAACCAAACCAAACCAAAACTAACCCAAGAACCCAACAACAGACAAAGCTAACCTCAACCCTCCACCTCCTCATCCCACGACTCCGGCTCCTCCAAAAGAAATCCACCGCCAGCTCCGTAATTCAACGCCGTGAACTCTCGCAGCTGCTGGCCGAGAACAAGGACGCGAGCGCCCGCATCCGTGTCGAAAATGTCATCGCCACCGATATCGCCATCGAAGTCATGGAGATGGTGGAGCTGTACTGCGAGCTGATTCTGGCGCGGGCGAACGTGCTGGACCAGAATGCTTTCAGTGAGAAGGGTGTGGAGGCTCGGAACCGGGCGAAGGAGGCGTGGGTGGAGATGAGACGGAAAGAGCAGGGGTTGGGAGCTGGTTCCGGGTCTACGCCTGGTGCGGGTGATGCTGCGGGTGGGAAGAAATTGGGGTTCGGGTTCGGGGCGATTTTCGGTGGAGGGTCGAAGAGGGAGGAGGATACGGTGTCTGCGTCGTCAACTGTGGGGGTGCAGAATATCGGGGATGGGGCGTATATTGATTCGGCGCTCGATGAGGCCGCGGCGGCGATCTTCTATGCGTATCCGCGGTTTCCGTCTGATGTGAGGGAGTTGACCATCCTGAGGGGACTGTTGGCGGATCGGTATGGGAAGGAGTTTATGACGCTGGCGCAGGATGACCGGTTTCCGGAGGCGGATGGGTTGAGGGTGCCGGAGAGGTTGGTGAAGGGCTTGCGGGTGCGGCCCCCATCTCAGGAGTTGGTGGAGAGTTATTTGAGGGAGATTGCGAGGGCGTATGGGGTTTCGTGGGGAGGGGATCCGGAGGAGCTGGGGGATGCGCCGGCGGAGTTTGTGGATGATGATGATGACGATGCTACTGCTGGGGGTGATTTGCCGGTGACACCACGGAAGGAGGGTCGGCGGGCTGATGTCGAACGGAGGATGTCCGAGACGGCGGAGTTGAATCGTGCGACGCCGCCCAAAGGGCTGCAGTCTGGAAAGAGTCCGGTCAGTGTTGCGCCGCCGGGACCCCGGTCTGATAATCCGAATCCGCGCGTGAAGGTTCCAGATGGGAATGGGAAGGGGGAGGCCGAGGTAGAACCCAGGAGTCCCTCGAAGACGAGTAAAGGAGGGATCCCGGAGTTGGATGAGTTGACCAGACGCTTTGCGGCGCTGAAGAGGTAGTCTCCTCGTTCTCTTTTTCTTTTTTTGTTGTTATCCCTTCTATCTCCCTGTCTGCTCTACATGCTTATGATAATGATATCCTGAACGCACTGTCATGAGAGATTCTATGTATTATGTATCACGATCTATCGAACCACTCCCGCGATTTTCTTTTTGTCATCATGCATCAGAGGAGCAAGCGAGCCTATGTCACAGAATAGAAACGAAAAGGTATCCGAGCAATGAAAGCACCGCTTTGAACAGGCCGGCGCAGTGGTAAAGAAAACGAAAGAAACAACCGGGCACCAACTATGCATGTGTCCCCATATGTACAGTAAGCTGAGACAATGATAAAGCCAATATGTGACGAGACAAGATATAAACCGAAGAAAGCCAAGGAAACCCGAATGCAAATGGGAGAAAAGAATAAACAAATCGGATCAGTGACGGTCACGGAAATCGTCCTCCTCTCCGGGGAGGACGATCTCATGGCCGGATCCCTCGTAGACGAAGATAGCCGCAACGCATCCAAAAACGGACACCAGGGCGATCAGCCACCAGGCAAACCCTACCATACCGACCTCCAAGCCGTATCCGTACCAAGACCCGGAGAAGATGGGCCCAATAGTTCGGAAGGCTGAGGACACTGACTGGCCAATCCCGTGGATGGTGCCCAGCACCGAGGGATGTGGCGAGCAGTTGTTCAGCAAGATGATCGAGGTCGGCAGCGTAAAGGTACGGGCCGTGACTTGCAGGAAAAGGACAACAATGATAGAAAACCAAACCCACGGTCCGTTGGCCTGTCCCGGAGGTGGTGCGCTGGACGGGGCAAGTGCGATATACGGGGCAAACGCATAAGCCAGGGGGAACAAAGTCAAGAAGTACTGGTAACTCTTGGCCGTTCCCAAGCGGCTGTTGATTGCGGGATACACGGTGAACTGGAGGAGCATGCCGATGACACCCAGAATAGCCGTGGCGAATCCGACGCTCTGAGGCAACATACCCAGTCCACCGGTAAAGATGAATGGCAGCCTCTGAGCAGGGGCGGCAGGGTCGTTGGAATCATAACGGGGAGATGACAGGAAGAGCAGCCAGAGGTTATTGAATGCACTACATTGGTCAGCCGATGTACCAAGTGGACGCAATACTATCGAACCTACCCCATCTGGAAATCGAAGAAGGCCTGCGCCAAAAGTGTGCACAACACGTTCTTCGTCCAAAGTCTGCGGAAAGGCAGCATGCGCTTGTGGCGCAGCGGCTTGGCCGCCTTCTCTTCCAGTTCGTAGCTTTCGGTAGGATCGCGGTGATGGCCCAGCAGAGGACCATCCTCGCCGTAATCGGCAAAAGGCAGACGCTGGTATAACGGTGACGAAGAGGGAACCACGGCACGGATACCGCGGGCGAAGATCCTGGCGGTAAAAACACCCAAGCCCGGTTTACCCTTGCAAGCTTCCAAAGTCTGATCCGAATATTAGCTCGGCTCATTGCCCGTAGAATGATTAGCCTTACCTCCTCCAAGCCGATGCCAACACAGAATGCAGCAAAAGAAAGGAAAATCGCGTTGGCCAACATGGGCAATGCATAAGGATAGCGCTCGAGCCATTGTACACCATTCGCCCCGCCAAAAGAAGAGTTGGGGCCGAACAACGCCGGATAGCTGCGCACTGGATCGGCGAGCATACCACCCATAACTGAAATCCATTAGTTGCTACTCAGGTACACCGAACACGAGCCAAACTCACCAGGTCCGAACAAAGAAGCAATGTTAAATCCAATTGGTAGAATTAGGAACGCCCGGGAATGGTATTTCTTCTCCTTGACGTTCTCCGCAATCATGGTCCGAATAATACCCACCGTACCATTAATGGCACCGCCGAATGAACGCCAGAACACGGCCTGCGCGAACGACGTAGCAAAAGCGACCCCCAGGCACGATACTGCCGTACCCAAAAGACCAACTAGAAGGACGAACTTCCGTCCACCCCATTCGGCATCAGCTACTCGACCCCAGGGAATTGCCGTGGCAAACTGGGCCGCGGTAAAGGCACCCTGGAGGATACCGGCCTGGGTGGACACATCTGCGTCGGAGAGGCTCTCATCAAAGGATTTGAGCTGGTAGAACATGTAAGCCTGCAACGAGGCAATCTGCAAAAAGTCAAATACACGACACAGCCCTAACAAGGCTAATTGCTTCTTCCGCGGCAGGGTCATCCAAGTGACGGGCCCTGGACGCGGAGGCGGGTGAGCGGCGAACTGCTGCGGCTGCATGAAGGAGACCTGGGCGTGGCTCTGTGAACGGTTGCGGGCATGGCCGGATTGCTCGAATGAGGTGTTTCTCAGAGCCATATTCTCGGAGGCGTCGTCGCCGTATCGGTCTGATGAGCCCTCGGAAAGGTCGGCGAGGGAGATATTGGACTCGCGCCGACGACGCTGTTGGGAAGAAAAATCTAGCGGAGAGGGTTCGCCTCCGTCGTGACCGGATGTCCAGGAAGTGGCCCGGGTGTGATGGGCATTCCGATTTTTGCTGTTCGAGTGCGAAGAGGTACGTTGGTGTGTCGGCGTCAGCGCGGGGGTGGGCACGGGAGAGTTGCTGGACGTTGAGATAGATCTCAGGCGGCTACTTTGCTGTAGCTCAAGCTTTGGGACAGGCATCGAGGGCGGAATCTTCCAGAGACTATGATAGGGTGCCAAGTGTCGGAGCCTACGTCAAGGACTGAGACCGTGGGATTTGAGAAGAGGGGCCCAAAATAGTCGTTTCGTTAGTATATCGATTTGGAGATAAGCCGGACTATGCCCGCATGCGTGTATATCCTTCTTGATTGATGGAGATAAACACCCGACTGATCAATAAGCACCTGCAACTAAACCGAAAAGTAAAACAAAATCCAATAAAAGAAAATCACAATAAATTAACAATCCCATAAAAGAGTGAATGGGAGGGAGGAAAAGAAGTCACACGATAAGGGAAAAGGGAAAAAAAAGAAAAAAAGGACTGAGGTTGGCGATGTCGTAAAGGAGAAAGATTGAAATCCAATACCATTCGTGACTATACTTTACTGTATGTACACTTTCGATCGACAACTGCATGGAGATTGCGACGCTCGTCCCCACTGCTTGGCTGATGAATATTCATGTCTTTGGATTTTGCATTATTTATTTATGTACTTTTCTATTTATTTATTTTTTTTAAACTTTTTAAAAAATAAATTATATTTTTTCTCTTCCACCTCCCAATTTCTTCTCCTTAATTAATCTATCACTCGTTTCAATCACGCTTCCTTCCGACCAGTAGCCGAAACGCATCCACGGTTCCCCATTCTTACCTGGAACTTTTCATGAGACGCAATATGTTTTCAGAGCTGACATGATCGGACTACTAAAGCATACGTATTTCCTCCCCTCAGAACCGGAACGAGTACGACATCACATACATCATCCGCGACGACGTAGATACTCGTCCTCCGGAGTACTAGTAAACCTGTTTTTTTTTTTTGTATTTACTTATTTATTTTTGGTTTTCTGCAGGTTCCCAGAGTATCCGAATGAGCCACAGTTTGTGATTGGACTCGAGTCTGTCCAGTCAGCGGAAGCTCTCCATCCGGAGCACTAAACCACGAACTTAGTCGAAGAAGTTGGTTCGGCCCTGTGTTTTGTCATCCTGTGACACGCGTATGTAATCTATCCCTGTACCGTATTGTTATCCGTGCACGGGGGATCCGAGTGAGTGTCTGTACGGCGTACTATACTTCAGTGTATTCTTCTCACGATCATCAAAGCACGCTCCACATGGATGATATTGGGGTATACTACATTCAAACACTAAGTTACAAATAAAGAATACAAGTAGTGTAGGTTGTCGAGCTACGAAAGCCTACTCCGAGGATCCATCTTCGTTCCTTCTCGAACCCGGCTCCGTCAAGGGGAAGTAGCGAGGCCCGTCGGATGCTCCGGCCCATCGCCGCCAATGCCACCACGGCTTGTGGCTCATCTCGTCGGGCTGTTTTCGCTCGTCGATGGGATCGTCCAATGGCTCTAATGATCGACGCTCTTTCACCGGGTAGGCATGAGGTCGTCGCAGTCGACACTTTCGAACCACCATGTAAACTCCAATCGCGGCAACACCAACCGCCAAAACAGGGACAAACCATCCGCGCTCTGGGAACACCTCAGTGGTTAGTCACAAAATCTTTAGCTTACTATGTTAGAGTAAGGAAAGCTCACCGTATGCAGTCTTCAAAGTCTCCTTGGCTTCATCCAACGGTTGTGACCCGGGCTCTGAAGACTCACCCCAGTCGTAATGGGCTTCCGGGTTCTCTGGGTCGACCCACGGCACAGTGCTGAGGCCCAGCGGAGGGATGAATGCGATGGCTCCCTCTTCGCCAAGAAGTCCATACGCCGGAGCATTTTCGCACATATTGTCCGCGCAGTATTGTTGTAGTTCCCCGGAAGGCGTAAAAGTAAACTTATGCCGCGACTTGCCCAACACCTTGCCCTCGAGATCTACAGCCTCCGCGTACGTCCATGGGTAGTAGTGCGGGAAAGTATAACTCGTCTCGAAGCCCTTCCTCGTCACTTGGTTTAACAATGCATACGGACCAGTCATGTTCATGGCACCGTAGAACCGCCAATACCTCACTCGTGTTGCACCGTTCCAACTTACGTACAAGGTCAATGAGGAGAACGGCTCGGTCGATCGAGAATATGTCCACAGAGCAGGCACGTCCGTCGGCATCCCGTCCCACTGGAATTTCTGAGCGCGATAGTTCATGATTCTCTCCGTATCAATGTATCCCCACAGCAGCAGATTGCCGTTCTGGTCGTGTTCGGATATGTACGCATTGTTCCCCCATCCGATGAACACATTGTGATTAGGCAGAACCTGCATATTGCCCTGACTCGAGCTAAGCATGTCCTTATTCAGAGGCGCATAATCGCGCAGCTGAGTGGCCGTCTTAGCCACATGGTCGATCAAAATGAGCATGCCAGAGGAATATTCGTGTGTTTTGTTGAACCCGTTGTAGCCGTTGTTATACAAGGATAGTAAGGTGTGGGTACCATTTTCGTTCAGGAATCGTGCATCGTGCTGCTGAGAGAAGCTAAAGTTGATGTTCGTGAAGGACGGGTTGGCACCATGTAACTGCCAGATCACCGACCCATTCTGGCCGGAGATTTTGTAGATCGCGCACGTATGTCGCGACGAGATCAGGTAATCACCGTCCTGGTTTTTATCGACGGAATTGATGTGGAAATAATCCCACGGGGAGCGCGGGTCCAGCCCAGTTCCTGAAGTATCAGTGTGGCCAGGATAGGTGTAGCTAGCTGTAGGGTCCACATGGTCAAGCGACTTCCACTCAAACAGCACCTCGTTCGTTTCCACGTCCACTTCCTGGAAAACGCTCTCCATCAACCACCCCATGCCAGTCTTGACATTCCATAAGCTCATGTCGAATTGTCGCTGTTGATATACGGTTAACAGTGCAGTTTTACCGTCGTTGATGGGTAAAAACTCGTGCATATCGCTCGACGCCATTCCGCCCCCGGGGAGGACCGTCTTCACGGTACGATATTGATTGTCCATGATGACGCCATGGCCCCGGCAGTATCCATTCTGTTGAACGCCTTGGAAGAAGCAAAGATGGTCCTCCCCTTTGTATTTACATACATGCATGCCGTGCGCGTTGCCGGGGCCGGAACTTCCCCAGCCGCTCCATACTAGGTTCTGCGACGGCGTCAGTGAGAGCAGCTCGATGGGCAGGGCCTTATGACGTACGCCTTCATTATCATAAATATAAGGACCTGAGTTAGCCGCTTCATACGGGCCAACAAAAATGTATCCTGGAGTAAGTTTGTCGGGGTTGCTGTGTTCTATGGTGAGCACAGGGGGGTATAGATCAGGTCTCTAGAATGCGACCGAAGAATTAGCAAATTCTAAGGATAGCGCCATGAAGGCCTCTATACACAATCTGTTAACTTACCGATCGAAATACTGAATCGATTTCTGCGACGACCCCCGGCAGACAGCATAGTAACCAGACCAAAAGAGAGCCCATTATGCGGGCGGAAGACCAAGACGCAGACCCACCGGGCATGATGTCAGTAACGACCAGCATCGAACGTTCGCATTACCATTTCATCCCTGGGCACTGGGAAGAGAAAGATTGAGCGAAATAAGAGATCCAAGCACAGTAGGAGCTGTTGTGGACGTGGGGCACAAAATCCCATGAATCTTATCGTGGCGCAAGGGGGGTGTATGTGCATGAAGAGAAGATCCGCCGGATCGTAACTCAAAAGAGCTGACACAGTCAGGAGTGTTTCCAATCGGCATCCACTTTGCCCAAGTGGGCCTGGATATCCGAGTTCATGCGATTCATTGTCTCTTTGCGCGATACGTGAAGCATGCGCCAGCTTTAATTGGTGAGTGGCCAGCAGTTGGCTGACATACCCATGGGACTGGTGCAGTTCCTTCTGCCAGTCCGTGCGTCTATGTTAATTATTCCTTTGTGTATGTTATATTAGCATCGCGTAGTCCATTGCACGCAGTCTCTTTAGTGGTCCCCGAAGGTGGCCATGGCATGATCTTCCCTCATAACTTGGAATACCAACAAAGAGTCGGTTTCTAGTATCTCCGGAATACTTCAACCAATCCGAACGATTTTCAACCAAAGTTCCCAAAACACACTGTAGTAGGTCCTCGCCTTCATAGAATGACTCGTCCTGGACTATCGGTAGATGCTGACGAGGTCGGTAATTAGTCCATTCCACTCACACGCAGCCACTTCTGTGTCCCTCGAGCAAGCCAACGTCATCCATTTGATGTCTCATAACGCACACAGAGAATAGTCGTCTCTTAGTCTACTTCAGGTGCAAACTCAAACTGGGAGTTCGTCATCTAGTGAGAGAGATAAAACGACAAAACCAGAGAATAGCCGGTGCAAAGGATACGTAGTCCTCTACGTAAGATCTGGTCGTAGTTCAAGGTGGGTGATATATTAGTAGAAACTATCCTAAGCCAGATCTGTCCTAGGATATGTAAGTACAGAAGAAATACACTGCCGAGCACTCGGTAATAGATTACCCCCTGTACGAACCCGTTCCAGTAATCCCCACTGCGAAACAGTTTTTGTTCTTTTTTTTTCCTTCTAAACGCCGAGACTAGGCCACGATCAGCTAGTCCAACCGCAAAACCTAATTTGCAGTAATGCCGAGGGAGCGACGAGCAAGTGAAATTTACAAGTACCCCCCCGACTGTGGCTTTTTCTCTACGCGCCACGGGCTTGACTCTTGAGCAGGAGCTCCAGCGCCACGTCACGGCCAGACCAGGGGAGTGGGGTAGCATCCACTCAGAAGGTCTGGCTGTGGCATCGCTTCGGTGGCATAGTCACTGTTTTGAAATGAGGTGTATGGTTGTATGTTGTATGTAGTACATACGCCGTATGTCCTGCACACACCTCCTCCGCACACCATACAGGTTATAGGGGTCACAGAACTTGCCTCTATAATTATCCATGTTGTCAAAAGAGTGGTTTTCAGGAGACGAATACGTACAGCTATGCGGATTCGGGGTTGTGATCTGTATCAAACCTTCCTTGCAGTTCGACATCCATTCATCCATCCAGAGTCGATACACATTAGTCTATACGAAAACATGTAACAGACGATTGGGTAAGTTCTTGGGTTATGAGATGGGCCGTTTCCCCCTGAGAGTGCTATCCAAAGTCCGACATTTATAGATGCGCTTTTGGCACCACCCATTGGTTTGTTTCCACACAGGGAAATATCGCACTGCGCACCCTGGGCTTTGCAGCTTGTGGCTGCATGTGTAGTTCACCATGTGCCCTTATCAAGCACGCGCTATGGCTATGTTTAGAAGAGCACGTAGATAACCCCTGTTACTATGTATAACACAAGCATTGGCGAAATCGACTTCTCCTGTTGAACATCCCGTGGCCACATTTGTTCGCTGTCAATGCCGGCTGCCAAGCCTGCTGTTAAATAGGAGGTCGGTTCGAGAAACGAATACGACCAATTGTAGTATTTGGACCGTAACGTTGATCCACTTCCAATACCCTACCTTGGCCAAGCAAACGGCTCCAATGCCACAGGATCTTGGCCACCCACTAGACCCCTCCGTCTCTTTTATTGCAACAGGGAGCGAGCGTCGAAACATCCCGCAGTCATTGTCTGGCCTTGTAGGGCGCTTCAGCCCTCTCAACTATGCCAAGACGGCTCCTTCCTTCGGTTTATACAAAGTTTGTGAAAGATGTTGTGCGACATCCCTTCCCGTGCCCGGTTGCATATCGCGGAGGATGCCAAGATGCGATAGACCCCTCTGCGCCAGGCAACAACAATGGTCATAGGGGTCCTTGCGGCAGGGGACCCCCTGAGGCCAAGTGCCAAGAGATACTTCCTCCCCAATACCAAGGGACTAATGATCGAGGAGCGAACCGACACCGTGGTCAATGAAATCATGTGGTTGGATATTATATGTACTAAGAAAAGAGGTACTAAGAAAAGACAAAGACGCTAGCCAAGAAAGTTGTACAGGGACCATATTTTTCAAAAAAAAAAAAAAGCCATGAGTTGCGCCCAGCGCATACCATAACACCCAAAAAAGAAACAAAGAAAAAAATATGTTCACCGACAGAAGCGCTTGAAGGCCATAGTAGCGGCCAATCCGGTCGCCAGTAGAGCTCCACCCATCGTGACAGCTTGCAGGGCAGCATTCATCATCTGGTGCCTGTTGCGGGTACGGCAACGCTTGAAGAAGTCGGCCATATCATTTCCACGGGGGAATGGTGTGTCGGGGACTTCTTCTCCCAGGAATTCACACAGAGGGCCCCAGCCATCGCTAATCTTGTACTCCAACAGACGCTCGGGTGGAACCAGGCTGCGTACTTCGGCGACGTGATCCTCGTACACCTGCTTGCCCTTGTTGGGGAAGTCCCCGCGGAAGAAGGTCTCGAAGAACTTGTTCAACATAGGGTAGTACATGCTGGCAGCCCAGCTGAAGTTCGAAACGAAGCTGTGCTCAGGATCGCTCACACGCCAAAACACAGTCTTCATAACGGATCTGCAGGATTTCCAGTCAGCGGATAAATCGCCTCGGGTATATTCCAGTGTCAACTTACGCATGCCACGAGTCCACATCACGAGTAGTCAGGATGATCTTAGCATTAGGGTAGGCTTCAATCAGCTCTTTAGCAAAAGCACAGGCGGGCCAGTCGCAGACAGCCTATACGTGCAAGATCAGTTACATTCCCATTACTTGTCTCGTCGGCAACCCCAGACTCACCTGGCACTCTCCCAGCAACTGATCCCATTCCTTCCTTCCAAACTCACCCACACCATCATATTTGGCGAGGAGGGCATCATGCCACATCAAGCAGTCGGGAGGGTTCTCCACACTAGCGGACATCATATGGTAGCATTTCAGGTATCCGAGGCGCTCCAGAGCTATGCGGAGAGATGCTGTTCCTGTTCTTCCAACGCCGAGTGCCAGTACCTTCATTGGCACGGTCCGGTGGCACTGGCGCCTGTCAATGCATGTGTCATCGGTGAAGACATCGGTCAAGGGCTGGGGAGCAAGATTGTCCGAGTAGGTCAAAGACATGGTGACTGATGGGAAAGTGAGGTTCGTATGATATATATAAATTGTATTACAATGCGTATTCAAGAGACAGTGGGGTCTTCAGAAGATGAAGGTCTAGTAATGGAGCAAACGAAGGATGTTCCCAAGACTCAAGGGAAAGAAGGAATACGAGAGAAAAGAAAGGATTTCGGAGGGTAAAGACTTGGTTAAAAAGAAAGAAGCAGAGAAAGCTGAAGTGTTGAGGAAGAGATGAAAAGGAGACTGGGAAGTAGATTGATAATAAATGTCACATACTGAAGAGAAGATAAAATGTTAGCTCCTTAGCGCCGCGATGTACCAAAGAATCCTCATATCAAGTAATTAAAAACAACAGTGGCAACTCATTCGTACTTGTGTACGCGAGCTGTACATTCGATATGGATACTCGTGGTCGTAATCAAAAAACGAAAAATAATTTCCCTCTCCTGAATCTTGGCAAAACCACATCCTCCTGTTTTTTGACATTGTTTTAGCTTTTTTTTCTAATTCTGTTTGGGCACTTTCATCCTTTCAGATGCTCCCTGCGGGTCTCCCGCCCACGTTTGGGCCAAATCAGTTGCGGCAGTTAAAGAGTAGAATCCATAGAACCAGAGAGGCTTTGCTCAGCAGGGCGAACCAAAGACGTCAGTGGATGACGCCCATCGACAGTGAACGATTGTCAGGGGGTGGGGGTTCTTCCCTGGTTAATTCTGTACAGTGTAGGTAGCGCATGAAAATCATCCAAGATAGCCAGTCCTCATCGTGTATTGGCCGCCAGAGAGTAGGAACAGTCTCCTGATTGTCATGTTTCTGTGACGGAGAGGCGGGGCGAAGAAGGAATAGAACACCATACACTGGAGAATGGAAACCGTGCCAAGATTTTCCGGCCATAAACGGCCGCGTAGCACTTAATTCGCCGATCGCTGGGATTCGGGGATTGGACGAGGAGGCCTGAGGCTTCTCTGGTCTGGAAGCCTTGAGAAATTCAAACCCGCCCACTTCGTTTTTCTAATTGGTGGATCCCCCAACAAGACGACGCGTACCTTTCTCCAGACACTCAAAATCCATGCATAATGCACAATTCTGAAACGTACTCACCTCTCCACAGCCCGCAACAATCGCATTCGCTTTTCATTCCCGTTTTGCTTCGGTTGTTCCATTATGTTACCCCCCCAATCTTTTCTTTCCCCTTTTGTTACCGTCCTTGCTAATTCATTGCTGGAAAGTTGTTGCTGCCGAGGCCGTATCAGATGGGTCAACTTGTCAAGCCTGTACCCACGGGTCCGTGGTTTGGGGTATGTCAACGATGCTGATCGGTACGTAGTCCGTAGCCCGTCCGTCCACTAACGGTAGGATGCACTGTCCACTTTCCATAGTCCGCCTAAGCGGTCAATCCACCTCGGTGGAAACCACAGCCGTCGGACCTCGTAGAAATCCCGATGACGACAAACCAAACTGAATTCCTATTCGGCAATAGCGTGTAATTGGTAAAGACTTGATCCAACATGTCCAGTGACCAATTTCCTGTACCAAGAATCGTAATCCTAATTGGCATCGTTGGGCATGACTCGTTTAGCCGTTTAGCCTATCCGTCAACCGATCAATCAAGTATCAGTGGACCAAGTTAGGCTAGAACTGTAACATTCAGTCGGAGATGGCCAAGGTGACAAGCCCACTGATTGTTTGTGGCAAAATGCATTTCATATCTCCGCCTGGGCACTTTCCACCATACTTCCCAGCAGTGTACAGGCCCTCCCAGTAGATCACCGGCAATAAGGAATCCTGTGATTCCAGGTAGATAGACCCTACAGGGCTTGTTTCTAAATCATTCAATCAATACCCTGGAGGTAATCATTACCCGACGGAGATCGACTCGGTGTTCCGAGTTAATCATCTCATCAAGTGCCTTCGATGCCAAGGCGGCTTATCATTTGAGGTGAGCTCTGGGGTCCGATCAACGAGGCAAGTATCCTCGCCTTCTTATAACGATCTTCGCCAACTTCCCTACTCCGTACGGAGTCCATCACTGACCCGCCGGTGAAGACCGTTTTCGAGAAGTGTGCCGCTCGTTCCGCTAATCAGATGGCTCTGGGAACTTGGAAGTATCCGTATGTATCCAACCGTACAGGTATGTATCATGGTTGAAAGGGACTATTATGATAGCAGAGTGGTGTTATTCCCTTGGACCCTCTTGCTGCAGTGGTGTCGTATAGGCATGTGATGGTCGATAGTTTAGTAAACAAAGCAACTTCCTTATCGAGAAAGGGTGGTCAGGTGATGGAAGCTGGTAGTAGTACACACTAAGTACTACTCGGTATAATTGTATGCATGGTCGGGTGCTGATGAAATGAGAACTTCATTTGGGAAGATGTTAAGAGTAGTAAAGAAGAGAAAGAAAGATGGCATTAGCACCAGTCATTATAACCAGCAGTTCAACTCATGCAAGGGGGCCGTAACCCTTTTAAAAGGAAATTGATGCCAAGACCTAACATTACGCTCGCAATCGCACGTCTTGATCACCTCACTGCAACTATGTCTACTCTAGTATAATCCACCAAGGGTCTGAGGATTACCAAAAAACAACCTTTAGACGTTATTTGAGCTTAAATGACAGTTGTGGTCAGCCTTGTGCAATGAGTGGACGGGTGTGAGCTGTTGTCTCCGCTCGCAGGCATCACGGCAGTGATTTCGGCTGTTGATTTACCTGCTGATTTTATATATGTACCACGAACCGACATATGGTGGAAATAACGTGACTCAAGAATCTCTAGTCCCTTACGGAGTGGCCATATGTAATTCATGATGCGATATTCTTAGGTAGATAAATGTACTTACTTTTCATAGGGTATTATCGTTGAAATTAAATAAACAAAGCCATCATAGAACTCTCTATCAACATGGATGGCAACAGGTGCAAGCGCAGCGCCCTGATATATGTTAACCCTCGAAACCAAATAACTCCGGATGGCCATCCCGTGACCATTTCAATGCTATAATATCCAGAACCGATTCTATCCTACCCACGCTTCCCTAAGGCTGAAAGCTGTCTCACTCCAGTTTGTCCAAATGCTCCAGCCTCGTCAATACGACCTGCTTGCTCGTCTCTTCAATTTCGCCTGCCAGAAACACTTCGTCTAGAATCGCGTACACCTGTACCAATCATTTGTCAGCGTTTACTCCGTGTCATAACTGGGCAGCATCTCAATCCATTTCAATATTTTCCAATACCCACAACAGCCGAAAGTACCCAACGCACCTTGTAGAAATTAAACACTAGATCTAGCTCGCACACATTCCCGAAGAACTGATCTAGAACTTCGACGAAGAAATGTATGGCCTCGAGATACGCCAGTTCATTATCGGTGGCATCGACACAGGCGCAAAAGAACAATCCCGCATATCTCCGGTAAACGACTTTCGTACTCCGCTTGAACTCGACAAAGTTGGACTGATACTTCTGATCTCTTGGTGCTACCAGGCGATGGACCTGAGGCAATTGGTCAGTTCTCCGGCCCAGCGGGAACAATGGTATTGTCGCAAGTTGCCACGAACCTCGCCTTTCAGCTTGACTTTCTCCTCATCCTGCGCAAAACCGGTATTAGCTAATGCTACATGATATCTGAAGAGTTTCTAGAGAACTTACGCTGTACGGCGCATACCATTTTGCAAGGCGCGTTTTGCCCCTATCCGCTCGCTGAGCATTATAGATCGCTCGACTTAGGTGTAGACACAAGTACTCACTGTCGGTTCTGAACCAAGATGAATGAGAGAACCATCCCGCCTTGATCAAGAGCGGTAAGCCGATATGGATAGTGGCGTTGAGCTATGCCGCAGTTGGGTTCATCCGAATGTCTCCGCTTGGAGTCTTGGAGTATTGAAGATGGATGTCAAGGCCGAGACTCAATATTGCCGAATAACACCGCCTTTGTTTGATCTACATTGAACCAATGAGGGGTTTTTTCAAGGAACAATGAAAAGAAAAATTATCATAATAATAATAATAGAGACTTGTTTGTCAATACTCCTATAGTCATTCTATATCCTGGCAATAGTCCCTCATTGACTTGGAATTGGCTATATAAATAGTTCCGAACTGTCTGTTAGCTATGAGACTGACCTGTCAACTGTGCCAAGTGCCCTTATCCGCTGATAAATTGATGATCAGCTCATGTCGCAAACACACATTTCCTGCAGTCATCGTCACACACGATGAGCGCAGCAGCGTCTGTTTCCGGACAATATTAACATGAAAGCTTTTATCGAACGATCTGGTTTACTTAACCATTGCCTCCCCTACTAGAATTTCCAGCTGCTACATTACCAGAACTTCGCAATGCCAGTCTACATGCTGTACGGCTTTAAGTGGCCGCGCGCTGGCTTCACGGGTATCCGAGTCTACATTGTTCTGCACAACCTGGAGGATGCAACAGCAGAGTACCTCCAGACACCGATCACTACCCAGCTGCTCCTCGGGTCGTTCGCGAAGACCGAACCGGGCATCGTATCCCGTCTACCCGACCTCCGATTTATCGAACAGTATGATCCCGACGATACCAGCGATGAGGCTGTCAGCAAGCCATATGCCTATGTTGCGGGTAAAGTGATCACGATGCCAGAGTCGGGGGCACTTAGCTTGGATGCCGAGGAGCTAGTTAAGGAGTCAGGGCTAGAAGATGATGCCATGGCCGCATTGACAGAGATGCGAGATAAATATGCCGCCGGTGAGAAAATTGGCTGGTACATTGTGTATAACGGGGATCCAGAGAGATGGTTCCCCCAAATTGAAGAAGACGACGATGAAAGTATGATGTACGAAGATGAAGATGGGGATGCTAGTGATTATGGTAGCGCATCACAACCCCCATCAACTCCTACAGTAAGTGCTTCTTACGTGGTTATATGTTCTGGCTGTTAGCATGAGCTGATCTCGGTCACGTTTAGGCATTTTTCCCCCAAAAGTTGACACAGTTTTTCGGCACTAAGAAGATCACTTGAGACAGTTAGATGAGTGATGTGTGGCTATGCAATTTACCCAAAGCCCGATGGCTGTTATTGTGCTCGTTGAACATTGATTCTTGGATATTAGAATCACGGCGTATTGGATCTAGAATTCATTTTCATCTCGTTATAAGCTAAGCTCTACTTTATGAACTGGCACCGTATCCCTTCTGCCAACTAGCATCAAAGGTCGCCTTGTCCACGGCAAATTCTCGAATGTAGTCCTTCTCCAAGTCATGCGCTCTCCTTCCCAAGAGAACGAGACTGTGAAGAGGCTGGCCCATCTCTACCTCTGCCAATTCCTTCAGAGTTCCGACGACCAATTTCTGATCCGGAGCTCCAACTCTCGCAGCTCCGACCGCAAGGCTGTCAGGCCCGTAAACACCTTCCTTGCGCTCCTCCTCGGTCTCCAGCATCTGACTGGCGCACTGCGCAACGGTCATATATCTCGGAGGCTCATAGATTAGGCGTCCTCGGGCCATGTTCTCGTATGACTGCTCCTTGACCTTAATGTCCAAAAGCACGAGGGTGTGAAGACCCAGTGATATGTTCTCCTTGATCTTATCGTAGTATGACGAGGGCTTCCAGTTTTCTGTGAAAAACACCATGCTGACAGTTTGACCGAAGTTATACAGCTGCAGCCCCGTGCAACCAATGCCAGACATGATCGATGCGTTCGGGATGACCTTGGATTCGATGCCCAGTTCGCGGGCGCGCAGAACGAGGTCTGTGTGGGTAGTGGCGCTGCATACACATTAATTTATGCCTCCCATAACAGTCGCGCAAAGCTAACACATACCCAAAAGGATCACCGACGACTAGGAATGCAACATCTGTTTTATCTGCCCCAGCGAGAATCTCATCGCTTCCGGTCTCGACCTTTTCACGGTCTGCCTCAATAACAGGACGTCCATAAAAAGCTTCCTACTGAACCAATTGACGACCTGGTTAGACAACTCCGTGGCAAAAAATAGTATCTGTCATATACAGGGACACTCACTAGCTTCTCTTTGTTCACGAGCAGAATACTTGTGTATGCTTCGAGGTAGACCCTTTCGGCCCTTTTCACCACCTCTAGGCCTTTGACAGTAATGTCAGTCTCATCGGCAAGACCCAACCCAACGAGGTAGAGCATTGTGAAAATATACAAATTTGAATTAATGAGTATAATAACTGTGATAATCACGATCAAAAAGTTTCTCTATCACCCCACCAAATGCGGCGGGATGACGGGACACGGGTAAAGAGTTGTTCCGGATATGGGGAGGTGGATATCAAGTCACGGGGATGGATCCTTTGAATATCCCCATTGTTGCCTTTCGCGACCAACTTGAATTCACTCGTTTTGTTGTTTATAGTCTTAGCACGTGCGCTTGACTATATTGTATCATTATTTTCTTTGGTTGTGAATGATGTTAATGTGTCATTCTTGATTCGCCAACATGTCGACCGATCGAACTCCGAAGTATCGGCAGGAAATCCAGCAGGTAAGCTCATACTATCTCCTTATCTTGTCCATTTAAGCCTCATCTTGTTTGTGTTTTCTTTTGTTTCTTGCTTTTTGGGCCGCTTGCGTACATTAAGCTATGTTAACATAGCATAATCATTTGTATATTTGACATCACAAGCTTAGCCTTGCTGCTCGCATGGCGCAGTAAGGTTCATCGTGATGCGACTGTTACTTGTCATCTATAATTACCTATCTGGCTTGATATGTACTCTTTGTGGTGCTACTTCATGTAATATTTCAGTCCCACAATCGAGTTATTACTTGGACTTGCTTCGTCTCTCAAACAATTGGGGTGATGCAAATGACCCGCCTGTACCTGTGCTCCAATTATGCGTCTTCCCGACCACAACAAATCGAAGTGGACCATCTCAGAAACAATATGAAAATAACAAGAGCATTTTCAGCCTCACTAATACTATGAGCAGATGATGTTCGTCTCTGGAGAGACTGCCGAGCCATCAGTGGAAACAACTACTCTGATAGAAGAGATCGTTCGCCAGCAAGTCGTTGAGATTGTATGAGCACCTTCAGCCATAAAAGTACAGTTTGCTCACATTCACTACAGCTCGCTCGTAGTACAACGCTGGCTACCCGTCGAGGAGTCCGCTCTATCTCGACTGATGATTTGATCTTTCTCATTCGCCATGACAAGGCCAAGGTATCACGCCTGAAAACTTTCCTTTCCTGGAAAGATGTCCGCAAGAATGTCAAAGACTCGGATGACAAAGGTGGTGCCGACGCTGCCGAATTTGCAGGAGCCGATGACCCCCTTGCGGGAGGTGTCGTCGCCGGACCGCAAGATGTCGCTTCAAAGCCGAAGAATAAGAGGGCCCGTGTTGGTCTCGCATGGGATGTGAACAGTTTCTACTCGATCCAGGTTCCAGAGCGAGAGGATGAGGAAGACGAAGAGGAGGAAGAACAGAATTATGCAACCCTCCAGCGCCTTGCTGCAGCAGACGAGCGAACCAAGAACATGACGAAGGAAGAATACGTGTTCTGGTCCGAATGTCGTCAGGCATCCTTCACCTATCGTAAGAGCAAGCGTTTTCGTGAGTGGGCTGGTTTTGGTATCGTAACCGAATCGAAGCCCAACGACGATATTGTCGATATCCTTGGTTTCCTCACGTTCGAGATCGTCCAGACTTTGACTGAAGAAGCCCTTAAGGTCAAAGAACGCGAAGACCGAGAGAAGAATCGGCGAGGAGGCGCTGAAAATGGCTCCGGTGAGAATACTAAGAAGCGGAAGCGTGAAACAGGTCTCTTCGACCCTCCCGAGGAGGGACGAACTCCAGTTGAACCGAGGCATATCCGCGAGGCATATCGTAAACTTCAAGCGACTCCGAACAAGAACATTGCAATGCTTCTCCATAATGGGCGCGTCCCAGCACGGATGCCTTTGAGACTGGTAAGGCCATCCATTCGGCTTTGATCGTCTGTACTAACATAACCTAGATTTAATGGGATGGCTTTACTTTGGGCTTGTACCGGAAATGGTTGGAGTTATATACACAAGATACCCACATGATGACTGTACGATATCGAGACTTCTTTTTCAGTTCCTTTGTTTTCTATCTCGGATATACAGCTTCGTTCCTTCAGCACCCCCTGTACTATTTCGAACCTCAATCATTTTGATTATCTCCACCATACTAGGCATTAATTCCTCGATTTATTTCGAACCCAGTCCCTAAGTGAACCGAGACTCGTCACAATACATGTACATAATCAATCATAAGAAGGCCTTCGCCCAGCGAAAAGAAAAGTCCTTATTTGTGCGTCCGGCGCCCTATCAACAAACCAGTCAGCACCAACCCCCAAATAAAAAAGTCATAAAAGAAGAAGTAAACAAAAACAGAAGGGAGGAGAGAAAACTCACACTCAGCCAACTCCCCCTCACTCAACTCCCGAATACTATTGATAGCCGGCACCTCCCCCTTAGTAGCACTCTTGATCGTCTCAATGGCCTTCCCAAAGATGCCCCTCGTAGCCACCGCATACGTCGCCAACTTCGCCTCCAACCGAATCACCCCGATCCTCGGATCCGACGGACTCCCATCATGAATCCCGTCACCAAGATCGCCCAACCATGCCGGCAGCGTCGGCGAATAATACTTTTCAACGGTAGCCTTGTCAGCAACGATCGATGCTGTGCCCGAAATAGACGCCCAGGACCCGCTGACTTGGTCCAGGAAGGACATGTTGACTTCGCTGGGGTGCGTGGTCAGGTCTAGCGTCTTGCTGGAGAAGAGGTTGATATGGAAGAGCAGGTCAATGCCGCCGTTTTCCTTTCTCCAATTTAGTATATGGTATATCAACTTGGCTTGAGTGCAAATCATGGCTGAGAGAGGGAGGGAAAGAAGAGAGAAATACCTTCCCGGCCAACGCCATGCATCTCGACGTTAAGTATTCCGAGCCGGAGATCTTGGTCGTTAGCATACCGAATTTGGCCTCGGAGATGAAGTCAACCAGGTCTTCGACCTTTTGGGCCAGGGGCGGGTCCTCGAGGCTTTTGGCCTTGTAGGGGTCGATGGGCTGTTCGCCTTTGCTGGTATTGATTGTAGAGGACATCCTGGGTTGATATGTTTCAGTTGAGGTGTTTACGAAAAGGATTGGGTGTTGAATAATGGTATCTTGTGGGAGAGATAGCAATAGCAATCATTGTTTATATAGGGGGTTCTATGTATACTATGATGTATGAGATGCCAAGTCTGGCGTAGGCATGACGTCAAAGCCCTAATCGGCATTCAGGGGACTTGAATTTACTATACTATGAATAAGTGGATTTTGATGACGTTTTTCGTGTGCTTGTTCTAGCAGGAATGCTTTTAATGTTACTTGAGTGATGTTATTGCCTGTGTGGGGTGATGTACGATTTCATCTGGGAGCAGGTCATTATCTGATAGGTAGTTATCCAGGTTGTTCTCAGGATAGAATGCTGCCATTAACTATATTATCTTTTAAACTTAGTATGAAGACCGTTCTCTAACTGATACTTTCTTTCCATATATCTGGATTTCGGCTCACGAGTCAGTTGTTGCCCATAATGCAGCCGTTCGCGGCAACGATCAAACAAGTGTGGGTGCTATTTAGAGCGATCTTCGCTTGATGATTGTCAGGAGCAAACCCCAGATTGGACTTCGTTTCGGAATGGACAATCCAGCCTAGGTTTTGACTCGTGACCCTGCATCCTATCCACAGCCACAACATTAACCATACCTTCCCAAACAAGCTGCTCCGAAAGCTTCAGCATCTCGGAAATGTAGAAGGTTTTCTGCTCGGAGTAACTTTGAATCATAGACCAGGTTATGTTAGACGGTCGCGGCATGTAGAACACTTCTTGCCGAGAGGTGAGCGCGCATAGTCAACTGAGCCGGCTGGCCATATCCACACCAGCGAACAGACTTGATAACCGGCTCGCAGATTTTACCACCGCTGTCGGTATTGGAGAGTATTGATCGCCTTGACTTGAACTTTCACGTTTCGATCAGTGATAGAGACGTCTAAGGAACAACTATAGGGCTTCCGGCTATTGTTAGTGGGATAGGCATTTAGACACAGATCCATGTCTCTAGGTCTCTTCTCAGTAAAGGATACGATAGGGCCACCTGGGAATGGTAAATCCAGAACATTTTGAAGTCAGAGAGATCTGCTGTAACCTTGTATTAATCAAGTTAGGTTGGCTAAGGCCGATGATGAGGTGCAGTTTCCTGGTAAGCTGCAGCTTAGGCACGATGAGCGTCCGTTTGTAGCCTCATCCTCCATTGCCGTATCTCGACAATCGTAGTCGGCTCCATTGTTAGATCTATATCGACATCCCAGCAATCTCTGTACTGAGTGAGCTCAGTTGGCAACTGAGATTATACGGGAGAGCAAGAGCGCTGCCTCAGAGGAAGCTGCACCGTATAACGCACGTTGGGCGCCAATACTCGAGGAGCGTCGCCCATATCAACATAATGGTCTTCTTCGGTTTGGGTCCGCAGCAGCTCAGCGACCTCAGTTGGGTCCCGGGTTTGTACTACGGGGAGTGTTGTCGTTGGCGGGGCAAAAGGAGCAGGACGAACGGTGGGAGGCGCCACGACCGATGGACCTGAAGGTACATCTTGGATATCACCAGGTCGGTCGTGGGAGAAGTATTGAACTCGCCCTGTAGGGTTTGCCTCTGGCCCGGCCCATGTCAGCGTGTGACGCCTTGCAGTGACGTCCCTGATGAGATCAATGAGAAACCTCGCCCTTTTTCCGACCGATTGTTTCATCTTGGCAATGCCATTGTTGTTCCAGTCCCTCAGGTTGCCAATGATTATCATGACTTTCTTGGCACGACTAAGGACGATGTTAAGCCGGTTTGTGTCTGCCATGAAACCCGCGCTGGCGACATTCTGCGAGGGCTTGGTCATCAGAAACATCACAATTGGTGCCTCTTGCCCCTGTGTGGCATCCACTGTAAGGTTGTCACGGTATCTAACCTCGTGCTGGCTCAGGATCCTTTGTACAAGAACTTTTTGGTCTTTGTACGGGCTTACTATCATGACGTCTTCAGGGAGCACACTGTCACCGTTGGACGTCTGAAACAAGTACAGGGACGTCAGAAGATGGTGGAGCACCTGCACCTGGCTCTCGTTGGACCAGGGTAGACTGTTTTCCATGCGTTTAGCTTTTCCAATGATGCTAATGAACAGCCGACGCATGCCATGAACGTTAAGTGCTCGAAACCAGTGACGGGGCCCGGTAAAGGAATCCCACGCTCTGCCAACCCGCTCTAGTCGGTCATTTTCGGGGCCAGGAACGAGCTTTCCCCTGTACATCCCACTGTTGAATAAATCTAGAATCTGGCTATGATTCCGATAGTTTGTCTAGAGCATGATGCATGGATAACCGGCTCTATAAAGCCTTTCCATCAGAGAGCGTTTAAGAAACCTCGCTCCCTCATTGGGCCCATATTCAGAGATTACCGTGGGGGAAAGTTGGTCGGGGTCACCAATCAGGACAACACCACGGACCGACGGCATTGTCAACGCAATGCAATGATCCCCCTCGAGGCACTGCCCTGCCTCGTCGCTAACGATGAACGCCGGCTTGAAATTTGGCAGGCGCAGGACGTCATGAGAAGCGTTGCTCAATGTCGTAGCAACGACGATGCAGCCTTCGAAGTAACCCAATAAGGTGTTTTCATACGACGAGCGTAGCTTCTTGGTACCGTCTCTGCTGAGGCCCTTCTCCTTGTCTATGGCCATGTACTCAAGGAGAGATTTGCAATGCTTATCGTCGGGGTTCTGTTGCGCATGGGCGACAACCAAGTTGTGCGCCTGGACTTTTTCCAGAGTAGGATTCGCCTGGTTGTCATTTGTAGCATCTGCCTGCGCCCTGAGCCTGGCAATAGGATCACTAGCGCTCTTTGCCCGGATCTGGCTGAGTTGATAGGCAGGTGTTCCGAAGCGTACAAACTGGTCACACCAGGCCCTTAGGAGAGCATCCCTTGCCGCTGCAGTAACCAAGGATTCCAAAAGGTTATCCACGGTTTTATTAGAACCGGCGACGACGAGGACTTTTATCCTCAGCGCGGTAAGTGCCAAGATGATTGCCACGGCTGTCCTCGTTTTACCCGTACCGGGGGGTCCTTGGTTGAGGCTGACACCGCAGGTGACCCTAGAGGTCGAATTGACAAAAGCTTGCAGCTGGACGTCATCCAAGGGAAAGAGACGGCGTATATGTCCTAGCCGCTCTTCCTGGAGGTGCGATTCCAAAGGGGACACGCTTTTGAAATCCAGAACGAAATAGTATGGGCTCTCTGGATTTAGTTCGGAATCGTGACCGAGAACGGTCCAGCGAAGGGAGAAGCTTTATCCTGCTCCCTGAGTGGTATCACCATAGACAGTAACGTTGGTGACTTCATTGAGTGCATTCAGCTGGTCATCAATAGGCATTGTGTTTGGCTGAACGACGGTCACGATCTGGAAGTTAACACTGGGCTTAACTTCGGTGCCAAAGCTTTCTGTTGCGATGACCAGATCCGCCGAAGACTCCACCTCGACCAATCTGCCCTTCATTAACAAGTCACCTTCCTCATAGGTGCGATCTTGTTGGGCCACTTGAAACTTGACTTCCGTATTCTCGGGGAGTTCCGGAAGGTTGACACTGTTCTCCGACGGCGTACACAGCTTGATGTGAACGAGGGCGCCCCTACCTATGCCATCAGTCGTGCAGAAGGCAGTGTGTCCAAGGCCAGGATTAAAGACCTGCGTAATAACGTTGCGCTGGGTCTCCCGTTCACGACTGGAGGCCGTTATAAGTCTGTACCTCCGTTCGCTGTCGTCGATGAAAAACGGGTCGACTGGATCCCAGTTGACATATTCTTGATGCCCAGCGTCAGGCTTCGTCCAGAGCCAGGGCATAAGGGGGGGGGGTGGCACCCAGTTGTTGAATCAGCGGGGTTATTCCGGTACCACCAAAAGGACTTGCCGCTTAAGTTGCGGACGCTGTCAGTATTGACGAGTATTGATCGCCTTGACTTGAACTTTCACGTTTCGATCAGTGACAGGAAAATCCAAGGAACAACCATAGGAGGCTGGAAGATGAGAACCACGACTCTGACTTGTTCGAACTTGCCCACTGGCCTACCGCATTCCATTCTCCGGCTTCCCTTGCATCATATGCGTAGAAGTCCATATCGCATTTCAATCAAGGCCGTGTTGACAATTTGTTCATCCTTGGTGGCCCCTTCTTCTTTGCTTCAACTACCAGAAGATTGCAATCGTTTTTGGTTGGTTGCTATCTATTCGGTAGTCCTGAAGGCGACGATGACCCCCGACAATATAATCTGTATCCAGAACAGTCCTCTCTGTGGTACTGCTTCTATCTGCCAGCTCTAGGCTCAGTTAATGGCTTCGAGGAGCCGACTGACCAGTGACATTTTTGAAACGCTCCAGTTGTTCAGCTTCTCCATGGTAACCTAGCCATCCTTTATCAGGAGTCAAACACCTAAGTCACGGGGCACAGCGAGGGCTTTTGGAGAAAAGAGCATCCACAGCATGTTTACGGAACAGTGAGGTTGTTGAAACTGCAAGGTAGGAAAAATGCCGGCCTTCGTCTCCCTCAGATCTCTGCCTAATTTGCAGTGCCAACGAGATTGAGGTAATTCGTGAATCAAGGTCGCGTGGACACAACACAGGATATTGAAAGATCGGAAGAACTTATTATTCGACTCTGCTCCGTGGTGACTATGAATTCATTTCATCATCTTGTGTGCTTTGGGAGGCCTTGGTTCTGCTCATGACTTTCCTTCGCAATGTCTTCCATAGCACCGAGATTTCTTCTTCTCAACTTGAGTCGTCATGATCAATATCCGTTGGTGGCATCGGCCTCCCCAGCCATATTTTTCCTTTCTTGCCTGTAGAAGAATATAATCGAGGACCCGCTGTTCTCATAGAAGTATGGTCTGGTCTGTTTCTTCGAAGAAGGAATGAAATAAAAGACAAAATGTATTGCTTCGCTTATTATGACAGGATTCGTTGTGCTGATGGGCCAAACTTCTACAGAGAGAGCTGGGCAGCGCAGGAAAAGACGATTTCGAGTAGTGTAGTTATATAGATAACGATCCCCTTCGTGTTGTTCCTCTTGTATTGTGTGATGGTAAATGTATGGCCTCTCCTTCCGGTATTGTTAACATCGAATGCGTGCAAGTCGAAAACCCCTCTTCGATCCCCTGTCTGTGAGCATTCCCTGGGGCAATGAGATAATGAGAATGTAGACTATGAAAGAGAATATGACGCAAGCGAGAGAGGGGAGTATGAGAATTGATGATCTTCTTCCTCAGTCCCTCACTATGATAGTGAGAGTACCACACAAGACATGGTCTTCTGCTAGCACATATGGCTGGATCCGGCGAGTCAATAAATGTTGCAAAAGCTTCTCTTCCTCCAATGGCTTCATCTAAAGCAGATATGTTGTCTGAAAACCCTGCCATATCGGGGGCACAACATTCAGATGTTGACCGGCCCATGCTCTGTTTACACCATCAAGAAGCCGATACGCCGACATTGGTATTGTCCGCGTCGATGGCAATGTTGACGCCAGATCTAATTTTCGCAATTCTTAGTCCTGAATTGCCTGCTCCAAAGCCTCCCAATACTGTGACCGACGACAGTATTTTTTGGTATACTGCTCCACGACTGTTAGAAATGCCTCCGGAGACATCGCGCTGCGTTTCCCTCTCTATTGGCTATTTGCGGCTAATCTTCCCTTTTCTAAGCGTAAGAGAAGTGATATTGATGTCTTTAGGAGATTGTTTGTGACAATTGGTGTTTTTCAGAGTCGACCTGGTTGAAGTTGTGAATAATGTGGGCAATTGCGGGTGCTGTATCGGCCTGGATAGTATGATGATCTAGCAGCATCGAGCCATAGAAAAGCATGCTGGCTAGCTTTGATACGTCCAGATACATACAAAAGGAAGAACAGACCGACCAGAGAGCCAGGCAGATTCTCGATTGCTGGTGAAAAGTCTATAATAGTGCCGAGGAAGGCTATTTCATCCGTTTTGCCGTCCTCGATTTTATATACTGGATAATCGGTGGGCGATACATTGGCTGCTGACTCCCAGCTGTGTCCCAGGCTATCTCGCCTTCGTTATAGATCTCGTGGACACGCACCACAAGTGGTTGCGTATTCGGGATGCGAGTGGCTATCCCGTTGAATTGTGAGGCAGCGATATCGACCACGTTGTTCCCCGACGCGGTAATGAGGACCTGATGCCACTTGCCAGTGTGTCCTGTGGGTCTGGTGCTGGCCAGTATATACGATCTGGCGGTAGGGATTGCTGATTTGCTCTCTGCTGTTCGCGTGCTTCTTTGGGTTCATAAGCTCCCAGGACCATGCAATCGATATGCGAGGTACATCAACCGTGTATAGGTTTGTATGGCTCTCTGCGGTGCTATAGATATGATAACAGCCACGCTGAATGCTTCTTGCAAATCCTGCCACGAGGATATTCTCGCTGAGCTGGACGCACACAGCCAACTGGGAGTCGGCTTTCTTCAGTAGTGAACCCCATATCTGCGAAGCTGTTGGCCGAGACTGGTTGAATAAGAGAACGGGAGAAGATGACCGTCCATCCTAAGGTTGGCAAGAGATCAAACCCCTTCCCTTGAAGAGTACGTAGCCCGAGGGTTTACTCCAGGAACCTGCGGGCTGTGGTAACCTCAAGCGAGAAAGAGTATTATTCGACGACAACACATGGGCCATGAAGTTATGTGCGGCGTGAATAGGCTTACTGTGAGGAGGGAGAAAACATGCTTGGATGGATGGTCTCGACGGGCAAGGAAAAGACAGATCAAAAGGAAGCCCTAATGTATGCAGGGTGAGGTTAGCTGTCCCACTGTGCTTTGAAAGGCCCTAGTAGACAAGAACAAGAATCTATATCAAAATCAAAATCAATGGGGGACAGGGCTACTATATATACGGGGCAGGTTGCAATGTCACTCACGGTGCTTCTCTTTGTTTGCCTTTTCACTGCAATCTTATTCATTAAGCGTTCGGATATTACCTCTCGGTCCTTGTAGAGATGAATGTAATCAACAGATATTATTGAAGAGCTCTACTTCGGTGAAGTTAGATCCTTCCAAGGCCCGCGCAGAGATGTTGTGAATTCCAGAATTCAATATTTAAACATTATTTCCAAATAAAAAATATACAATAGTCTTGTACAATATAGTAGTAGTGTAGTATAAGTTCTCACTTAGAATATAATAAAAATATCCACCCGTCAATCGTATGAAATGCTGAAGAGCGAATCGTATACAATCAGTCAATCAATAATAATAATAATAATAAAGACACAGAAACATCAAATCGTAAACGGGTATCCCGGAGTTAAGAAGGTAATAAAAAAAAATAGTAGTGAGAAGTTAAAAGTGTTGAAAAGAATTCCATCTTATGTGGTGTCTATAGCACCATCGCAGCGATGAGACCAACGACCAAGCTCAACATAGACGCGCCAGCAGTGGATGCCGCATTTTCATTGTCGACTTGGGTCGGAGAGGGAGATGACGCAGCTGCTCCGTCGGTGGACATCGCATACGATTGGGCGTCGGTCTCCGCCAGCACCTGTGGGCTTTGGCTAGGCCAACCGCTCGAGGCCAGAGCTGAGCTAGAAACCCAGCCAGAAGAGGGGGTCATGCTAGGGGTTGAGATGAGAGTTGAAGTGGCCGTTGGGGTCGGAGTTGGGGTGCTGGAAACGCTGCTCGTTTCGGACACTGTTGTGGATGTAGCCGTGGGGGATGGAGTTGTCGAAGTAGTGCTGCTCGTGCTGCTAGTGCTGCTCGTGCTGCTCGTGGTCTTGACAGTGGAGGAAGAGCTGCTGCTGCTGACAGTGCTGGAGCTAGTGGAAGCGGTCGTAGATTTTGAAGATCCACCATCACTGCTTCCACTCTTTTCAAATACGACAATATTGGCTTTCTCGCCCTTGGGTACCGTCACCACACAGAACGCACCACCACCGGCGCCCGTTGAAGAGCTACCAGTAACCTCATTGACATCGTTAACTGCCGGGTCGATCTTGCATGGCAGACCATTACAGCCATCACCCTCGCACTCAATCTCGACTCCGAAATCGGGTACCACGTCACGGAAGGGGGTGGTTGACTCCAGATAGATCGGGTTCCAACCAATTTTGACGAAAGTGTTTCCATCGCCGTCAGTATTGGCACCGGCAACATAAGGCGTCCAGTTGCCCAAGGGTTGGTCCGAGGTTCCCCAGACACACGCGGTCTCAGCATCGTAGCCGGGAGGGTTGATATAGAAGCTAGGGTTGTCAGAATATTCCATTGCATGCAATAAGTTCGGGTTACTTACTGGGCGGCAGTCTCACACCAGTAGCTAAGATCGGGCACAGCGAGGGTGGCCAGCTCCTCGACCAAGGTCGGAATCAACATGGCTTCATTGCCAGGCAAGACGGTCTGACAGAACGAGACCTGGCTTTTACACTTGTTGCGCGCGCCCACAGCACCGGTACCATCCTGACAGTAGGGTTTGTTAGGGAATGGCTTCTGGATTTTACCATCTTCATCACAGTAGAGACCACCATTCTACCAAATCCGTCAGTATTAACTTCTGTCACGGCACAAACACCGGGACACTCACCATTGACATGGGATAACTATACGAGGTAGCCTCAGGATCCCACTGCATTGACACCTGACCAGGAGGGCAAGCATACGGGCAGTAATTACCCGGCTTACATGGTTGATCCGGGCTCATGGCCCAACCGGCATTCTTGAGGTTCGGAGTGACGGCCACCAGACCGGCATCCTTGGGGAATTCACAACTTCCTCCTCGCTTCTCCAGAGGCGCCTCCACTTCTGCAGCGGAGTTCACATCTTGCTGGTGATTGTGGATGTGC